GTTCGCGACCGACTTGCCTGCAAACGGTTAATTTCGCAACAGTTCCTAATAGCTCTTATTTCTTTTAAGCCTGTCGCACGTGCACTTTCTTTTGGAGCAACTGCACATAGTTTTACAAAGACTAAGCTTCTAGTAAATCTCACAGAAAATAAAACTTTTCCCGACAAATGACTGATAATGAAAATAAAACCGTTTGTACTACGAATTTACTCACATTATTTATGTGAACCACCGAGTCTCACTAGCATAGTAAAATAGTTATAGTATTGTACACACGACAAACCACTTTCTATGGCTAAGGTTGTTAACAGTCTATAAGGTAATTTAAAGTCTTTACAAGGAAGGCAAAATATATATACACGTACTAATACCACGGTAATTTCTTATGGCTTTTTCTTTCGTATTTTTTCCCCTTCGCCTTTCTATAGTACATACTGCTAAACATAACCTTGGGTTGTCTATGTACGTGGAAGCAATAATAGGGCACAGATGGAACCGGTCGGCCGGGCAATGTATGCGGGTAAAAGATCTACACGCAAGCGCGAGGAATGTGAGCAAGATTCGGAGGCTATCACTGAAACCGGTACACGGGCAGCTGATGCTGTTTGTATGCGTTGACGAAACGTTTTATAGACACTCCTAAAATATGTGTGAGCCCCAGGAAATCAGTGGGTTTCGTTTCGCTAAAACGGTGTGACGGACGAAAAATGTACAGGTGTACACAGACTAATACGGCGATGTACTTGTATTTGATTTTACAAAAAAATTCAATCATAAGAAATTAGACAAATTTAAATTATACAGCGAAATTTTAGGCACATTTGTTTACATACGTGGTTCAATTTTACCAACAAAAAACAATCGCAATCCATCTCGTGTCTCTATAACATTAACATTTAATCATAAAACACACGAAAAAATTATTTATGCGTTTCTTCTATTACTATTTTTCATATTATCCTTGAAAGTTGGTAATTAGTTCACTGGAAAGAATTCCTTGAAAATAAATACAATTGAATAACATACATATATTTACATAATTGATAGTTTGAGGATTAGGTTAATTCGCTTTTAAGTATACTGTTTGTTTCGAGAAAAATGTATAGCAAATTAATTAAATTTATTTATACTATTGACATTACTCAAAATATTTGATGATTGAAGAATTTAACATGTAAAATTACCATGTCTACACATCTCATAATATTTTTCGTATCCCATAAAAAAAACAATCAGGTTGAAAATATTACACTTTTGATTATGTATTATTTTAAAATTGTAATTAATTAGTAATTATATAGGATGCCAGGAAAATAATACGAATGATGTAAACAAAAAATATCGAGTCTAAGAATACATAAGAAATTGTGGGTGTACGGAGATTGAACAACAAAATAATAATAGAATACGCGTTATTTACACAAATAACAATCGCGAAAAATGATGGCGTCAGCTACCATGTCGTTAACAATCTGTAACCAGATTTGGTGTAAAGATAATTAGACTGCACAATCATTATGTAATAACAATGAATTAAAACTAAAAGGAAGTATAGAAGTATTTAAATGTTTAGCATAACTTTAATAAGTACTAGTTTTTCGGATAATTTCCATTTAAATATTAAATAATAAATATTACATTTATCGAATATTTCAATGTAGTAATTAGCTTGATTATACTACATCCATTTGAGCACACATTTGACTATATATTAATCATCAGTACGTGATTAAGTTCTATTTAAAAAAATGATATCCGCTTAGACGTGCTAATCGAAGGCCAGAAACACTAGAGGTTGAATTACTTTTTTTATTTTCAGAGCATATTTTAATCAAATTATGCATTCAAATCGACAAAAAAGTATAAAATTTATTTCTTGAAGAGTTTATTCGTGTAATTTTCTGTGAAACGTTTTTTTTTTTTTTAATGCGGATTTCCTATAACAAAATAGTATTTATAAATTCGTAGAGAATATGATTGTTTAACTTAAAAATATATTTTTAAATTAAAAAAAAAATATATTTTTAAAAATTGTATAGTAAATAAATTATACCACAACAATCTATACGTAATTCAATTTTGAAATATTTATACGAACGGTTCTTCTAATTCTTTCAAAACGAATTATAATATTGTAATTTCCTCGAATTAAACTAAACATTTTAAAACCTAGTGAATCTTTATACGATTTTATATATACAGAGAAGACCATAAAAAATAAACATTGATGATCAGCAATAAAAACAGAGAGTAGATTCCATAGAACGCTGACATATTTTTTTGAAATTGCAAAGCCTGCGTAAAAGATGCAGAAAAGTTATTGGAAGATAAATAATTCTGTCTGATGTGTTGAACAGAACGTGAGAAGACGAGACGTTTATTACTTGCATATATAAGTACTATAAATTGGTAATTTTCATCATTTGGAAACCAGTAATGGTTTTGAATGCTTTGTAAATAATAATCGAACGATGTCCGATTGACATGACATCAATTGAAAAATTATTATTAGCAGAATGACTATCGATTTTTGTATACGAACATATTAAAATCCCATTGATTTAAATTTGCTGATCGATTTTTCTATTAGACGGATTTAGATGACCATATGATGCTGTGTTGTGTAAGTTACTTGCTATATTGTTACGCTCTGGTTTCCTAACATCCCGTTGGGTATAGGCCGAAGACACAAAAAAAAAAAAACACACGGTTTTAATTACACCTTAATTGTCATCAAAATTCTACATTATGATTTCTTGACTTAGAATCTGCTGGTATCTCTTCTGGGTCGAATTGTTCATATATTCGACCGTGTGTTTTTTTACACGTGACAAATATCTTTGGGCCGATACACAATTCTGTGCTCTATTGTTGTCGCGGGATGTTGGATTCCGTGGGAGCACCGCGGTAGAATAATTATTATCATATTCGTGGACGGGTGACGTAACGGGCATTAAAAAATGTGTGTAATTGCGACAATGGATTTGTATTTTACTGTTTTTCTTACTTATAGGAGTGTTGCGACGACAGAGGAAGCATGGCTCACGAATAGTACGCTTATTATATGGTTGCTCGTAAAACGTATATTCACAATACACGGTCCCGTACTTATAACAAACATTCGCTGCTAGTGTGTACATGAATTAGATGGTGTGATTTTCTGTGTGGAGATTAATAGTGGTCATGCAAAATGGTTATATGACATACTAAGTAGAGCATAGGCGTATAATAAATTCAACTTTTAAAATGTGAATCAGCCGATTACAACAACTCATTTTATCTCTACTATAAAGACAAAAAATCTGGTCGGCTCGGGCGTGGACGGATGTCCGAAATATTTTTTTTAGTTGTTTCACAACTCCTATCATACACCTTGGTGCACTTTTGCAGTTCGTTTAATTTGTTAAAATCAAGACATTGGGAACGTGAACTTATATGTAAACACATTTCTCATGAAATCGCAATAACATATTATTATCGCTCGTTAAAAACTCTTCTACTGAAGCGCACACAGTAAACAATACTTCTCTAATGCACATATAATAATAACATACACACAATTTTTATTACTGCCATTCGTAGAGGCCATCAGAGAACGAAGTCACATACGCATAGAAATATGTTAACACGTTTAAGAAAAAAAGTGCAAGTATTTTTTAAGATTAAAATTAGCGGTGTTTAATTAATTAGAAATTTCCCTACAATTACATGTAATGATGTACACTTTGTAACTATACAATGAAAAGATTTTTTTTTTTTAATTCACTTTCGTTCAAATTGAAATGTAGTATTTTGTTACTGTCGAAATTCTCATAACATGAGCATCAAACCATATTTTGTGGCTACACTTGGTTGTTTTATCCAAAAACAGTCTATCAGGTAAAACCGCAATCGGTTATTTTGTATTCATCGACACGTTTCCGCTGCGGGTCATAAAGTCATTGCTTCGTCTTTAGACTATAGGTAGATAAAAATAATATTTATGTTATTAAAACTAAGAAAGAAACGCATAGAAAAGAGAAACGTCTAGTATTGTACATAAAATGCAGTTAAGCCCACTAGCGATTTTCACCGTTTTCAAATAGCCCATTGATACCCGTTTTCGTTTGACCAAGAATATTAACTGTGCCGAATTACTATTTATCAATGGCATTACAGTTAATTTCAAAGTAGTCAATGTGTTTTCACACTAACTGTTTTAGTACATTAAAAACGTGTTTCTGGTAATAATTGGTAATAATAATTGCAACCATTATTATAGCGAATGTAATAGGTAAAATCGTTTACTGTATGAACTCCATTGAGCTACCACAATTAAAAAATAATATCATACACTTGTACATGACTACGTCATCATAGTTACACAATGAGATGAGTAAAATTTGCAAACGTTTCCAACCTATCATGACCAAATGTTTAAGTAAACAAACAAACGTTTAAATTTTTATTTATACGCAATATTCAATCTCATATAAAAGGCAAAACAAAAATAAAATAAAGACATACGGTGATGTATATTTTTTAACGACAACCTTCGACAATATAAGTGAGCCACTTCCCAACTCCTTTTAATTTAAAATAGAATGTATGTATAATATATTATTTATTATACATTTTGTGTATATTTTATTGTGGCTGATACATGTTCTACAAGGTCATTAGATTTATTAACATTTATCTAAATATTTTAATAAAGGTAAGTGTAGCAAACATTCAATTTCTATATCATTGTAGATACAGTTATATCTGCACTGAGGTTATTGGTGTTATTGTTTGTAAGATTACACAGATTTTTATGTACTCCTACACATGAGTCAATGTTGTTGCAACTTCTAAAATACTTCATACACAATAACAATTCAGACTAAGGAAAGATAAAAATTGCATTTTTTTGATATGCTGCTACTATTTGACCATTTTATCTCATTTATTATTATTATACTTGGCAGCTACGTGTATTTTTTAGAAAAATAATAGTAGAAATCGTCCAAAATATTTACCAGTTGGAGGCTTGGCACCCGGGTAACATATTCTGAAAAGACCTTTCGTCCTAGTGAAGAAATAGTATTTGTTCATTTGCTCGAGTAATGATGCCGCTTGATTTCCTCTTTGCGCTGCGATAGCATTCTAAAATGAAAAAAATAGATATAAATACTACAATATGAAATAATTCAACAAAACAATTATTGTTTATTGTTATGAACAATTAAAACTTATAATAGACATGACATCGTTTCGTCTGACGTATACTTATACACTACCAAAAGATATTTTTTCAAAGTTTAATTTCTTTTTATTCTAAAATTTAATGATGTATATTTTGTAAACAAAATTAAATCTATAAGATATCAAAAATCTCAAATTAACGAAATTAAGTTAATAATAATTTGATTTAGATTAATTTATGTCAAGATAAATTAAATTAAATAGTAAAATTAAAAACAATTTTTTTTTTAGTTTTACAAGTTTTAAGAATTTTAAATTTCACTATTTTTTATAAACATGAAATTCCAATAAAGAAATGACAATATCATGCACAATTGTTCAAGATGACTTATGTATCTATGTTTTTTATAGCAATCTGAAAAATGCGGACAACCTAAGGTTCTATTAAACAAAATGTGTTATTTTGCATGAAATAAGTAAGGTGTGTTCATAAATTTAAAGGTTTTATTATTTTAAAACAATTTAAAATAAAATAAATAAACACACTAACATATTTTTAAATTAAACGACCAAACAAATTTAAACATATCATAAAACCACCAGCTGGCATTTTTAACAAGACAACAGTGAAAAACAAAAAAAAAACACGTTGTAAATAGTTATGTACAGTACTTTTGCAGTATGTAGAATATTTAACAAGTTAAAAGTTTATCTTCTACAATCATATTTCATAACAATTGTTAGACTAAAATCTGATTTTCTAACGTTAGATCATGATCATCCGAATAATGTTGAAAATAATTAACAATCAATTGAAGAATTTGGTGCAAAAACAAGATTACTGCATTTTTCAAAAATTTCAAGAAGCTGAAAAAACTAGACATTTTTACGCATGTATCCTTTCCTACCAGTAAATTTAAAAAACATTATATTTTTCTAATTATTTATTGTAACTATTTATATATATATATATATAATCGTGTTAACATTATATTATTATTTGAGAATCTACGCGATTGTTTAAAAAAGGATGTACAACTTTATTATATAAACAACAGCCACACTTTTCCAATCATAAAAATAAATTAAATTATAACAATGTTAAAAAACATCGTACCATATAGGCGCAGATAAATAAATTACATTACATTGCATAGCATGTCCTTTGAACGTTCTCAATTAAGAAATATGAATAATATACAATTTCAAAAAACTCAGCTATTATCAAAAAGAGACTAATGTATTTAAAAACATCATAGGTAAACAAAATAACAACAGACGACCGATAGCGATAAATGTCGAGGCTCATGACAAGGTCAGAAGTCGAGAAATCATGATGAGAAGTTGTCAGAAGCACTTACCGCGTCGGAAGAAAGAGAAAACTTAAGAAATATCAAACAAAAACATCAGATGTGCCGACTAAGGTGTCGGTTAAGTTATAATTATTGTAGATAGAAGGAGCTATTAACAACCGCATCACAATTAATCCAATCGATTCACCCCAACACTGTACGGATGCATTTCCGCCATAATATAGTTTCCGGCAAAAGGGGTTTAGTGCGATTGTTTGGTGTACACATCACGGAAAACGTTTATTAAAAACGCATACCTATGAAGAACTACAATCGATGGCTCAATGACCTCGCTGACAATCGTCACCACAGTGTATAACAGGCGGTTCCAGTGTGTTTTACGTTGATAGAATACGTTATGTGCATAGAAAAGAATGCGTCTGTCGATGATAACCACAGCGACCCTATTGTTGGTGAGACGACGTCAATCCGATCGACAGTTGCACTACGTATAGTATTGATTTCGTATTATTTATTTATCTATTCCAATCTGAATGAGAGTAATTTCTAAACAGATAACGGTAATAGGACGGACATTGATGGGATAACGAGTGCAAAACGCGGAACTTCCAATAAGACATGGTTTTAATAGATTGTTTGATTCTACATCGTGTTATCTTCACAGTATTTGAGGAATTAAAGGCGGCACTGCATATCGTTATGTTAACGAGTGAACAATAGCCAATTATATCAACACTGAAATTTATGATTATGTTAACTTAATAAAGAGTGTAAATAGTCAATAATATACAAACTGTATAACAAACATCTTTAAAATATATGAATTAGTAATGGCTAATATTGCACTATAATATCTATACATTTATTTTTTTATTTAAAATAAAATCATATTTCGTCACTTCAGTTTATTGGAATCCGGGCTTAACATTTAATTTATAGCAAAAAATATTCCAATTTACATTTTAGATATGTAAATTAGAAGTAAACAAATCTCATAAATATTTTCGTGAAATAAATGGTACACTTAAGACACGTATATTTCAAAAAACTCTATCAGTAACCTTTCACTTTAATTAGAAATTGGAGAAATTGACCATTAATTGATGTCATTCTCATATAATTAAATTATTTTTAGTAAAATTATCATTTCATTATTAACTCCAAAATACGTATCCGCGATTTTTTAGTAATTTTTATTATGGTTTTTTAAATTAATTATTTTTTCTCATATAATTATATTATTTTTGATAAAATTATCATCTCACTATTAACTTTAATAGTAACATTTTTCCCGAATTAAGTACTCGCGATTTTTTAGTAATTTTTTGAGGTTTTTTGAATTAAATATTTTTTAGTTTTAAATTAATAATATTTATAGTATTGTTAATATTTTTAAATAATATTAGCCATGAGTGATCAATTTTTATCATAAAAGTACTCATTTTCTAATAAAGAAATACAAATTTAATGGTTATAAAATAAATTTCAATTATACAACAGCCATGCTCAATTGCCTTTTTATTTTTGATAATATAATCGAGTAACTTGTAAATTATTTACCAAAATTATGTATGTCTATTAATTTTTATTTATCTTCAAGATTTTGAAAATTAAATACATTCAATTTCATACTTGTCGGATGTAGTAAAATATTATAATAAAATTTAATTTTTTCAACGTTTTCTTACAAAAATATAATTATTGTCTATTTTTTAAAAAATATATATATAGTAATATAGTTTTAATTTTAAACACTATTAACCCGTTGTCCAATACAAGCGGTTTTTTCTCTAAAAAAACAAGTTCAAGGTTTACCACGTTCTTTAACGTATATGTTACAGTATATTATGTCTCTTGTATCATCTGGTTATCGACTTGAATTGTACTTCAATACTTTATGGAGCTTAAAATTGATTATTATCAGGTATGTGAATTATGTATCATTTATAAGTTTTGTTTGAGCCACTTTGAAGGGTCCCAAGTTTGTGCAGCATTAAAGTAGGATTATATGGTAACGCCGAAATATTTTTAGGAGGGATTAATCCTGTAATCCTCCTCAAAAAATAAACTATGACATCGAGAAGAACCCATTACTAAGTTTTTAAGTCAATTGATGAAAATTTATACTGATACTGTGTTCGGATTAACTTAACAAAATGTACAAATGCAAATAATTTGGACATTGAATATCAAAATGAACGTCCAAGCTATAAAAGGTAAATAAGTTACAAAACTTTTTAATTTTACTTATAATTAATTATATGCTAATGAAATATAAGTTTTTGTGAACTAATTTGTATGTAAATCGAATCCTTCATCATTAATTTTTATGTTATTCATAAAATAAATAAACCTAGCGCAGCATTTAACGACTCGTAGCAACTCCTAAGAAATGTTTTAGTTTATTTTTTACGATGACCAATAAAAACCGTAACAGATAAAAAAATTCAAGTATTAGGTGTTTCAGGTTTGTGGTTTTCGGTGAACTATGCATGGTATCAGCCATTTTAACAACGAAAGTAATTCGTGCATAAAACTGAACAAAATAATACGTTTTTCGATTACACTATTCTGTTGTCGTCAATCAGGTCCGAAAAAATATTGGGTCGTTGGACTTGAACATAGCCGTGTCACGAGGTAAAATTAAAGTACTTTTAGGATTCGGCATGGTCGACGGACCTACAGATAGTTAATACATCTATAATTTATCAACCGGTTAACAAAGTAGAAATATGATCTCATAGTATTCTTTTAATTATTGATATTTTATTTGGGTCTCGTATAGAGATACGATACTAGCTGTAAATTGCAACCTACGTTTAGGTATCTGGTATATGTGCTCGACCATGGGGTCCGTTATAATGATTCATTCAATGAACCTAAACAGTACCGCGACGTGTTGCTATTATAAATTATCATTACTGTCGTTAGCGCACTGTGGTGCGTTTAATCTAGAGGAGTTAGTTGACGTTAAAGCCGACTAAAATAATTATAGTAATGAGTTTTTAATACAAACACTTTGTATTAAAAATATCGGATAATCTGTTAATTGAAATAACAACAATATTGAGCTTATCACGAGACGTTGTTCGTACCGTGTGAAAAATGTATGGCGATTATTTAGGTGCTAAGGAAATATTTAACTATTACATTAATTAAAACATCCATTAAGGCTCCTGTACCGAATTGAAAGTGTAATATCACAGAGTACAACAATTTCTTTCTATTATATTGAATGACCTTCCCAAATAAACATACAACTGGCCGTGCTGAACATAAATGGTTAATGTTCCGTTAAAAATCGAACAATTTTCTCTAGTGGTATTTTCAAAACACTTTATTGCAAATTAAATATAAATAATATTAACTACTTATTGCAAATTTTGCAATGACTGACAATGTGACGCTGTATGGTTCCAAGCAGACAACATACCAGACAATATTTCTAGACCAATAAGTATCTAATTACATTAAAAACCATAATATAAAACGGTAAACATAATAGTATAATTGACATACTGTAGGCTGATTTAACCACAGAAAACGCACGCAACACATTGGAATAGTTACAATTAATGCCTAGATATAAATAATACATTATTTCATTTTCGCTACAAGCGATTATTACTAATAATTAATCAGTTATTAATATTAATGGAATCCAATAACGCAGGTCAGTATTCATTTTTTTACATAGATTTACTTTGAACAGTTTTCAAACATGCCACATAACTTGACGGTTGATGTATTATAAGATTTCCCGTTATACATTTACCTAAATAATGCAAATCGTTTACGATCCGTTCAGTCGAGTTCCAAGTTATTATATAAATGAAGTCTCACGTCGAACGAGTCTTATCTCGCCGCACGACATCACACCAAACCACAAATGATTTGTTATATCTCCTACTTAGTTTCCTTTCAACAGAAAAACAACATTCTCATCGGTACACTTGCTGGTTTTACCGCCACTGCGCTTTGTAAAATAGTTTCACTTGCTATGAAAATAATGATAACAAACTTATGACACGACTCTCTTAAGGGAATATTTTTTGCAGAATAGAAAACGAACAAAAGTGAGAACTCCTATTCACAACAAACACACAGTACTCCACATAATCAAATTAAAAGACTACAATTTTCGACTACTCGCGTTACACGGTACGAATAATTCACTATTAGACATATTGTTATAACTTAAAGAAATATTTATGTCAATTTTGGATTTATTTAATGTCTTTGAATTACTAGTTTAGGATAAACTTTTTAGTTTAAATCAAATTAAATCCAATATTTTTTTTTTTTTTTTTAATCAAAAATATTTAAAAACTTTATGACATTACAATAATTTGAATACAAGTTAGTTTTTAATTTTAAACTTGGATATATATAAATTATGATTTTTTTGTTACATTTTTAAGCACAAAAATATCAAAAAGCGTGTAATTATTATTACTGGACAATGAAAGTCAGCGTGATATTTAAATCTTATAATTCAAATACCATTGAACCGGATAATGAACACAAGTTTCTACTAATATGCATTTTTATAGTGTTATTTTTACATAATATTTAAAATTCGACAGCATTGAGTGGTTAAGTGTAATTTGGTGAAAACGTTACGGTGACTTTAACGATCGGATTATATTATAATTTCTCTAGTCAAGTGATTGTTGAAAGAGATATGGAATGGCATAAAATATTTTTAAGCAATATCGTTTGTACTCAAATAACATAAACTCAAATATTATTTATAGACTTTAAAGACAAGTTACGCCATTTAAAGTATATCATACTTTTAAAGTCATTTAATATCTACTATTACTAAGAATAAGTTATAGAAATCAATGGGTGGACACTTTGAAGATGCATATTTTTTACTGCATCCAACGTCTCTCAATCCGGACAACGCGCTGGTTAGGTAAATGACCTCACACAGATTACTATGTTTTACGGCTATGGAAAACTTTCATTTCAACTCTATTGAATTCCTGTGTAAAATTTATTTTATTAATCATCGCGACATACCATGGATGCTCAATTAAAATTCAGTAAGAAGGCAAAGAGGGTTTAAATAATGAAAAAAGCAATTGCAACTTATAGATAAATATAACATTTTTTTTATAACGTGTTAAAAAAAAATGAGAAAGTATATGATTTCACGTACGTGATACGTACTTTTATAAACTTTTATGGTCACTACTACTTATAAATGTTTTGTAAGAAATAATAAAAATGTATTTATTTTTATCGAACATTTTGAAACTAATAAAGACTTTTTATAAACAAGAAAAATGTTTTTAAAATTTAAAATTTATAGTTTTCTTTAAGTAATTTATAATTTTTAAAGTGTAAACAAGATAAAACGAACATTAAACATTTGTGTACCTACTAAGAATGGTAATAGTGTAATTATATAAGAATATGATTTATATAAAATTTAAAGGATCAATACTATACAAGTACTTTTATAAATAACAGTGAATATTATAATTTCAATAATTAGACAATAAGTTGTTTGAGAAAAGGATATAAGATAGGAGAATATAAGTTTTATGTTGTAAATATGTTTTATATAAATTTAACAGAGCGTGTCATACAAAGTACTTTCTGTATTAAACTTCATAATATTATTTTACTGAAAGCACGAAGGAAGTATCAGAGTTGATAAAAAAAATATTTAAGATAAATATATCAAATTCGAATGAGTCATCAAGATTTTTGAATATGAAGAAGCTGATCTTAGAATAGTACTGTTTCATTCAAATATGACTTGTCTAGTACAGTATATAGGACAAATGTGTGTTATCGATATCTGTTAAAATAATTAATTGGCTTTATGTAGAATCAAAGTTTTTTTATATAGGTGTTCAGTGAGAAAGGAAACGGGTAAATTGTTATAAACGATGAGAACAATAAAAACCCGTTTCCTTATTTACTAAACACTCTGTATAAATAAAAAATCTTTATAAATTAATGATTCAGAATAAGGAATTTTATGATAAATCAATGTTTATTTCACATTGACTGGGTTAAAATCATAATAACTGCAAAATAGTATTTGAATCGAATTAAATTTTTCACTACTTAATCAACAGAGTTAAATTAAAAAAATAAATATAAATGATTATTAACTTATTATATAACATACGTTATGGATCACAAATATCAGACTGGGGCATATTTGAATGCGGCATAAATTTGTTTTATGTTAATAACATTGTTATAGTTATTTTGAAAATTATAAAAAAAAAACTAATTGGCTACACAGTTTTAAACATAAAACTGTTGTATCAGCCACTTCTGGTTGTAAATCAGTTTCAATTACTAATTTTTTTTCGTAAGATTTTTTCAAGTGCAATCTTCAAAAATTGCAAGTAAAAAGTTAATTATTTAGTTTTATAATATTGTTTTTTTCAATCTTTATACCTACTTAATTTAAAATAAATTTAATTAATTAACTCATTTTGTATTATATTATTAATTAAATACAACGTGGGGTAAAATGTTTGTATTAGTAATTTTGTATATTTTTAATTAAATTTTAATATTACTTGTATGAACAGAAAAGGAATAACTACAATATTTTGACGTTGAATGTTATTTAGGTTGCCACGTTATGATTTTAATTGTCTAATTGGTTTCACGCTAGACGCGCGTTTAATTCGTTGTAAAAATCTACTGGCCATCAACATTTCGCATTATCTGCATCAATCGGCTATTTAACCAACATTTTATTTATTCGTAAAAATTGAAATCCTTGTTAAACTGTTATACTGTTATAGAAAATCCATGAAATTAGAACAGTTTATAAGTAGTCTATTTCTAGCACAATTATTATAGAATATCATTATAATAAATTGGAGCGGATTATGTGCACAATAATGTAGTTTGCGAATATTGTAATTTGAACGATAAATAAACAGTAAATAGGACTCTTTATGAAAAGTAATTGCAGTAATATTGTCAGTGATCAGAGAAAAATTTTTAGATGTTTCCAATTAAAAATGATGCTACGAAGACAATAACTAAGTCTTCTTTTTCCTCCCCTTAATCCCAACTACTTTGAGTTAGCCACCCTTATCCTAAACGTCCACTTGACATGATCTCCCACGTCATCTATGCATACATCAGCCGTTCGCGTATCGCATTCAATTACATTCCTCCATCTCTTTTTTGGTCTTCCTCTACATCTTCTTTCTTCAACATTCATTTCTATAACTGTTCTTACAGTTTCAGTTTCCTCTTTTCTCATAACATTACCATACCATCTAAGTCTATTTTCTTTCATCTTATCGACGATTGACGCTACACTTATACACCCTCTTATAGCTCGTTCCTTATTCTATCTTTTCTAATCACTCCACTCATTCATCTAAGCATTCTCATCACTGCTACACTCATTTTCTGCTCTACTTTCTTGTCAACCGCCCAACCCTCTGAACCATACATCATAACTGGTCTCACCGCTATCTTATAGAATTTACCTCTCAGTCTCATTGGAATTCTTGTATGGTGTAACACACCATACGCTTCTCTCCACTTTAACCACCTGCACATAATCCTGTCTTATATTCTCGTTAATACCACCGCTCTTTTGCATAACTGAGTAACTTATAATATATATTATGTGTAAGTCTATGATATTTCGAGCAAAATTATTCATAATCTGTATCAACATTTGAATCTAAAAGTCCTTCAGTGAAATTACATAATTTATTTTATTTCACACAGGTGCAATGAGCAATGGTCATTTATTGATATTCATCACTTTTCTTCAGTAAATTAAATTATTTGTAAAAAATTAGTAAAACAAGTTTCTGCATATTAATTTATAAAATATGAATATTTAAATTTGTCAAATGAATTTCGTAATGTTTTTATAATCAAATATATATTTTCAACTGGTAAAAAATTCAATTTCACAACAAAAAGTTTTTATTTATATTTTGGTTAAATACCAAACAAAACTAGTACATTTTAAAACAAGAACCACATTTTAATTATACTGTTTGGATTAATATAAATTGCAAATAGTTAGTCAATTATAAAATACGTATGTTTTCTACTGGGACGATTTTTAAAGAAAATATTTTTTTAATTTATTCCAATTTTAGCCCTATACTTCAAAATATTGTTTTGAAAATAAAGTAAAATAAATATTAAGATATAAAATAAATATTACAATAAATTATACTGGAGAGCAAATTAATCATGTTTAATTGAAATATGAGGAGTACTTTTTATAAATTGTTTTGTATTTAATTCACGTAAAGTGAAGTGGGATAAATGTAAACGAACAGGGTAAATGTAAATTTATTTTTTCTCTAAGAATATTTAGAATATTTTATTTTAGATTAAAAAGTTCTGGTCTATATTTGTGTTGCTATTATATTAAATGTATGTTCGGGAAAAAAAACTTGTGCATTTATCTAAAAAAATATATTTACTATTACTCTACTCACCCTATTCAATTTTTTTAAAATAAAAAATCAATTATTTAGTAATATATTAACATATGCCAAAATAATTAAAACACTGATACATAGCAATTATTAATAGAGTAGAGATATTCTTTCTTCGTGTTAATAGAAAATAACATTAATATTATAGCTAATATTAAATAGTACTAACTACTCGGTCCAGAAATTTCATGGTTAAGAAATATCCTCTTCGGGAAATCCGCAATGGCCCTTAATGGGCCATAAAAACAAAAATAATCAATTAGACTAATATGAGATTTTTATCAAATCTTAGTTGAAAAATGAATTTTTTATATTGTGGAATAAAAATTCATTAAAAATATTGCTGAAAAATTTAGGTATAAATTAATTATAATATTTCAGGTTAACTAAAGCCGTTCAATTACTATGTTCTCTACATGAAATTCTATGAAATGTATATACTAAACTACACTGGCACCATAGATACATTTATAAGGTTTTATGTGAAATAGATACATTAAGTTATTAATTTTTATATTTTAAAAAGTTGGAATATATTCTGATCAAAAATATGTACACATGTAATCAAATTTTACATAAATTATTTTGAAATTATTGTAAACGACCTACAGTTTTTGACAAATGACTTTCAATACGTGGTTATTTTACATTAAACGAACACCTACGTCGAAAAAAATTATTTGTGTTAAATTTTTTTTATTTTTTATATTAGTAAGAACGATATTCAAATACGCTTAAAGGTAGTTCTTAAATTATTTTGACCATTAAACGCTTTATGAATGGAAAAATAGGAATAATAGATATAATGTTATTATGTTGTCTTGACAATAAGATGGACCAAAAAAGATTAATTTTGGCTGCCTATTGTTCGTGTCAGGTACATACGTTTTAATGTATACACGCGTGTATATCTACAGACTAAAACAACCTTACAGCAGCGTCGGTGGTAGCCTCCAATCCGAGTACACTGACCATGATGCTTGCACATGTGTCATGCACCCATCCAATCTTACTGTACAATTTAAAATTAAGATTGCAATATACATAAGAATTATTATTTTTATTTAAATAAATTTAAAGGGAAAAAACTAATATTTTATTCTCTAAACCGTGTAAAACAATCATATATTTTATTTTATAACAGTCGCATTGGTAAATGAGTAGAATTTAGTATTATCAGTACTCAGGTGTCATATTAATAGTGCACTCACTTGTATTTGTGTCCTCCGAACTTCATAATCTACCCAGTTATCAGTTGAAAATGCTATTGCCAACATTGCTGTAGCTACAATGGCCAATATGGTTGCTAAAGATAGAGTTACCGCGGAACAAGGCATTTTTTTTTTGTGATTCTCGTGTTAAAAAAAATTAAAAATATCACGTTCTCGCGTAGTGCTCTAACTGCTACTGTTTAGTTTTAAAAACTCTACCACATTTTTTTAAACAAATAATTTCAAGTAACGTACTGTGGGGGAATAGACTTTGTTTAGGGGTGAACGCATACACACACACACACAAACGTCGAATACCGAAACGGAACGAGACGCACAGACGATCTCAGTCGTTTAATAACAAAACAAACACTAGGCACACAACGAACGCCTGACAGACCGACCGACTACTCGAACAATAGTTACACCGGACAGCATTTTTTTACCCGACCGATTTTCTTAGCGTTCCCCCCACCACCATAACATCCACCACTCTTTCACCCGAATGTATAGTTATTGTGATGTTTCTTCAGCAGGTTGTCTGGGTGAATAGAATTTACCTGTTGTCTGTATGCGCTGAGTTGCCTGTTTGCCTACCCATAAATATACAAAGATACTTAATAAATTCAGTAGTAATAATGGTAGTGAAATATAAGGGAGACTACCCTATAGTAACAAGATACTGCAAAATAATTTTCAATTTTTTATTCTGAGATGTTCTATAAGTTTTGTGCACCAGAGATGTAAACTATCACAAAAAATGTTGATAATGTAACCTGGAATAGTTTATTTTTATTGTATAGAGTTAATAAAATAATATAACTTTAAATTACTATTTCAATATTTTTAAGCTCTCTAAAAACATTAACATTTGTAACTTGATTTTTAATCCTTACTAAAAACAAAATTGTTATTTCTAATGGCAAAAAAAAGTGATAGGAATATTATTTTTTATTGTGTAATAATTAAAAAAATAGACGTCTGGACATTTTATCAGAAAGTAATACTTCTGTTATTATAAAAAAAATAAAAATTGTTCAAGTTACAATATTAGTGTTAACTATTATCTTTAGTTAGTAATATAACAAAGGGCTAGAAGAACTAAGCCCCCCTAAAAATTCTAGGTACACCATTGCATAGAGTTATCAACTTCTAAAAATGGCTAAAACTATATTTACCGATTACTCATACCAGTGACGTAACTAGACATTTTTTTAGTGGGAAATAGTTTGAAATCATTTTGATGACTTTTTTATTTGCATTTATAACTACTAAAAAATTCAAAAATTACTATTCATTTTAAGGGAAGTGTAAAACAAGAAAAATGTTGACTACTTTCTCAAGTCGAAATTTTCAACTTTCTCTATTGAGTTACTATTATAACCAGGCCAGTTAAATAAATTCAACCTGTCGGAAGCAGCAAAAGCACCATCTGCTGCCCTTGTACGTACGTTTATTTAACACTAAGGTTTAAATTGTTTTAATCGAAATACTTTTGAATACTAAATATAAAACTTACTTAAGCCTTATTATCAAAGATTTTTTATAAGCGAGATAGATTTCAATAAACTTATGATAGAGACGATAGAGAGAAGTGTAGTTACATTTTTAGGGGACAACCAAGGTTATTTAATTGACTGTTTTTTTTTAATATTAGATTAAGCTAACTTTAATATTAAATAATAGTCCTTTTGGTAAACTAAAATAATTTTAGAGGGCAAACCGTTTTCCTCCTTTTAGTTGCTCACTTAATGAGAAACATTTCACTATTTTTTTTTATATTATTAGGTGAAATTTTCATACTTTTGTAAAATTTTAGTTAATTGGCAATTAATAAGATTATTTTATTTAACTTTGGAAAATTACAAATAATTTACCGTTTCTTTTCTTAACAACCCATAAAAGTAAAATATTAGATGGATTATAAATCTATAAAGTAGATTATTAAAAATAATGTGTGTAAAGTCATTCATACGATTTAAAATCAACATTGTGAATATTTTGTATGAGTTACATTTCTCATTTATTACATTTCTTAATTTATCAGTAATTAATTTGTTTTTTAGAATCATAACTTTTTGGGCGTCAACTTTAATTTTTCAAATATATAATTAATTAGCTTATTTAATAGATTATGATCAAATTAAAAAAAATGATTGGTTGATAACAACTTTTTGAATAATAATTTCGGAAGTTATTATCATTTTATATTAATGACTGGAGGTGAGATACGGGTGTTCTTGTTTTATCATATGCTATCTCCTAGTTACACTCTTTCTCCTGCTTAAATATAAAGATGTTAATAATTTCAGAAATATTGGTACTAAAATTTTTAAAACGGTTATTTCCTTAATTTGATCATTTTATATTTTATAAGCTAGTGAAATAGGTTTTTTTCCATTTGAAAAAAATTAATTCGTCACCCCAATAAATTATATGCCATAATTCTAAAAAGTAATTAATAGCTGATAAATTAAAAAATACATGTGATTGAAATAACGAACAATTTTTCTTTTATTATTATATTCGTTTTGTGAGTAATTGAGTGATTTATAATGAACCAATAATTCCGTATATTATATATTTATGTATGTTATTGAACTATTTAAAATGTATTTTATATTATTAAATAATCATTAAAAATATGTCTAAAAGTCTAGAAAAAACACTGCGTCTTGGTTTAGGAAACTGCGCACGCAAAAATTTATAATTTTATCGTTTTTTGTTATAATGTATAAGCTTAAAATATTCAAAATATTGAATAATTATTATACCCAAATAATGTGCAATGAAATTTGGTTAATAAAACAATTTTTATTTACAGATGAAACAATTTTACAAATACTTAAATCGATAATATTACTCTTTATTTATTATTTTTTATCAAGTTTCTAAAAGCAGTGTTGATAAGACGTGTGTGCATGTTATGTTACTATTGTCATGGTAGCACTGTTTTGCTATAACCATATGAAAATATTCTGTACAAGTTGTTTACATGTTTCGGTCTTTTTATCGGGTTATTATTCTACCGAGTGTCGACTGTAGTTTCTCTTTCGTTGATCGTATTACATTTTAACATATTGCTAGATTAAATTAAAGTAATTAAGCGAAGTTATTAAAGGTGTTGTAAACTATTAATTATAAAATAAACATCAGCTCTTTTAAGCAATTATCTAATTTAGTTCAATGCGTAAGTTAAAAATTTTTTATCCAAATTATAACACGAGTGTTTCTTAATATTGTTTTCATAGTTTTTAAAAGGTACACATGTACAAACAAATTAAGTGAATGAAAATCATGTCCGTTCATTATAAATTTAAATCAGCCATTTCTTATGATACTATCACTTTTGATGGTCTTCATATTTCTCTAAAAGATTTAAAGAAAGCAATTCTTCACCAGAAACAAATAGGAAAAAATACAGATTTTGATTTGCAAGTTACAAATGCGCAAACTAATGAAGGTGAGGTCAACAAATTGTATTGTTATTAAGTTATTCAAAATGTTTACTTTATAAAGCTCTATAATGACCTTCAGCTATATATGTTTATATTTACATTCTCGTGGTAATTCATTTTCTTCCATGGTAATGGGAATGATGTATATTAACTTAAATATTATTGTATTAAAGGTGGCTATAATTATGAAATACATAATATTAAATATATATACAAATGTATATTTTTTATATGAATATAAATAATTATAATAAAAATAATAATAAAATGAAAGAATACAGTAATTTATTGTATTTTTTTATCATTTTAAATGAAATAAGTCTATTAAATTTGTATAAAAAAAAATTGTACATATATATGGATCTTAGTATTTATTATTGGTTATATGAAACATCGAGAATTTGAGGGGTTAAGGTGATATGTTGGAAAAAAACTTAAAAGTAGAATAATCATTCTTTCGATTGGATTAGAGATTGCAGTAAATCTTTTTAAGTGCTATTTATCACAGATATTTAAACCAAATGCCTTGAAAATATAGAATTTCTTGATTTTTAAATTAAATTATCTTTAATTAATTTTTTGTTACTTTGATCACTTGAGTTCTAGATGTTTAATATATATAAACAATTCCCTATAGTTTTCCAATTGAAAAATTTTATTTTAACACATAGATTTTGTTTGTTAAGTGATTTTTGCTCTCACTTATTATTAAAAAGCTCCATTTTTAAAGCAAGTTGTAGGAAAGTGTAAAATAATAGTTTTCCCAATTAATATTAATTTAACAATTATTATTCTTGTTAAACTTTTTGTGAAGATAATTTTAATTTCTTATTTAAATAATAATGGCTGTATTATTTTTAGAATACACTGATGACCAAACATTAATTCCCAAAAACACTTCCTTGGTGGTCTCGAGAATACCTTTAACAGCACAGCAAAAGAAAGCATGGTATGGTTGTTTAGAAAACAATATGTTAACTTAAAAATTAATTCTTCAAATAGTTTCTAAATTAGTTTTTATTTTGCAGGGAGAGAGCAGAGCAAAATAATCAGCTTGTTCTTTCAAAACAGGTATGGATAAATATATATATATATATATATATTTTTTTTTTTTTGTTTTAGAAATAAACATTCTTTTAATATTTTATTTTTGTTAGATTTCTAATTTGGATTCACATGATGTAGATACTTCAAAACTCAAGGTAATAAATAACTAAAATTTTAATGTATGTTTAAACAAATTAATATAAAATAAATAATACTATTGTAAAATTTTAATAAGGGTGCTGATTTACTTGGGTCAAATGCAAGTGAAGAAGATAAAATTAATGCTATGATGGCACAATCTACTCAAGAATATGACCCATCTAAGTATGTATTTAACTAAAATGTAATCTAAGTTATATTCTAAAAGTTGGTATATATTATTTTAGTTTTGTGAAAATTCGAGGGGGTAATCAGTTTGGTGAAGTACCTTCAAATTATGTATGTCATCGATGTCATAATCCTGGTCATTGGATAAAAAATTGTCCAAATAACAATATTACATCTGTAAGTTTTACAAAATTTTATTAAAAGTAATATTTAAATAAACTTTATTCCTAGGAACCTATGGATATTAAAAAAGCTACAGGTATTCCAAGAGGTTTTCTTGTCCCAGTTGATGGTCCATCAGTACCAGGAGCAATGTTAACTGGTCTAGGAACATTTGCCGTCCCAAGCATTGATCAGTATGAACAAAATTATAATTAATAAAAAATATGTTGTTGAAAGTATTTTCTATGAAATCCTTAATATAATTTAAAAAAAATTGTAGGGAAGCTTATAAAGAGAGCATGAAACCACATAAAAAACAAGAAACTGAAGTAGAAAAAGTAATGATACCAGAAGATTTGTTATGTAGTTTATGTTCAGATTTACTGAATGATGCAGATATGATGCCATGCTGTGGAACGTCATTTTGTGATGAATGTAAGTTTAATAATTGTATCTTTAAGTTATACAATTGATTAATTGTATAATTAATATTAAATTAAGGTATTCGTAATGCTCTCTTGGAATCTGAAGAAAATGAATGTCCCGATTGTCACGGTAAAGAAATATCTCCTGAAACTTTAATCCCAAATAGATACCTTCGAAATGCTGTAAATAGTTTCAAAGATAAAACTGGTTATAGCAACAAAAGAATGGATGGTATCAAAGGAAAAATAAATGAGTTAAAAAGTGAAATAGTTCCAACACCTGTGATTCAGGAAGAACAAATTAAAGAAGGTAATTTTTATGAAATTACAACAAAATTTTTTAACTTGAATTGTATTAATTCCTTTATTATTAATTGATTTAACTAATGAATTTTTAATTTAAATATTAATTGATTTTTATTATTTTTAGTTAATGTTTTAGATAATTAACTAATTAAGAAAATGACTGGTCAATTACTTTTGGTCCAGTACTTCAGAAGTTATTAACAATTAACAATGTAAAGTTATTACTGGAAGTGAAAATGTAGATACTACTATATTTATCTCTAGTCATTTCTAGGCCTTACTCCTTCTCCACCATAGTATACATATGTTCAAGTTATTAATATGTTTATATTAGACAGGAGTAAGAGAATGAGAAAAAGAATGAGTAAAAGAATTGACTAGTAATATAATAATAACACCACGTCTCAACTTCAGCCTACAGTATAACTAACTAATAATTATTAACTTTTGAAATATTGGTCCAATAGTTGATAACAGCCAGTCATAATCTTAACTAGATCATTATCTAATAAATACACTAGTTAATTATATACCTTCCCATTTAAAAAATTAAAGTTAACATCCTTTTAAGGTATAAGGGATAAACATAAAAAATACTTCATAACTAATAAATATTACTAAAAATTATTATATTTTGATAAATTAAGTATTTAATAAAATTACCTTGTATAACAGGTATCCCACCATGGTCAGATATCTTAAACAACTTATTTAGCGAATATTTTGTGTTACTTTTTTTTAAAACAATTTGTACAGTTTTGAATTGTTTTAAGTATATTTTTATTTTTTTTTAAATTTCGAAATGAGCCTTGCACACAATTTTGTAGTGTCAACGATAATTTTAGGTTCTTATCAAATTTTACTATTTATAGAGTTCCAAACATATTAATACATAGAATATGTATGTATCGCAAATCGGTGCAGGCCATACTAATATATGTGTACTCCGCTTGCGTTTCATACTCACACTATGTATAAAAATGCATGTAACTCAAATAGTATTTGTCCTAAAATAATCATCAACCCATTGAATAAATTTACAGATGTTTAATGGATATTTTTATTCTATTGACAAAAATTCTAGTGTAAAATTGAAAATAAAATTTCATACATTTTTTTTATCCTATAATGAGTCCTATGGTTCTTTATTGTTTTATGAAGACAAGAGTTGCAATTTATTATTAGGAATTTGCCTTTCAGAAGTAGTCATTCCGGCTAGTACTCAATTGCCTACGTTTGACCCTTCAATTGAAGGAGATACTAATGAAATATATCAAAAAATTTCTGCTGTCGGGGACTCAGTGTCTGTAGAAAAAAATCGTCATAAAAACTATTCATCAACTGGGACAAGGCATAATTCTCACAATCATACTTTCAAATCCCAAGTTCAATCCCAAGCTCAGTCTCAAGCCTCATCTGTATCTGGGAACATTAGTGATCGACCAAATAACACTAATATACTTCTTCCCACGAACAATATGTACCAAAATGCTCGCCATCCTATTTCAAAATCATCAGAACGAATGTCCCATGTACCACGTTATAATCCCCAATCCATGTCTATCCCTCCTCATCCTCATTTACGCCCTTGTTTGCCTGTAGGACCTGCTGATTTAACGGTTCCACCACCTCCTTTTGCTCATCCACCACCAAATATTCAATCTGATGTTGGATATAATCAAATGCAACCGTAAGTTCATTTTTATTTTGTTTTTAGAATAATTTCTATTAATTTTTTTTTATTTAAATTAGTATACTCAACCCACCACCTCCTGGATTAGATCAAAATAATAGTCCAGCTAATGTATCATCTGATGAAGGAATGCTTCCTCTTGAATCATCTCATCATCAATTAGACAAATTTGAAAATACAACTGGGTCAATTCAATCTGTAATGAGAAATGATTTTTCTAGTAGTAAGTAAATAATTATCAAACTAAAAATTTTTAAAATAATTTTTTTTATTGTAAATAGGTTACTATCAACCAATGCCAGGCTATGAACAATATCCCATGCACGTAGATATGAGAAATCGAGGTTACAGTCGAGGCTACAGGAGACCTTCTCGTGGACAGCATTTAGGGTCAAGTTATCGTAATGGCGGATCATATGTAGGGTGAGTTAATATTTAAAATGACAAATTATTTACTGAATAATTTAAGTTAATTTAAGAGTAAACATTTTCTAATTATTCTACTTAATTTAATAGTAATATTATACAAAAATATTTTCATAGATAGTTTGATAGCTTAATAGAAAACCTATTACTTGAATATTATTAGTATTTTAGTATATTGTTCTAAAAAAAATAACTAAGTGGGTTTTATTTTATATTTTCAAATTTATTTAGTTTTTATATGATTAAAATTGTTTTAAAACTCTTATATTAAATAGACAGTTATAATGGTCAATAGCTAAAAAATCGTTAGGAAATAAATAAATATTAGTTATTTAAAATATTTTTCAATCTTAAATTATTAGAATATTTTTCTTCACTATGGAGATTGAGTTTTATTAAATTATAGCCCCGATAACTACAATTAAATACTTTTTGTGATCTTTTGACATATTGTTGAGCAAAATTGATCTCAGCTATACGTCATAGCTAATATAGCTATGCAAAATGGTCATATGTTAATTATTAGCTGTAATACATAGAAAATGTTATTATAGGGGTAAAAGAACTATAGATGATCCATTAGCTATGTTTCAACGTATATTAAGAGAGCGAGATAATAAAAGACGTGATTTAAGAGGACGGCATTCTTTATCTCGATCAAGATCTCGGTCAATATCCAGATCAAGGTCTCGAGATCGTTCACGTAGTTTAAGTCGTTCACCTGCTCGAATTATGAAACGTAGGACACGTTCAATTTCAAGGTAATTTCTATTGACTACAGAAGTGTTAAAATTTTACTACTGTTCCTTCAATTATTAGGTCTCCACCTCCACGGAACCGTTCAATAAGTCCAAGACGACGTAGTCGTACACGTTCTCGAAGCCCAATGAGAAAACGCAAAAAGAGTTTAACACCATTAAAAAGAGTACCCGTTAAGTCTAGGAGAAGATCACGTAGCTCTAGTCGTGACCAGCCTAGTCGGAGATCAAGATCTTTGTCTATTCACAGAAGGTATATGTATATATATATGATAGTTAAACAAAATTTTAATTATTAATTTTAAACGTTTTTTTGTTAGATCTCGAACTAGATCTAGATCTCCTGTTCACAGAAATCGATTATCACCATCACCTCGATTTAGATCAAGATCACCATCATTTTATTCTTCACCAACAAAGTATGTATGCATAACATTAAAAAAATAAAATAAAATAATAGTACTTTATTCTGAAAATGTAACACTTTACTTACAATTCTCTTTTTAATAGATACAGCAATTATCCAAGAGAGGAGGACAATTATGGGGCTAAAGCAAATTGGCGTGGGCGTGGTGGTTCTTGGAACAGAGGAAATCAACCTTACCATCAAACACACAGGTACAGTTTTGTTGTAAATGTTATTGCAGTTTCTAGTACCGATAGTCAGTTCATATTCGAACACTGTAGTTTGCCAGAAGAAAATCCAACTTATCACTATTATGAACATGAACTTTTTTAACTCGTTTATATAAATTGATTTGATCTCACTTATGATATCTTTTTTCTAAGTTAGGTTTTCTGTGATGTATTTAAATATTTAATTTTTCAATCTGTGATATGATAAAGTGATACTTTTACAACAATGTATTTATTTTTACTGGTTAAGTGTTCATTCTAGTGTAACAAATTATTGTAGCTATTATGTTTATAATCCTGGAATAGATATTTCTAACACTAAAAGAATGATCTCATATTAATAAATTATTTTTGAATTTCAACTAATTACTAATTTTGGTTCTATCTTTACTGATTTTTTTTAACCAAGTCACTTGATATTTTAAGTTTTAACTAAAAAACCAATTTTAAAAAAATCTGAATTATAATAAAAATGTTATTGTTGGCTTTTTTTTTGGTATTTGTGCTAATATAATCTGTAGCTTTATTTTTTTATTTTTTTTTATAATAAAAATGTTAAAAGTAAAAGTTTATCCAATGATTACTATTAAAATATACCGAAGTTTTAATAAGTAACTATCTATTGAAATATGATATATATATATTTTTTTATTTATTTTTAATAAATTATGAGTTTTATTTTAGCTTTTGTAGTTTTAATTAAAAATGTTTAAATTTCACAGTATTTAGTAAAAAAAAAATTACTTATTTAAATTAACTGTATATTGCTTGTTTTATTAATCAATCAAAATTGTTAAATTATTATCATTTTTTAATGTATGCTCTATTAAAATTTATAATAAATTATTTTTAATGCTAAATATTATAAATATTTTATGGGAAAATGATAAACATACTTTTTTTGGTTATGCATTTTAAAATAACAAAATTGATACAAAACATGTTTTCCCCTATAAAAATAATAATTTTATTTTTTAAATATACATGTTGATTCAGATTTTATGCTTTTTATTTTGAATTAAAAAAATGTATTGTTTTATAATTTAATCGTTTAGAAAATTGAAATGTTAAGTAGTCATTTTAAAATACTATTATTGTAAAATTAATAACTTATGTATATTATAAATACTGTAATTTCCATTTATGTTATTTTATTATTTTCTGTAATCTTAAACAACAAGAGTATAGTATTAATAGATTGTACAACTATTTTCTTTTATTTATTTAAACTAATGAGAATAGTACATTTCTTTAAAAATACCTTTATCTTGTATAAGTTGAAAATACATTATTTTTAATTAAAAAATTGATAATTATGCAATTATTAAAAAAAATTTGATTGTGGTTGATATGTTATATAACTTTATACTGAAAAACGATATGTTGAAGTTTGAATTCTACAATCATCATTAAATTTGTATTGTTCCTATATAATATTCTCAATGAATTTTTACTTAAATTGTATTACCTATTACTTATTATTACATTTTTACATATGTATTGAGTGTATTCTTATTATTATTACTTACAATTTTATTAATTTTAAATTAGTCTTTTAGTTTGCTATTAAATTTTATATTTGTTAAGTTTAATTATTTTTTTATTGAAAATTTAACTAGTAAATTTTTGATTATTAATTTAATTATTTACATTCATAATGAATGAACACGTACATTTTGAACTTAATTAAATAGATATTTAATTTGTATTTTTTACTTAAAATATTTATGTTTTCAAGTTCATGTTATATTTTGAAATGTTAAGTACTTTTTAATTTTTGGAATAATATCCTGTATAGAATTTGTTATTTAATTTTAAATGTAACTTAACACATTAGTTTTTATTTTATTTTTATAATTAAATTACGTATTACAGGCCATTAGTTTTTATCCTTTGTTAATGCATTATTTATTAAATATCAAATGATAAAAGCTTTGTTTTGTTGAAAAGTTATTGTATAGCTTATACTATAATAAGTATTTTTGTAGTTTCAATATTTATGTACTTATTTATACTTATTTTATTATTTATGTATGTTTAAAAAAAATTAATGTTATTATTTTTTTACAATTTAATTATCAACATTTTTAAGAGTTTTATTTTTTTCTTAATAATTAAACTTAATGTTTAAGAAACAATTTATTTATACACATGTATTTTATAAAATAATTTCCTAGAGTTTTGTATCAAGTGTATCTAAATTTTTGATGGTAAGATTCCTATGTAATTTAAATATCAGGTGTACATTTTTTATTGTAAATATTGTTATTCTATTTTTTTTCTTTTTGTTTTTTATAAAAAATAATGAGCTTTCTTACTTATTGATATTACTTTAATTTATTTTTCCTATGAAATATGTTGCGGTTTTGGACAATATTTGGGATCAGTTTGGTAATAAAGGTAATACAAATATATATGATATTTCGCTTACTAGCCATGCGTTAATTAAAATCTTGGCCTAAAAAAAATACTAGAAGTTTGCAGGTTTTTGTTAGCTGCCTGTAATCTAAGTAGCAGTACTAGAAACTTCGGATGGACACTACATCTTTAATTGATTTGAACATTATAACGTAATAATTTATCCTTTAAGGATTTGAAGACTTCAATTATATCAAGTATTAATATATTTGGTCTATCCTTTGATGAGTTTTCTCTTGGGATAGTTTTATATCTATTTGTACGGTAGATAAGGATTTAATTAGTATAATCCTAGAATTAGTTTAATTAGGACTAATAGAATTAGTCCTAAATATTAAAAATTAAAGGCGAATAATCAAAAAATCAAATGTTTTGTAAATTACCACTAAATATAACTTTATACCAGTAATTATGTAATTAATATTTTATATTGTATTTTTGTTAGGTATCAAAGGTCATTTGAAGAACACACAGGTCAATTTGATGTGGCTCTCGATCGATCAGACGACTACGTTGCTTCTTATCCCCAATTCGATCCTCATTATGCAATGGATCCTAATTTAGTGTGTGATTGGGATGAAATACGAGACAAAGAGATGAGAGAGAGGGAAAAAGAAAAAAAGGAAGAAGAAGAGAAGCAAAATGCTAAATCAAAAAGCCGAACTCCAGTTAAATATCACAAGGTTGATAAACAAAATTTTTCTCCTGAAAAAAATCATAAGGATTCTGATAAAAAAGATAAAGGAAAGAAAAAAAAGAAAAAAGATACTGACGTTGATAAAAAAAAGAAAAAAAAGAGCAAGGAGAAAAAAGATAAGGAAGATGGCAAAAAAAGTGAAGATAAAGAAGTTGATGACCAAATTGGAAGCAATAAAAATCATGAGATAAATTTAATGTTAGAAGATCAAGAACCGGCAGCACCTGGTACATCGGAGTCTCCTCCTCCTTTTGAGATTGTCAGTAAAGAATCAAACAGCGAAGAAAAAATGTCTGATGGTCTTTACGGAGACTTGGGTGAAGAAGCTACGGTGGACACTAGCTGGGGTAGCTATACGCAAAGTCTTGAAGAGACAACTTCGACTCCTTCTAAATTAGATACAAAACAAGAAAGCTCTAAAGAGCCGGAAGTATTAGCCGAACTTCCTGAACGTTCTAAATGGGAAGTCGAAGATGAAACAAATATAGCGGATGACAAAATATTCGAAGAAAAAATAAAAGAAAAAAGTATAACAGATACAATTGGGACAAATATTGATATCAATCATAGATCAGTGACTAATGAGGTACTTAAACGGGCTGAAAATGCCATTTTCCAAAAGACCATTAGAACTTTGGATGGTAAGAAGATTGTTATGTCTGACAATACTAAAGATAAAAAAACAGATACAGTAAAAGAAAAAAAATCTGAATCCGAAAAATATAATAAAGAAAAGAAAACAGATAATAGTAGTAGAGATAAAAAATTAGATACGACTAAAGATAAAAAAACAGATTCTAACAAAGACAAGAAAATTGAAGTTTCAAAGGAAAAGAAAATGGAAAATGTTATTAATAAAGATAATAAAAAACAAGACATGGAAAAAGAAAAAAAAATAGATAAAAACAAAAGATCGGACATTATAGAAAAAAAATCGGGAGTTCTAAATAAAGAAAATAAATCTAAATCGTCATTGGTGTCCCAAAGGGATTCGTCTAAACACAGAGATAAAAAGGAATCTGATAACGTTTTGGATTCGCTGACTATTCAAAGGGAAGCACGTAAAGCCGGTAACTCCATACAAATCACGATACCGACAGACACCGTTGATGATAAAAAAGTTAAAGAAATACCTGCTAAACGCATATCGGCAAAAGATAGGTTAGGTGAAAAGATAGAGGATAAGGACGACAAAAGGTATAAATCCAGTCGTAGCGAAAAACGAAGGGCTTCAAGATCTCCTATTCGCGTTCATTCTACATTAATAGTACCGGAACCGTTGTCTAGGAAAGTTAGAGGTTCTTCTAAGAGCCGTCGTGATGATGTAAGCAGAGTTCGTAGGGATAAAAGTAGTGGTAGAATAAGTCATCGACACCCATCTCGGTACGACGACGAAAAAAAATTAGAAAATTCGAGGAAGATAGAAGAAAGTCGTAAAGTCGTTAACAGAGCAGACAATAAACATCATAGAACAACTGGATCAGAACATCCAAGAAGTTCTCCATTAGTTAAGAAAGACGATCGATCGACTAGAGTAAAAGAAGAGAAACGGTCAGTTAAGGAAGAAAAACTTGACAGAACTGTTAAAAGAAAAGCTAAGTCAATTGGAAAAGAATCGCCACCCGAAAAGAAAGAGCGCAGAAATCGGCGACTGGAATCTGATCGAAACAACGACGAACAAGAAGACGAGGAAGATGAAGTGATTAAAAATCCTATCAAAAATAACGAATCGGATGAATCGAATGATTCATCGTCAAGTAGTTCTAGTAGTTCGTCTGATTCATCGCCAGTAAGGACGAAGAAGAGGAAGAAGAACAAAAAACAAAAGAAAAAAAAACATGTCAAGAAGAAGAAAGTAGTTGTTAGTAGTTCAGACTCAGATTATTCAGATTCATCATCTGAGTCTGAAGAAGAAAGTACCAAGCAAAAGAAAAAGAAAAAGAAAGAACAGCGAAGTAAACATAAAACTCATAAAAAATCCATAAAGAAGAAGAAAAAGTCCAAACACAAATAAACACAACTTTTATTAAATGTTCTATCGCCGTTAATAGCTCGACTGCTCATGTCATACATTGAACATATTAAGAAACAATTTTACATTTATTGGGGTTTTCTTTTATTTTCTATTTAATAATATGTTTTTGTTTTTATTTTATATAACTACAAACAATATTTTAACTTTGCGGTTTTCAGACTTTTGTATAAATTTGTTAAATATATATTAAGATGTTGCTTTATGTGTAAGATGGTACATCACTAGCGATTTTTTTTTATAAAATATAATTTATATATATATTTTTTTGTAAATATTGAAATGAACTGTAATTATGTTATTTAACTACTGAAATAATAGATGCATGTAACTTTGTATTATATTTGACATAATATATTGTTTAAAAATTATTTTTATTGATTTGTTACTTAATTAATCATCCCAATCAATTAATTTTTTTATAAGTTATTAAATAAATAAATTGTTTTTTATGATCTCGAACAGGATAAAGTGACACATCCACTATGTTATTGCTTTAAAATTAATATTTTAAGATTATTGTTTTATTATTAAGTAAATACTAAAAAAAAATAGTATTAAATCATTTTACATAAATTAATTTTCTCCTAAAAATCATTTTAGTAGTAAATAGGCATTTTAGTAGGCACTCTTGATATAGTGTTACATTAAATAATATCACAAAGTTGCATATACTCGCAGAATCATTAAAATATGAATACTATACAAAATACAAAGATTTTTAGCATTTTTATATGTGCTGTTATTTGTTGCATACATTTTGTCGTTTCACATAATCGACCATTTGAAAAAGAAGAAATCGAAGTCGCAAGACAAATTTATAATATGCATAATATTAAAAATGAAGAACCTGAACTCTGTGATAATTTGGTAGATTATTTATTTTTTTTTTTTTTAATGACAATATTTTTGATTGTGCGTATTAAAAAGTTTACACATATGAATAGTTATAATGTAAATCTGAACCTGGAGAAGCCAAAAATAAAAGGAATTTGATTTTCTATGTACATTTATATAGAATCGTCAGTTTATAGGTTAAAAAAAAATGTTGTTTTATTTTTTTACATATATTTCTTAATTTATTAGAAATAAAGTTATTAATTACTTTTTGGGATCACTCCTCATAAATTATTGAAGGGTAAACTTATTTTTTTAATAGTAACATACATAGTTAACTAGCTTATAAAATAGAAAATTATTTAATTAAGAAAATAACTGGTCGATAACAACTTCTGGGCCAGTACTTTGTTTAAAAGTTGTTGTCGACGAGTCTTTTTCTTAATTAAATCTTTTTTTTATTTTATAGACTAGTTAAATATGTATGTTGTTGTTAAAAAATTTAAGGTGATACTCTAATATTGTATAAGGGATGAATCAAAGAAGTATTCAATAATTGATATAACTGAAATAGCCAAAAAATATTTATTAAATAATTTTTTTTTTAAGTAATTGAGTATAATGATAAACGAATCTCTCTGTATAATACTCTTAATAATATGGGTACAAAAACATGTTTTTTATTAAAAATCTGTTCAACATTTTCTCTAAGAATTAAGCTCCGTGGCGATAAATAGTTTCAAATTGTAAAAAATGTCTGCAAAATATTGACATAATATATAAGTATTCTACAGACTTTTGATATTAATAGCACATTTTTTATAAAAACTATTAAACTAATTTTTAAGTAAAATTAAATGAAACTTTATAGTAAATAAGGAATGATTTTATGAGTCCAAACTTAAGAATGACAATGTCTAATAGAATTAAAATAAAGATAGCTTTACTTGTTAAATATTTGTGTTTATAGTTGTAATATCATGTTTATGAAGTTGATGAATCCAACAAAGACATTCAAAGAGGGGGTTAGGGGAGAATTTATATTTTTTAATTGCATATGATATATCAACACTTATAAAAATCAAATTATAAATATGATATTATATTTTAATTTAATGCTATTTTTTTTTTGAGTTAAGCACAAACAATTTACAATAATAATTTTTTATAATTCTTAACTCATAGAAACATGTGTTTTTTTTAATATATTTTATGAAAAAACTTTAAAAAAATCTAATTTTCATTAGATACTTAAAAAAACATATAAATCAATGTACTACACTCAAAATTAGGTTAAACCAAATTTTGAACACTTTCTAATTACTTAAGGACCCAGAAAAATATAATTACATAGTTAGCCTATATTTATATTCTTGTAAGTTTTGTAAATAACTCTGTATGCTATTTTTTATTGATGATCAGCTTCAAACGGTTATTTGGCTAATTTTTGTAAACCATAAAGTATTTCGGTAATTAAATTAATTATTATTTTTCTTAAATAATTTTTTAATTAGTCCAGGAATACTAATAGTTGTACTACTATTGATTTTTATTAATGATGTATATTCAGGTAATGATTTTTTAGAATCATACAGTTGAAAAATGTAGAATTTTCATTTACATTTGATATGTTAATAAAAATCTCTTAAAAATGTTATCACTAAGGTTTGAACAAAATTGCAAATTATTAAAAAAAACTGTTAAAGACAATATTTTATATGTTTACAGCCAAGTATTTTCAAGAAACCCGGCAAAGATGGCGAAGAAGTGTTTTTATACGTTTATGACATGTCTCGAGGATTATCTCAGTACATCAGTAAAATATTAAGTAAGTATTTCTTATATAATTTTTTAACTTCGATGCGAGCTGGTCTTGTGATGATGTATGTTTTTTATGCCTGTCTATCAAAATTTTCAGTTCTCCCTGGACCAATTTTAATAATCAAAACATCAAAAGAACACGATTTTAGTTTAGTTGACCTTATTGTCATCGAAAATTATTTCTTATTACTTAAAAACCAAATTTTACCACTAATGGATTAATAGTTACATATATGTTTACGACCAGAGAAGAAATTAAGGGGATATAAAAGTTTCTTCAATTTTTACAATAAAAACTTTTTCTTGTTCATTATTTAAAAAAAAAACCTTTTTAGAACTCTTTTTTATAGTTTATGACTCGAGATTCTCGTCAACTGATATTCGAACCTGACTGTAACAATTTTAGTAATGTTTAACTGTATAATAGTTGTTTGAATGTCTTAAAATCTTTTAATTTTGTTCAAATTTATTGAATCGTTGTGTAATTTTATAATGTTCAATCGTTAATGCTAATAAAACATAAAATATTTTCTAAAATTTACATTTTATTTAAAGAAATTTTATAAATTGTTTATAATGTCACTTGCATAATAGTGCCATGCCTATCATTGTCGTTATTAAATTTTCTAACTATAGTTAGAAAACATAAGTATCATGAAAATGTTTTTTTTAATCTTTGATATAAGATTTTTTTGTCTCTCTTCAATTAAAAAATCGTAGTTACACCTCTGATTTAATTACTATGAATTGCTAATAATTTTATTATTGTAATATTTTATAGAGATTCCTGTAGAAGGAATTTGGCATAGTTCAATTGTTGTTTATGACAAGGAACATTTTTATAACTCTTGTGGCGTATTTTCATGTAAACCGGTTAGTAATACTCATTAAATAAATAAATAAATCATTTAAATAATCTGTGGGGGTTAAAGTAAAAGTGATACAAGCAAATTTTTATATTTTTTCAGGAGAGTAGTTTGAAATATTTTAATATTTTAAAGACTAATGGAAATGTAGATTTTGTAAATGCAATAATATTACCTTATAATTTAATTTTATTGTTATCGTTAATGCAAAAAAGAGATAAAATTATTATTTCAGATTAAACTCATTTTACCTAAAAATTAACTTATATTGCTTTCTCTTTAACTTCCATATATATAAATAGCTAGCAATAAATATAAATAATAATAACGATAAATAATGTTTTACTTAATATTTTAAAATAGAATTTTAAAGTAAAATTTTTTATTTAACCAGTATCGGTATTGTTATGAAAAATATTATATAATAACAAAATTTAGGATACTGTCTTTAAAAGATCAATGAATACTCAAATATAATATTATATTAAAACGTTATTCATAAAATAACGTGTTTATTGTTTTTTTTTTTTTAAGAAAACTTGGCGAATTTATGGCGAACCTACACGCATTAATATGTTATGTAAAACTATGTTAAACGAGGGCCAAATTTTGGAAATAGTGAATAAAATGAAGTTTAAAAATTTTTCGTAAGTATAATTATTACATTTAAATCGTTTATTACTTAAGGGGTTTTGAATTTAAATTAAATTTTATATATTTTTGATGTTAAAAAATTTAACGACCCAAAAAAAAAATCCCTCAATTGAATCCCGTGCGACTCAGCATTTAAAATGCCGACACGGCAAAATATATTAAATTATTACAATATATTAAATATAGTAAATACACCCCTGTCCCCTGAAAAAATTTCTAGGACCACATCTGAATAAGTGGCGTACTCAAAGTTATCTAATGAAATTTTTACTATTGGTTTATTCTACTGAATTACTATATATTTATTCACATTCTACGATAAGCAATAACCTATTATCAGTTTTTTTAAGAAGGTGTAATTTTAATTTTAGGTTTCAACAGTACAATTTAATGAAACACAATTGCAATATATTTGCAAACGAATTAAGTATTGCAATATGCAAAACCTCATTGCCAAGTTATATTTTAGATCTACCGAAAAATATCTCTAAAACGTAAGTATAACAGAAAAATTATAAGTATTTTGTAAACAAAATCACCCCTTTTTTTTGTTATAGTCATATTGGTCCTGTCATTCAATTTTTGTCTGACACTTTTGGAAAAAATACAAAAGCCACTAATGATAATTATTATGATTATGAGAAACTTACTGAGGACATTTCCAACGATAGGTAATATATTAGTATTAACTTGCAGTGTTTCATAAGTCACCAGATTCATTCTTAAAGAAAATATGTTAAGTTTTGATAATGGTAACATTATTCTCAAAATACGTATCCGCAATTTATTAGTGGTTTTTATGGCTTTTTAACTTAAATATTTTCAATATTTTTTAGTTTTAAATTAATATTTTTAATATAATTTTTATTTTAAATAAAAATGAAATCTCCCATAAAAACAAATCAATTAGTTTACTTTAAATATCTAGTTCTTTATAACTTTTAAGTTCTTAAAATCATAAATTTTAAAAAAATGTTCTTTTCAAAACATTACTTTATATAAATATATAAAATATTCCCATTTTTGTATCATAGAATCAAATTAAAAACAGTTTAATTGATTTTTCAAGTATTTATTTTTAGATCATAAAATAAAATGGATATAATAAAATATTATAATAAAATAATATAATAAAATGGAATAGCTTCAATACTATTATAGCTTTTCAACCAACTTACAAACAATTTGTTTTTAATTATTTGAATAATTGTTTTAACTTTTAGTACCCTTGGTCAAGCATTAGAACCTTTTATGGATTATTTGAAATAAACAAATGGTCATATGTAAAATAAAAAATTTCTTGATAATAGTTTAGTCAATACAAAATCTTTGTTATAAAAATCAATAAATGTATTAATATTAATATTTAAAAAATTAATATATAAAATCTCAGTTTCAAAATATTTAAAAATCAAAAATTCTTCAAAATTAAAACTATAATTAATATAATTTATTTAAAACTAAAAAATATTAAACTAAAAAAAAAAAATTTAATAAAATTCTGTATGCGTTTAGCATTGATAATGATAACATTTTTCCTGATATACGTACCCACGATTTTTTAGTAATTTTTTTGTGTCTTCTTGAGTTTAATATTTTTTTGTTTTAAATTAATAATATTTTTAATAAATTTTTAATTTTAAATAATATTAGCCACAAGTGTTCAATGTATATAGTTAAAAATTCATTGTTGAAATTATCATTTTTAGGCAAAATAAATTTAGTTCTATAAAATTTAAAGCTTTTTATGATCAATTATGTATGATAAATTTTACATTTTTCAGTTTTTCGTATATAAATTAAAAAAAAAAAAGACATCTACATTGTTAAGTAATTTTTAACAAATATATACATTTTTGTAGTCACACTGTCGTTGTTTTTTATTTAACCAACTGATTTTGTAATTAAAAAAAGAACTAAATTTTTTTTAAAGATGGGTGATTAAAAAATTGCTAATTAGATATGCTCAGATAAATAAAAAACCTTCTTAAAATAAACGAAATATTACATATTTCTTTCGATGCTATCATATTATAATCAAAGATTTAAATGTTTTTAAAACGATAGAATACTTGCATTCAATGGAGTAAATATTTTACATAATTTAAGTACAATTTCCTTTGTTTCAATGCATTGTGCCATTGAAAAAATAACAAAAATGCAGAATGCGCTATTCAGAGCGGTCCTTATTGCTCTATAGGCAGATTCTTAAAAGGTAATTGATCTCTTACACACGTCAAACCCTGGACTCGAGTACAGGACCCTCAATTGACATAAAGTTATGGTAGTATAGTTATAGTAGATAAGGAATGTGTGCTGAAACTTTATGGAGCACCTAAAAAAAAAGCTCTATTAATAAATATAGATTTTTTTCGTTTATCATAAATGTATGATCTATACAAACATTTAATTTGGCTGAATTACCTTCAACCAAAGTATTTGTAAGAAAACATTTTTACCGTATCAAGTATAAAAGTTGTATGTAAACAAAACAAATGCAATAGATTGGAGTTAGCAGACGAGTAAAAAAGGTTTGCAACTTGAATTTTCGAATAAAGATCTAGGCCCAAAAAATATTTTAGAAAAAATTTCTTGTGTTTATGTAAAAAATTGTGGGCTTGCATGTGAACGTAGAAAACAAGGATTAAAGTGTTTAAATGCTAGAAAAATTGTATGTGGCTAAACATGTTTTAACGCCCAATATGATATTGAACATAACTATTTTTTATAAAGTATGTTATTTAATAATATATTACTAAACACAGTATATATATAATTAAATATAATATATACTTAAATATATTAACAAATAAAATATTAAGTAAATTAATTAATTTTTTAATTTAGAATTTTCATTTAAATATGATAATGTTTGATCATGAACTTATTTGAAATAAGTTCATATTTAAATTATATATGGTTATATATAATTAAATTCTATTAAGTAGTACAACAATTAGTTAAAATAGATTAAAATCGTCTTCTTTTGACTTATTATTCATTAAATCGGTCAAATTAAAATTGAGAATTTTTATGGACAGACATAATAAAAAATAAAAACACTGCCACAGATTTATTTATTGTAATAAATTAAAATTGATAATTAATCTATAAACTATATTTTAGTTAATTTTTTGATTTGACACATTTTATTATTTTTAATTTTTATTTTGGAACAGTTCTTCTGAATATATTTTCTGTCAATTTGAGACAGAATCCATTTATACTATTTTCGCAAATATCAACATGTTTATATTTTGATTTTCACAACCTCGAAATTAATTATATTGTTTATTTTTTAAGCGTTTCTGCTATAAGTATGGCGTTATTCTGTGAACTCAATGAACTCAAAAACAGTAACATTCTTAAAATTTTTATGATAAAACAAGTGTCTTGTTAGTTTTTTACGATAATATTGTAATTAGACCTATAAATTCAAAATTAAAATCTTAACATTCTTTATATCAATTACTGTTAAATATTTATGTTAAATTATACTAAACCACACGTCTTTAGCGAACAAAAAAAAGTACTGATTGAGATACGACCAAAAACCACGTAACTCAAATTTACATTTATTTATTCAGTTGTTGGTTATAACTAAAAGTTGGTTCATTAATCATTTAATTTTTTGCCAATATTTTAAACTCGTGAAAAACATTTCGTCTTCATCGTACTCAACTCGAAATTACTATTTAATTTTTACATTTCTGTACAATTTCATATTTTAAAATTTGTTATACCAATTTAATTATTAGTTATGAAGCTTTTGGTGGTTTTATTAACATTTTATTCGTCATACTTAAATTATGCTGAAGCGCAGTTGATGTCTTTGGATAATCTAAATCCAGTTTTTAAATCGCTAGTCGACATGTTTATGTCACAACGAAACTTGTCAGACACACTTACCTGCGAACCTTTGTTAAAATATAGGGCTACACTAGTAAGTAAATCATAGAGCTATTTTTAAAAATCTATAGTTAATAGTGTAATAACAGAGAATTAATGCTCTGTGATTACGCTATTTATATATTTTAAAAATCATAGCTTCAATTTCCAACAAGTATTTTCTATACATTTTTATGTCAAAATTCCATTTTTTTAATTTTTTTTTTTTTTTTTGAAAGTTCTACATAAATTGTAAAATTAATCAAAAAGCAAAATTCTTTGTTTGAAATATATATTATTTTCTATTATTCAAAATTTGATCGGACTTCCTCCGGTATTTGTTGAAAACTATAAAAAATTAATTTATGTTAAATTTCATAAATTATGGTCAACCTTAGCCGTGCTTTAAGAGGGTTTAAGTTTTAAAAAAGGTGTTTTTGAGTTTTTTGCGATTACAATATTACCAATAGGAAAGAACGTCTAATGATAAAATATTTGTTGAATTAATATTCCAACAAAAGTTGTAACTATTACTTTTTTCATAAAAGAGCTTATTTGAACTATTTTACTATTCATAAAAACAACTTGAACGAATTTAAATCTAATTGAATTAGTGTTTTTATCAATCAGTGAAATTAATTCAAAAGCTCAACATTAAAACTGATTTTTTAAATGAAAACCTTGTATTGTGGAATGAAAATCATAAATTTCTTACAACGACTATAAATTTTCTAACTTAAAAGCAGTGTTGTTACATTTTAAACACAGTTTGTTTTAAACGTTTTAAATTGTTTATTTATGTTTTAAAAATATGTATTTTTCAAAAAACACGTTTTTTAACAACATTGCTTTAAATTAGTAAATGACAGAACGAATGGTAAAATTAATGAGTGATTATAACACTTAAATCACTAAAGATGAAAATCAAAAACAGTTTTTAATTCATGTTAATTTAAAGTTAATGAATATAGGAATAAATATAAATAAACTTTATTTATACAATAATAACTTGACAGTGGCGCTTCTGTGGTCAAATAAAGGGTCAGATTTTGAAAAAATGTATACTAAATGAAAGGAAAATATATGAGGTCTTTATATTTAAAAGAATTATTTAAATTAGTTTATTTTAAAAAAATGTATGACAATTTTTAGAGAAAAAAATGTAGAAATTTACGGATTTTAAAAATCGTTATTTTCGAGGGGATTTTCACAATTTACAGGGAATCAGAGAAAAATTTTAATTTTGGAGGGTTACTTCTTCAACTTAATACGATTTGTGATCTTTTGACGTATTGTTAAGATAAATCGGTCCAGTGAGAGCTGAGAAGAAGTAGTGATAGACACAAAAAAAAAAAAATAAACTCATCATGATAAAATTAACACCTTCTCAGTTTCGCATCGAAACTAATAATATGTATTATTAAGCGTAAAATTTATAAATTAACTGATTTTTTTTATATGATCACTAAAATTCACCAAAAATAGCTTAACCCGCTTTTTAGCTTAGTAACAACCAAGAGGACCGAGTTTTAGTCATTAAATTTTTGTTCCCCCCCATATAAAAAATAGTTCCGGCGCTCCTGATACTTGATGTTTATTTATAATTTGATATAACAAAATACTTGTCAAAGATCATCGAAAACAATATCTTATTATTTTGTGATCGAATGTGTTTTTTTTAAAAAATTATTGTTGGAAATTTTATTAAAAAAATAATTTATCATTAGACATGTTTTCCTATCGTTAATACTTAAATATTATCACAAAAAACTCAAAAAAAAATTTTTTTTTTAATTTAACTCTCTTGAGGCTGAGGGTTGACCGAAATTTATGAAATTAATTTTTATAAATTAATTTTTTTTAGATACCTTTTTTCTTTATATTTAAAGAAAAAAGAAAATTTAATTTTTTAAACTCCATCTTAAATTATATTTTTTTATTCGAAAATTTAACTGGTATCAGAAATTTTGTAGAATTGCCATATAGGTAAGCATTTTTTATTTAAGTGTTGTACTATATCATAAAAAACATGACATATTATTGGACGATTACACGATAAATGATGAATTAATGCACATTAGTTTCAAAAGAATAAGTACGTGAACATGGAGTTGATTTTACATTTTGTACAAAGGTAGAAAGCTGTGTAGTATTTTTATATAAAACAATACATATTAAGTTTTAAAAAAAATGTTTAAGGTTACATATAATATTATTGTGTTCTTTCAAAATAAGTAAAAAAAATAACTTTTTTTATTGTTATCAATGAGTAATTAATATGCTAATGTTTATTAGGTGCAACAATTAACAGAAATAATAAATATGGTAAGTTGATGCATAATAGAAAATATTATCATCAAAATTATAGTTTTGGCTTTTATACAACTTCTTTGGAAATCGTAGTTGTGTGATATGCCCATAGATCTTATAAACATGGATAGGACATTCATCATTGAGGCCCTTGTGTTTTCGCGGTCCTGAACTGATATGAATATGAGACCGTTTGCTNCAGTTTCGCATCGAAACTAATAATATGTATTATTAAGCGTAAAATTTATAAATTAACTGATTTTTTTTATATGATCACTAAAATTCACCAAAAATAGCTTAACCCGCTTTTTAGCTTAGTAACAACCAAGAGGACCGAGTTTTAGTCATTAAATTTTTGTTCCCCCCCATATAAAAAATAGTTCCGGCGCTCCTGATACTTGATGTTTATTTATAATTTGATATAACAAAATACTTGTCAAAGATCATCGAAAACAATATCTTATTATTTTGTGATCGAATGTGTTTTTTTTAAAAAATTATTGTTGGAAATTTTATTAAAAAAATAATTTATCATTAGACATGTTTTCCTATCGTTAATACTTAAATATTATCACAAAAAACTCAAAAAAAAATTTTTTTTTTAATTTAACTCTCTTGAGGCTGAGGGTTGACCGAAATTTATGAAATTAATTTTTATAAATTAATTTTTTTTAGATACCTTTTTTCTTTATATTTAAAGAAAAAAGAAAATTTAATTTTTTAAACTCCATCTTAAATTATATTTTTTTATTCGAAAATTTAACTGGTATCAGAAATTTTGTAGAATTGCCATATAGGTAAGCATTTTTTATTTAAGTGTTGTACTATATCATAAAAAACATGACATATTATTGGACGATTACACGATAAATGATGAATTAATGCACATTAGTTTCAAAAGAATAAGTACGTGAACATGGAGTTGATTTTACATTTTGTACAAAGGTAGAAAGCTGTGTAGTATTTTTATATAAAACAATACATATTAAGTTTTAAAAAAAATGTTTAAGGTTACATATAATATTATTGTGTTCTTTCAAAATAAGTAAAAAAAATAACTTTTTTTATTGTTATCAATGAGTAATTAATATGCTAATGTTTATTAGGTGCAACAATTAACAGAAATAATAAATATGGTAAGTTGATGCATAATAGAAAATATTATCATCAAAATTATAGTTTTGGCTTTTATACAACTTCTTTGGAAATCGTAGTTGTGTGATATGCCCATAGATCTTATAAACATGGATAGGACATTCATCATTGAGGCCCTTGTGTTTTCGCGGTCCTGAACTGATATGAATATGAGACCGTTTGCTTACATTTTAATTGTAATAAGCACATAAGATACAGTTTTTTAATTTTGTAATAAGTTATAAATTATAACTTATAACTTTTACATTATTATAAATTACATAACTCATATTAATTATTTATTACCAACCATTAAATAATATAAAAATCTTATCATTAATAATGCAAACAAATAGCCTCAATTTACTATCACCGTAGTCTTCACTGATAACGAATCAATGTCTTATCCATGTTTATAAGATCTATGGATATGCCTGGCCTTATTTGATAAAACAAATTTTTCATATCATGGTTTGTCTTTGTTAATGATATCTCATACCTTGCTACTATGACAATTCAATAACGTAATGCGATATCATTTTTAATATTAAAAAAGTGTCGTATACTATAGTTTTAAACTTGTCAAATAATTTAAGAAATTTACTTCTACTGTATTGAGATTCATTTCATTCTGTATCTTATTAGTATAAAATTGTGTCATTTTGACCAGTTTCACAAAAATTTTGAGCGTATATTATATTTTATATTATTTTTAACTTTATTTTTTGAATACACGAATTCTTTGGTAAGTTTCCAATTTGTTCATTTTTAAATCCAAATATGTAACATATTTGGATTTATTTCACAATTACACAAGTATATTATGTGTTAAATAACTGATTATAAGTTGATATTATTTTAGTTATTTACTCATAACGTGAAATGTGCATTTTAAAATATTCTCAGTCTAAACTTTAGCTTCGATGCGAAGCTGAAAAGGTATTTAAAATTATATTTTCAAATAAGTTCTAAAGTAATTTATGTAATATTTTAAACTTAAAACACAATGGTAAATTTTTAATTTAAGCAATTGAAATTTGAATATATAATTTAATATTACCTTACAATTTATATTTATCTACTAAAATAAAATAAATATATATATATACTTTATATAAAAAAATTATTATAAAATAGTAACTTACCTACATTTTCTAATTTTGTTTCAATCCCTAGCATAATATCAATTATCACTTACCAATGGGTGAAGCAGGAGAAGATGTTCTTTTATATGTTTACGATTTGTCTGGAGGAATGGCCAGTATTTTGGGACCACAATTACTACGTAAGTAATATTAATAACTCATCTAAATTATGCAAAGCATTTATTTTAAACAATTTTAATATTTGTAGAAAAAAATTTAGAAGGAATTTGGCATAGTGCTATAGTTGTGTTTGGAAAAGAACATTTCTTTGGCTCAAGTGGAATCTCTATATGTCAACCAGTTTGTATAAATTAAATCAATTTTAATTAGACTTAAAGAATTTTATAATATACTTCAATAATTTTGTATAATTTAATTTGTTTACAATTCATTTGTGATCTTGACAAATTCTAAATTTTATTTTTTTTTAAATTGTCATTCTACCATGTGCTGTATTATTGATCTAGATATTACCAAGCATCTTAATAATTTATAGTAAAGGAAGATAACATTTTGAATTTTTAATATTTTACAAAGCATTCAAGTTATATTTCAAAATACACTAGATATAAAAATGTTTGTTTTTTCATGAGAAAATATAAATATTTTTTTGCTGACTTTATGATATTGAAATAGTATAGTTATCTGTATTTTAAAATATTGATAATTATCACTTAAGAGGCAATACTACCATTCTTACATTTAAGCTAAATGGTAACGCTATTATGTTCATAATTATTCTCTGCATAGACTAGTGGTAGTCTTAGATTTATAGTACACTTAATGGATAGAGTTATAAACAAATATTGGGAATATAGTATAATGCAGTTTATATTAAAATGATTTATTATTTATTTTGCTCTGTCCTTTAAAATTAATAAAACTGCGATTAAAATGATTGAGTCTTAAACGAAACAATATTGTATAATTTCCTTTGTTTTGCATAGTAAGGCAATAGTAGAAATCTGATTAATTCAATCTTAAGTATTTTAAAAGACTTTCATTTTGTTTTGATAAAAATTTGATGTTTATTCATATTTGGTATTATTTAATATAGTGAATTATTGTTTATCTAAATATGCATTATTGCATTTATTAAAGTTTTACTTGAACTTCAGAGTGTATATTAGAGTATAAAATTGTCACCCCCAATTATTTTTTCATCCATTAAATGTCTCTCTGTAAACTTATATCAATTATTTATAGAATGATGGCTTCTCTGAATATATTAAAAAAAAATATATAGTTAATGTATTACATACAGTAAAAATTTTTTCTATGTACTAAGTATTTGAAAAAAAATCATGGATATTAATAAATTTTTACATAAAATATTAACATAATCCAAGCGCTAAGCTTCATATTTATGGGGACAATTATATAGTTTAAAGTTTAATATTTTCTGGCAAGCTTAAAATAGTGTTTATTAGCCATAGAAAAAAGATATATTATCTAGAATTTCAGTTTATAGCTGATTTGTATAAACATTTTTTATTTAAGTTATAGTAGTTTTAAAATTCAGACAATTTTTTTGAAAATATTGTTTTTGTACGGTAGGCATAATTTTGAAGAATTTTTCCACATTTTTACAATAGGTTTAACTAGATAAAAATGAGATTCTTTTTACGTATTAATCATTTAAAATCGGTAAGGATCAATGAAAGGTGAGCATTTTTATAGACATAAAAAAACGTTTACTATTATAGAACCAATATCATTTTACCTTTGCATCTAAACTAATAATTCTTCAATATGTGTTGTAATTTTTATAAATAGTAAAAACATTCAGAACGGTATTCGTTTATTTATTTTTAGACTCGAGATTTCTAATTTCGTTTTAATAATACAATTTAATAACTTAATTTTTTTGTTGAGATACAAAATATGTTTTTATGAACAGAGGTTGGTCGAGTCATGAGCAGCTGCCCCAGGATATTATTATTACAGTTTTATGTTTTAAATTAAAATATGAAAAAAACTTATTATGCTCTCGCAATAGTATAGTATCTGTAATCATTCCTGTCTTATATCGTAATCGTTAGTTGTTTCTTTTAAATAAAACATTACCAAGTTAAAAACTTTTTCTTTCTAACAATTTTTTTGAAGTATTAAAAATCATAAATAACAATCCTATTAATATTAATTATTGGAAATTACCACGGTTATTTACACAGATTGATGTACGAGAGTCTTATCATTGTTATAGCGGAGTTTGTATGCAACTAAAGCGCTAGTAAAAGTCCTTATTTTAACATTTTAGTAATGGAAAGCAATGTATTTATTTATTAGTAAGGATATTTACGGGAAATTTTTTCAGAACATCAATTGTATATATGATAGTTAAATTAGTGATGTTAATAAAACTATTAAATGTAATATTTATTATTGAACAATGAATTCTGTTTATTATATCTAGTAATGTAAAAATACTATATTTAATTTTTAGAGGTATAATACTTGTATAACACACATAATACGTATTTTATGAAAAAATATTAGAACTTTTTATGATTATATAACAACTGAATCGGTCATTTGAGATACGACAATAAGTAAAAATATATTATTTATAAAATAATTAATAAAAAAAAAAAATGTTCTAATATCTATTGCAAACAGTATAAAACGATAATTACGATTTTAATATCAATTCTCAACATTTCATTGAACCAAATAAATAAATCTTTACAACATAAATACAAAAATGAAATAAAATCATAGAAAAATATTAAATAAAATTTATCGTATGTACATTAAAGACGTGTTCACTTATGTACATATTTTATTGGGATTAATATCTTACTAATTTTTTTTATTAAACGCATAACTTCAATATTATTAAAAAATGTATGTTCTCCCTATTTTTTACGTGTTACTGTTGTGTCATTTACTATTTACCCTATTAGTTCATGGTAAACACATCTTTAACGCCGGTAATACATTGAACATTATAATAGTTTGAAACATTATGAATACAAATACATTGTCAATCGTTAACCTGAGTGAAGATAACCGTGGTAATCACTTATAGTAGTTGGGAAATGAGATACCAAGTCCCGCGTTATTATTATTATTATCTTTATATAATTCATATTTATTGGATCCTCTATAGAAAATGTCTAAATACGCTACGGATTTAGAAAATTAATAATTATAAAATACAGAAGTATTGAACTCATCTTACGGAGAAGACATTTTTATAGGTTAAAAAATTTCTTAGAAGGAAACTTATCTATCAATTTTTCTTGCTGAATGGGAAACTTATTTCAATCGTCAAAATTAAATAATTTTATTAATTTTTATAGTTAAATAATATTTTTGTTAATTAAACTGTTTCTTCGTATATATATTGAAAATGTAATATGCAAATTGGTATTGCGGATATAAATTAATAAATATTGTGAATTTTTGGTTAAATTTTATAAAAAAGTAGAATTAAGTTATTGTGTGTTGAAGTAAACTGTGAGTATTGATATTACTTTTATGTAATACAATTTACAATTAATTGTGACACCACACTTTTGTATGATTAATAACAAAAAAGTAATTATTTTTATTCCAATAACTAGTCACATTAAAATTGTTTTTCTACCATAGTTATGCTGTTGTTCGGCTATGAAAGAGTATCCTAGGACCGGCGTTTTTTGATATTCGGCCAACACGAGACGGTATAATTGATCCCACTCTTAAGATTTTGAAATTTTTCTTAAAATAGCTGAGTGTGCATATGTATATGTGTTCGACATCCAAGACGCAAATACTGAATTCTTTTATCCAAAAATATATGTAATATATTATTGTATTACCACTGAACTGAGCGCATGTGTGGTTAATCGTTTTGTGTATTTTATGATCCATATTAATTTTGATGTTCTTCTTAGGGTACAACGGCCTTGGGTAAACCTTTACGTGTGCATAATTTGGGGAAAACTTGTTTACCCGAAGACGTGTTTTTTGAGTACCTTCGTGAACTTGAACAAAACCAATTCGCGTAAGTGTTTTGAAAACTTTTTATTATAATCTGTTTTGATGTATGAACACCTGATTTTAATTTCAGTCAACATAAATACAATTTGCTGAAGAATAATTGTAATAATTTTACTAACGAGCTTAGTCAATTTTTGTGTGGAACTTCAATACCGGATTACATATTAAATTTACCAAACGAAGTTCTCAATACGTAAGTAAATATTGATATAAAATTTAATCTTAACATAGAAAGAAAAATTTTTTATGATTTTTAAATCAAAAATTGTATCTTAAAATAACCGAATTGTTAAATATAAACATATATTTTAAAATTTAATTAAATACAGGTAAGACAGGTTTTATTTTCAAAAATGATACTAAATTTGTGATCGATTAAAATGGTCAAATTTTGCTAAATGAATTAATTCTTAAGAATAGTTTTATTTTTTAGTCCTATTGGTCAACAGCTAGCGCCAGTGTTGGAATTATTTTCAAATAGTATAGGAGTACACCCTGGTGTCAGAAGGTCTGGATCCGATTTTGAATCTCTCAATAACGACATTGACTCTGCAAGGTAATTAACAGTAACAGCTTTTCATTAATCTGACACAATTTAACGATTTGCAGTAGTGTTAACATTTTTTCCCATAGTCTTAACAATTTTATTAAAAACAATTGCCTTATTTTTTTTGTGAAGTTAAATTAGTACAATAATTGTGTTGTGTGTGATTGTTTCAGAAAATCATGATACTTACGGTTTTAGGAGGTTGCTCATTAGTTTCTCCGTAACACCTATGGCCATGACATTATTTTCAACTTTCGACAATAATTGTCTGTCTTTATTTAATTTGTAAAATATTTAGCAATGATACTGGACATTTTTTAAATTTTTATTCAAACCAAATCATGTAGTATTTATCGATTGTCATTCTATTAATAGAAATATTTTTGATCATTTTCTGTAATCTATACTGCTACGTTTTATATGTTTATAATTAACAAAAAAATCCTTCAAAAATTTGTAATTTACTAATGTTGTAACTTTTAATAAATAAAATAAAAATAATTTAGCTAACTGTATTTTGCTGTGTTTTAAGTGTTACTGTTTTATCCTTGTCGTAATTATCTAATATATGAAGTAACATTACTTTACAAATTGAAACATTAATAACCAATGTTTATTTACTATAATTAAAATCCTATCCATCAATAGAAAACAGTCAGCACTTTTAGAAGAAAAACGTGTCAAGTTACAGGAAAAATTAGAAAGACGAGAAAAGAGAAAGAAAAAAAAGAAAAAAGATAAAAATCCAAGCGAACAAGCGTCTGTAGAATCTGGTCCTAGTTCTAGTAGGTAAGGATTAAAATATAAATGTTAGTTTTTGACAAAAATGTTTAAATTATACTGAAGCTAACTAAATACTAAAGTTTTCAACACAAAAAATGTTGCAAAACTTATTTTGCATATACTAGGCAGGAATAACTATTATAACTATACTAGGCAGGAATTTCGAAGAAGGATGTCAGAAAACTGTATAAATGGAACAAACGGCGTTCAAGCGGCGGTCGATAATCGCGATGCAGATGATTTAGAGAGGAAAGAACAAGATTTAAAAAGAAAAGCACGCGATCCACCAATTGTTTTTCCCGAAGCTGTTAACGTAAGTCGGTTATTTTTAAATGTAGCGTTTAACGACCCCACTTATTGTAGCATTTGTATTATTCACTACTTAAATTATGTATAAATTTGGCATCTATGCCAATATTCTTAAACGGCTAATTATTCGATGAGTGCAATTTCATTTTTAATACTTGTTTAATGAATTAATCGTCAACATTTCGATTTTATATAAAAAATCTATGCAGTTTGGTTGTAAAAATATATTTTTTTTAGGAGTGATAAACTCCTTAATTCTCTAAATAACTATGGTAACAACGCATTAATAAGTTATTACGTTAATTTATAAAATATTGTACTGGCTGATTGTGTGTTTCGAATAACTACATAAAATTTGTATTTACATATAATTATTATTTAATGTCAATTTTCATTAAAAAATGTCAGAAGAGTGGACAAATTGAAAAAAATTTGATGGTGTCAGTCCTTGTACCTCACTGTTTAGGAAACGACTCTCATATACCCTCAAAACTTGTTTACCACAATTTCTATCAACTGTTCTTTAAAAATAATATAAGTTAAACGTTATAATTGTTAAGCTATAATAATACTATAAGTTGAAAGCTATAAAAAATATAGTAATAATAATCTAGAAATGTTTTTTGTAAATATTTTTTTAAATCTAAATACAATGTTTTTTTTGTATTTATACATTTTATAAATTATTTTGAAATGACGTTAGGTTCACGGAGAGTTAGAACGATTGGTCAGTTTGATCGATGGTCGTATTCCATCTGATGACATGCAATTCGTGGCTGAACTTGATCAATATATGTTAGAAAATGAAGGCTCCTGGGCTTTAGGCGAAGGATTTTTATCTTTTGTCGGTAAAAATATTTTATATTTGTTAAAAATATTACTGGTTTACTATATAAGGTTTTATTGAATAGCTTTTTAATTCTAGGTCGACTTTTGAATGATGAAAAGTTAGTTTCAGAGGTCCGTGAGACCATACTGAACATTTTAGCAGCTGCTGCTCTTAAAGACGATGTGATTTTGGTATTACACCAAGATAGAAGAGAACACATTTTGATGAATTACGCCAATGGTTTTGACAAACTTCCATTGTTAGAGCAATTATCTCTTTCATTGTTTGTAAGTGTATTATATATAAATAGTTTTTACATGGTAACACGTTTGTAATTAAGGGGAGAGGGTAAGTGACGTATGTTTGAAGATCTATGGTAAAGGGATACTTCATTACAAGTAAACAAGTTTTTAATTGTAATAATATTTTACTATTATATCATTATATTTTTACCAAAAACAAACGTTATTTAATATAAATCTTTTTTTAGATGTGCAATTTGTTTGAAAATAGCAGTACGTCTGAGTGGCTTTTATACATTTCAGAGTGGCAATTAGGTTCAACTATGGTGAGCAACATAAGAGTGACCACTAAAGTAGCAGTTAACTCATTGTTGTCTGATGACAAAATTTTGAAAGATCGCGGTACAGCACTTGTGCATAATCTAGCATGCAAGGAGGTAAAAACAGTGGTCTGTATTATTTTTAGTCTATGCTAAATATTAATTTAAAATAGTTAAGAAATTTAGAATGTTGTAGACAAAATGTTAGGTTCCCCAAAAATATAGATTCATTTTTATCTTACGTGCTATCGTGCATTTCCTCCACTCTAATTGTGAGGTGCACACTTTCTTCCCGATTTCGTTTACCTGTTTTCAGAAAATGTTTAAAAACCAAAACATTCGGAGACTGTTACCGGCAGGATCATTTTCAAAGGTAGAAATATATCATTCTATTAAAAGTTTTCGTGGCAATGTGTAAATGTGCTGAGCAATCTTCAGTGTCGCAACTCGAGGTGTTAAAACATTTTTATAGTTTTACTGCCGACAATATTTTTATTTGGACCATAGACAAGCTTTTTTTTAAAAAACTTTTTTATTTGAATTATTTATTACTTGTGCCTTTTTCTATTTTTGAAAAAAAAAAGAATATTTATAAGTATTGTAAATAAAATTTTTTAACTAGTTAGGTTTTAAATAGAAACTATAATACATCTCATAAAAAGATTTTGGATAGGCGTTTTATTAATATAGTTATTTGAGTTGAATAAAAAAATCTACAAAATAATTGCTTTCTATCCAACAGTATGATCATAGCTAACATTTTAGTAATTTGTAGATTTTTAATATTTTTTTAGTGAATAAACAACTAGAAGTAATTTTTGTGGTTCACCTTAATATGTTGTGACACTGGTAATCTTATGCTAGTTGTGGCTTTAATTTATGCTATCATTTTAGTTATACTTAATTTTTCAAATCGATTCTTCACGAACTCTTCTTTTCTTTACTTCAAAAATTGATGTACTTTTTTCAAAATTTTATTTTAAGCCTGTGATTTTTTATTAAATATTATATTGTGACATAGGTTTTCGATGATGTTGTCGTGGAGCTCGCCATGGCTGTGTTGCAGTATTTCAACAGTAAACCAAATGAAGAACACACTTTCAGATGCATGAAATCATTGGCTAGATTCTGTCAAATATCCAGACAAGAAGTACCTCAATTCATTCAAATGATTGGCCCCCCTCCGTCATCTTTTAAAGGCATGTCGGATAGAATTGACGAACAAATAGCAGAAATACAAAATTATTTACACTGAAAAATGTAAACTTGTTTTATGTATCTTTGTGATCGATATCTAAAGTTTTAATCTTAATACTCTAAATTTTTATATGTTTGTTGAATTAACTTAATGAACTAACATGCTATCGAACCATAATAGCCTATTTCATTCTGACCTAATACATTTATTTAATAAAAAAATGTTGCATTTCTATAAAACATTTAATAATTTATTGTTAAGTACTTTCATTGTTTAGATCATATTATTTTAATTGATATTTGTACTCATATATTTTCCATAGAAAATGTTTAGAATAAAAGTATAAACATTTATTTTATCAATCAATAGATGTTATATTAATATAATGCAGCTATATTTATTGATTAATTATAATGCATTGTAGTTAGGCAAAAGTGACCTTGTGTTAAGTATTATTTTGTAGACTAGGACCTTGTTGTCATTATTTACAATATTGTAATCACAGTAATAAAACGTACGAAATTGTTATCAAAAAATTTATTGGGTCGTGTTCGAATAGATAATAGCATTATGCTAACTTTTACCCAAGTATTATTGTTAAGCATTTGTACATCATATTAATCTTCTACATATGCAATAACTGTTGTTAAATATTACACAAATTAATTTTACACAAATATCAATATTGATGTTGAAATATTTGAATAGATTTAACACATATATTAAATATTATTTGTTTTCTAAATTCAGAAATTATTTAGTGATAAATTTTTAAATTACTTAGGTTTTATGATATTAATTTTTCATTTAGGTAATTGATAAAAATTTTCTTAATGATGTAAAGAAAAATTAATTAATTTATAATAATTTTCTTTAAAAAAGTTTACAATATCTACAAGTCGATTATTATTCGAGTGATGAGTGAATCTAATGAAATTTAATCAACATAATTCATATTACGTTATACGGGAGTTTTTGAGGGGGATAGGGGGATTAAATGCTACGACGAAATAAGTGTAATATCCTCAAGATAAAATCCTGAGAATTCTACTGTTATGCTTTTTTTAACAATTTTGTGTATATTTGGGTAAAGAGACATAGAGCAACATTTTAAAAATATGAATAATTATATGAAACATTCAGATAAAATAAATAAAACTTAGCAATAAAAAATCTTAAAACTAATGGCTTTGGTGCATATTTTATAATATTTATTTAGTATAAAGGATTTAATAAAGTTTCAAGTTTATTTAGTTTTTAATATAATTTCTCAACAATTTTTTTTTATATTAATGCGATATTTGAGTATCTTAACCAGAGGCACGTGTAATACTTTCTTTAGGTTACCATTCTCAATTATTAATTCCATTTCCTAAGATTATATCAAAAAAAAAATGTTGCATTATCAAAGAACAAGGTTTATCAAGTATATGAATTTTAAAATTTTTGCTAAATCGTATGGTAACTTTATGATTAGTAAATCTAACTTTGTCAGTAGCGCAAATTTATATTGTAGTAGCCAGAGATGTTTAAACATGTTTAAAATAGGAAAATGTTCATAATTTATATTGATCTTATCTTAAACAAGTTTTTTTTAAACATATTTTTAACAACCCTAATTGTAATTATCTTTATTAATTTTTTACTATTTAGTTTTTCCTTTATTTTTGATCGTTAGAGTAGGGGTTATATTAACACATTCTTATGCCCCGTGTAACGTTTAAATATGTATTATTATGTTATGCAATAATCGAGTTTGACGTTATTCAACATTTATACGTTATGCGATTTTTATGTTTAATGATTTTAATATTGAAACAATATTCAAGTTTTTTCATTTAACGTTATTACATTTTTACGTTTAATATAAAAAGGGGCCAATGACTAATTTTTTCTGATATAAAATTTTTTTAAATAAACGTCTGAAAAAAATTATTCTTTGATTTGTTAAGAATTGTTTTTTGTTTTCTGTTTTTTGTTTTTAATTACGTTTTGACAAAAATTTTTATTTAAAACATTATTTGTAATGTTTTGTTGTCATGATAAATAATATACACTCTTATAATATACTAAAAGTTTTTAGTATGCGATATTATTAACCTGCATAGAGATTATTAGTCATGCATATAGTCAAAGAGTTTACAGCAATATTTTAACTTCAATACGTTTCTAAAAACGTATTGCTTTCACAATGTGTTTTTTTATTTGCTATTTTCATAAATTCAATTTAAAAAAATTCAAGGTCTAATTAAAATTAAACACCAACCTAAAAATACAATAATAGATATAATGATTTAAATTTTTGGGTAGGTGCTTTTGAAGACTAGGGTTAAGTTCCTTCAAAAATCTCAGCTCCCCCTTCTGATAATTGTATTAATTATGTAGTTTATTCACATTCTGTCATTTTTAGTTGAGGTTTACCGAACGGATTTATCACATATTTTAACTAGCAAATGTTCTTTTAACTAGTATACATATTAGGGTGGCCCTCAAAAATTGAATGTCTTTTTTTTTTTTACGCTACCACTTAATTTTTTTTTAATGGTCAAAAAAATGAGCTGTGCAAAATTTGGGACCGATCCGTTAAGGTTAACCCGTGCCCCCGGGCCTATTAAGTTGAGTCGAAAAGTCAAATTTAATAGAAATAACTGATCTATGTCTCATAACTTTTTTTTCTCTTAACTTAGAATAATAAAAAAAAAACTCAATTAAAGGAAATTTTACAAGAAATTCAAAAATAATAACTTCAATGTTGTTTTCTCAATAAATAGCCCACAAAAACACTACATACAGTGAAAAACATGTAACAGTCTTAAAATACGTTATAACTGATTTTGTTGATTTTTAATTATTTATTTTCATTTTATTTTTTGGAAAACGCATATTCGTTTAAAAGAAGATTCTAGAAGTTTAATTTTTTATGCCAAGTACGATAATTATATTAGATTTATTATTTTATGGACAGTTAATTAATGATTAATTACAAACCTAACAGTTTAATTTAATTGTTATTAACAATTTTTAATTTATTTTTTTTAAAATAATAATAACTTTAAAAAAATATTTTAACAATAATTAAATTATATTATTATATTTTTTGATAATGTACTTTTTTTACAATTAGGAAATTTTTTCCGATAATTACTTACTATTTGTAAAACGTATTGTTTCTGTTCATCATTTGTAGTTTATATTTAATGTAATCTTAGATTAATTTAATGCCACGCTAGGCTGTATCATTATTAACTCGTAATCTACTTATAGTATTTAAAGCATTTATGTAACTGTTGTTCGCACTTGAAAATGATGGATCAATTTTCAAAAAATCAATGTTCAGATTAAATAGTTGTAAATTTGATGATAACTTACTACCAGTTATTTCGTGGGAATAATTACCAATAAGATAAATATTAGTTCGTAATACTTTAAAAGACTCTAAAAGTATTGTACATTTGTGATTAAAACGTATCATTTAATATATAATAATAAACAGGTAAAATATATTTAACATGTTCACAAATTGTCTGCTGCATTTATACGACACAAATTATGTCAGTTGTCGAAAATAACTCAATTATACTTATCTTTAATAATAATATAATTGGTACTATCTTAAAGTAATTCTGTAAACCAAAATTGATATATTGACGACAAAATGTAATAATACAATCAATTTTGTTAAATTTGTAATTAATCATTAATTAACTGTCCATAAAATAATAAATCTAATATAATTATCGTACTTGGCATAAAAAATTAAACTTCTAGAATCTTTTTTTAAACGAATATGCGTTTTCCAAAAAATAAAATGAAAATAAATAATTAAAAATCAACAAAATCAGTTATAACGTATTTTAAGACTGTTACATGTTTTTCACTGTATGTAGTGTTTTTGTGGGCTATTTATTGAGAAAACAACATTGAAGTTATTATTTTTGAATTTCTTGTAAAATTTCCTTTAATTGAGTTTTTTTTTTATTATTCTAAGTTAAGAGAAAAAAAAGTTATGAGACATAGATCAGTTATTTCTATTAAATTTGACTTTTCGACTCAACTTAATAGGCCCGGGGGCACGGGTTAACCTTAACGGATCGGTCCCAAATTTTGCACAGCTCATTTTTTTGACCATTAAAAAAAAATTAAGTGGTAGCGTAAAAAAAAAAAAGACATTCGATTTTTGAGGGCCACCCTAATACATATTTTTGTATATGCAAAGTGTAAAAAAGTCTCTAATGGTTATTGATTATTAACGTTTGATTGAATTATACCCATGTATAATTAACTTCCAAAATTATATCGTTATGAATAGAGTGCCGAATTGTATGTATGTATAAATTGTGTTTAGTTATTCAAAACATATTAGCCAGTGCAAATTTTAATTTATTGTAAACTTAATAATGCGTTTTTACCAATTTAAAATTTTTGGAGGCATTTAGAGAGTAAATCCCTCTTAAAATTAAAAATATTTCTATGTTACTGGCTTATAATCTATTAAAAAAGTTTTAAAAACTTGTGGTCCTTCAAATTGGCTAAAACAAAATTTGCCAGTGTATAGATTCCATACTCTAATTATTCGTAATTCTTTTTTAAAATAATTACAAATAAATTCATACTAGATTAATGGTTAAAATTTCTAGTTTACTCAAGTTATTTCATACTATTCCAAGATTTTGAAAATTTAATAGCTACAGCTCTTAAAAATTTAACTATTACATAAAATTATTGTCTAATACAAAGTTGTCAACGATAGGAAGCGCTACAACGAAGGTAAATTTAAAAAAATACTCAGACTGTCAAAACAAGCTAATTACTTAGCAGTAAGCCGTGAAACGAGAAACATTGTTTCAAGATAAAAATGTACCAGAAAAACGTCAATAAGTTTGCTACTCAAAATAAATCTGAAATGCTTGATCAATCCAACCAAAAGAGTTAAGTAATATATTAATGGTAACATAATCATTATCGTTAATCATGTTTAATGTCTTTTCTAAGTGTTAATAAAACAAGCTAAAAAATAAAATTACCGATTCAATATTTTTTGCATGTTTAATCCATCTAGAATATTTTTAAAACGTAAAATTTCAAATAATATGAAGAATTTAAGTTACGTTTTTGTTAAAATAAATGAATTGCAATCCATAGTTTAGATAAAAATATTATTTGGTGTTTGATAAATGACAAAATTTAGGAAGAAAAATATTTTATTTGATTATATTTTTTAATTAATTTAAAGTTATTTTTTATGTTTTTAAAGATAAAAATATCTTCATTTAATAATAAATTAATGACTAAATGAAACGTAAAATCATTACAAGGTGATGCTGCCACAAAAAAGAAATATGGAGGAGATTTTAAATTAAATTATTAATAAGAAGTGAGGAAGCAAAAACTCTATTAATATAGATAATATTTGTTAATTTATAAAAATGATTGAAATAATTTGTCTCTTAAAAAAATATATAGAAGATACTTTTTCTTTTTTTGAACTTTAATATTTTTGTAAGATTTGGGTCAATGAAACAAAACTTACATTGCTTATTAATTCGATTTGTGTAATTCAATATACATAACATAGGCGATAAGTTATATTATAAGCAACTAACTTAAACCATTCAGTTCCATTTAAAAATTCCAATATAAATATTTTAGGGAAGGGTTACTATTAAGTACTTTTAAAGTATTAAGACGAATGTAAAATTGACATTCAGTTAAGAAAATTTCATTTTAATTTATATTATACTTTAATAAATTTGAAACAAATAATCAACTTGCATGTTAATTTGTGTTTTTCAATATTTTTTATAGTACCTCATTAATTGGAAACATTAAGATAAAAAACTAAAATCAATAAAATAGATAAATGTTTGTTCATAATGTACCAAAGACATAAATATCAATTATATTGTGTTAAAATTATAAAAATAAATCAAAACTCTTTTTTAATTAGTAAATAATAAAATAGTAACTGATTACTTTTATTTATAAATATCTTCTTTTTTAATTTTTATTTAAACCATGATAATATTGGTAAACAATAGTAAACAATTTATTTAGGTAAAATTTTGCGGTCAATGTTTAGATGTTTTAATATCTACATAAATCTTCTATGTAGTACTAATAATAACAAAAGCAACAATGATCATACTACCTTTTTATACATATTTTTTTTATGAAAGATAGGAATTATTACAATATTAATATAGTAATCAATGTGACATTAGAGATATAGGTAATAAAGTAAATATAATCAGTTGTTTTTATCACGTCCACTTGAATTCTGAGTGTTAGATTAAAACAGCAAGAGTCACAAACAAAAGCATACTTTTATTATATTTCTCAATTAAGCGTCGTTTGTGTTGGTTGTGATATTTTATATTATTTTTATAAGGTAGTAAATGTATATTACACTCATATTGCTATTCTATAATAATTTAGCCACGCTGTAATTATCGAACAATTCAAGTACAATGACAGACACTATTAAATGTAAGTCAAAATTTTGAGGTCCGAAAGTGCTTTGTATATTAGTTATGAACAGTCACATGAAGTTCTGGAATATATTTCGATATCACGTCATTTTTAAGTGTTAAACTAGTTGTAGTGTAAAAATTGGTTTGAATGGATATCTAAATTAGTACTATTATCATAATTACCTTGTTAGAAATACACAATTAGCGTAATATATATAAACACATTTTAAAGTCTTGTCTTTAAATAATTGTAAGTTTTAAATAATAACAAAGATCGGATTAAAATTTTTCTTTGGTTTAGCGTTTGATTATAATAGAACATTATTTTATAATTGAGTTTAACGTTATTTAATATAAACGTAATACAATTTTTATAATTATCGTTTTTTATATTAAAATGTTATTCCATATTTTTTCTTATCGTTTTAACGTTAAAAGGGCTTGTAATATAATTTACTGTTATACAGTTTAAATAAGTAACAAGTGATTACTTTTTCTTATGTAGAATTTTTTAAAATATAATTTTTGAAAAGAGTTTATTTTTGTTTTACAAAATAAGTTTTTTTTATGTTTAACGATATCTATATTATGTTTATAGATAATATTTATTTCGTTCTTATTTATTGACTGTGTTTTGACAATTTTTTTTGTTTTAAACGTTATACATAACATTTTTATATCCTTCAGAAGAATTTATAACTATGCAAAAAATAAAATCTAAAGGAAATTTAATTTATATAATTTTATAAATAATATATATGAGTTTATTACTATTGATGATATCTGAAAATGAGATTCTTATTTATTGAGTGCAAGAAGAGTATTTGTTCAAAAAATATGGAGACACGTGTTTTATCAATTCAACTGTAAATTTGAATTTAAATTAAAATATTAACATTTATGTAACAATAATATTACTATACAATAACTTGGATAACCTTATAAATAAAGTAATAATTCATTTTTAAAACTTATTTAAAATCTTCAACAATGATTCAGAAAGTTCATAATTTATCTAAGATAAACTTTAAACAACAGTTTTATACGAGTGTTATTTAGAAATATATAATCGAATATAAATATTCGATAGAGACAAAATTAAGTTTTATTTAGTGCAGTAACGGTACAAGTTAATGGCAAATCACCCTTTTTTGGTAATTTTAATGTTTGTCTTTTTTTTTTAATTAGAAAAGTAAACTTTAGTTTCCTTCACAACTTCTAAAATTAGTTAAAAAATAAAAATTAACTGTTATAGAATATTTATGGTTATCAATAATACTGTTAAAAATGTATAAATGTGTCAATGACTTGTGTCGTTTACTAACTACCCTTAGTAATGCTTTATCAAATGATTATTAATGTTTAAGTAAAAAAACCTATATTTATAAATATATAATATCTAGATATTTTTTATTGCTGTACTTAAACGGTTTTTACTTAAACGTTATCATTAAAAATATAGTAAAAATGACTTTTATTGACCATTAAAATAAAGACTAAGGGGTCGGTCTGGTCTAGAAACGTACGTTTTGACTCACGTGGTCCAGAGTTCGATCCCCAGGGTGATAAGAGAATTTTCTTGTGATTTTCTCAATAACGGTGTCTGGTCTCTGGTGCAAGTCGGTCATAATACCTATTGATGAGAAATATCAAATAGTAACTATCGAACTATTTGATAGTCATTAAAAAAATATTCCATAGTTTATGCTAAAAATAAACTATTTGGTTGTATAAAAACTATTCGATAGTTAAAAATATTCGAAAATGTCCATCACTAATAATACCCGTCCCGTTTATCATTGACCAAGCCAAAAACCATCTTTGACTCCCTGACATTCCACAGAGGGTGGAGCCTTTGTGGCATGTTAAGTTCGGCAAATCGAAGGATGTAAAACTGATCATTTATACGTCATATTAGACTAATCTAGATTTTTATTTTTATTTGCAGCAAGTTCAAATGATTGCATCAAAATTCATCGTATCAAAAGTAAAAAAAGTAGTTCACTGCAAAATTTCATCCTACGCCATTTACCAATTTTAACTTGGTTGCCTAACTATGACCGCCAAAAAGCGTTTGGGGATGCAGTTTCTGGAATAACGGTGGGACTAACTATGGTTCCACAAAGTATGGCTTACGCGATGCTGGCTAATTTGGCTCCTCAGGTAATAAAATATATATAAATCAAAAATCAATTTAATTTAGAAAATATTAAGTTTCCGAAAATTTAACTTATTTTTAAAATCATTAAATTCATTAAGTTTTATGAAATATATTTTACACTAATAAATAAATTACAGTTATATTTGGTAGTGTAATCAAAGTTTAAAAAATTGAAATATCAATTTTTACTTTTTTATCGCTTTATTAATAAATTCTTAAACGTTGTACCAATTTATGTTAAAAGTCGAATTTGAACTGAAATCTTGTGAAAGTATAATTAAAGGATAAACATATTAAAACCGTTAAATCACACTTAAAAAACCAATTGAATAAGAAATACAGAAAAACACTTTTCTAATATAAGTGTATAATGTATACCTAGTATATATATATAATGTAAGCATATTATGCATACAAATTCGAATACCAAATATCTTATTTTTTATTATGTTTTTAGTTTAAAAAAACAAGTTATATTATAAACATTATAGTATTATAATTTTTGAAAATTTAAATCTTAATTTATTTCAAATATTTCTCATAATAAATGATGTTGCATTATATTACACTCGAATGAAAAGTATTTAAATTATATTATTTAAATTTATAATTGCCATTCAATATTTTAATATTAATGAAATATACTTTTTTAAGAAATATCTTTCAAGTTACATTTTATATGGTTGAAAAATCTTCATTTTTCCCCTCTAGTATTTTGACTGTGTGGGTTGGTACCCTTGACCCCCATATTCGACGCCACTGATACAGAACTTAAAACATTTTTTTTTATAAAAATCCATGTGTTTAGTATAAACCGTGTATTTTTAATAACATTAGTGTTGAACTATGAAAATTAATTATAATCAACCCCTTCTCATTATCGTAAAATTAGTAAAACGTTATACGTAAAACGCCAATTAGAGGTCACACACTTCAAATGTAATTATGTTTTTGAGTATTAATTAATATTAAAACTTTATTTAAGTGAATATTTTATCTATTACATAATACAAACTATTTGTTCATTTCAAGTAACAAAATGTTGTTACATTGTTTATATTATAGATAAGCTAATATTATTTATTTATATATGTCTTGCTCCTCAAAAAACACCTATTCCTATTTTATAATAAAATCATTGATTATGGATCCATAATCAATTCATAATCAACACAATTCACATTAATAATTTTATTTAAGGATTCTTAATAATTTTTATAAAGAAATTTTAAGGTAATATTTTATTTTAAATGATTAGAAAAACATATTTTAATATGTTTTAGTAATGTTTTTAATATATTTTAGTAGTACAAGGAATCTATTTTAAAGCATAACAATGTCTAATGTATATTATAAAAATTAGTCTTTGTATTGTATTTGTGCTTAATTATTATTATCTTACAATTAATTATTTTTTTAGTTAAAAAATGTATACAGTTTAAAATAATTGTTTAGCAAATATTTTTAAAAAATTTTAAAAAAAATGACACTTAATTACAAAAAAATGGATCATAATAATGATTAAATAGTTTTATATATAAAATTAACAAGCTTATTTATTTTATTTTATTTTGAATGTGCAAACTTTAACTTGTGAATTTTAAATGAAAATTTAATTTTAATTGGATATGTTTGAAATAATTTACAATCTTACCAATAACTTTTACATAAAATAATATGATTTAAAACATGAGAGTTCCCACAATGATAGGAATGGAGGATATAATAACAAAGATATACAAATTGTTCAAAAATTTAAAATTATTAAAGTAAAAGTTTTTTTGCTACAAGCCACTCCTGATTTTTAGTATATTAACGATGTAAAATTTAATATAATATACTTATAAGTTGTTATTCTAGTAAAACTTTTATACAAATTTTGTTTTTTCTTTTTGCTAGGTAGGCCTTTATTCAGGTCTAATGGGTGGAATTTTTTATTTATTTTTGGGCACTGTAAATCAAGTTTCAATTGGACCCACGTCACTAATGGCTCTACTCACATACGAATACACTAAAAATCTACCACCGATTTACATACCCTTACTGACTTTCATTTGTGGTTTGGTCGAAATGGCAATGGGTTTATTAAAATTAGGCAAGTTTCATTAAATTTTTAATTATGTATTTATTACATATTGTGTTATTTCATATATTAAGTGCAATATGAATATCTAATATGTTATTTTTACAGGGTTTTTAGTCAATTTGATATCAGCGCCAGTAATATCTGGCTTTACCACAGCAACGTCATTCATTATTGTACTATCGCAATTGAAAGGAATATTAGGTGTACGGTTTAAAGGCGATACCGTTACGGACATAATTGAAAAGCTCATTGAACATTTCCATGAACGCAGAAACGGAGACATATATTTAGGGCTGGCTTCAATAGTTTTTCTTCTAATAATTAGGGTATGAGATGATAAATTTTAATGTTGACCTTGTAAAAAAAAAACAAAATTTTTTTTTTATTATGATTTTTATGTAATTATTAGTTTTTAATAATTTTGTATGTTAAATAGCAATTACAGTTCATTGTACCAGCCAAAGGTGTATTGAAACAAATATTATGGATTTTTTCCATTAGTCGAAATACGTTAATCGTTCTGATAACTATGTTTATTACATTATTTTATGAAATCAATGGAATATCAGTACCATTCTTAACTACGAGTGAGGATTTATAAATTTTGTCCATACAATGTCATTAACTATAAGTAGAACACGTGTTCAATTTTATGGTATTCATATATAGGTCACGGTTATGTATTGAAATAATTAGATGCTCATAATTATAAGAGCACTTGATGTTCGCAATAGTTATTTTAACACAAAATTGGTAAAAATAAATTAATGTAAATTCACTGTAACTGTGAAAATGCTTAAAACAAAGTGTCACTAATGTTCAAAATATTTTCGAACTGTCTTAAATCCGAAGTCTTAAATTATTGATGACGTCTGACAACACCATAGACGTAATTATGTGATAATAGCGAGGCCTTAGTTCTCCTAAAATTCTAATAAACTTTTAATATTTACAAAAACATTATACTACCGCAGTGGTCACTTTATCATTAGCCCTGAAAATCTATTTTCTGTCAACTTATCTTGTAGGCTTTTAAAAAATTATTTTATTATTTAAAATAAGCCCCGATAATCAAAATAAATTTATATTGTTTACTCAATATTCATAAGAAAAATCATTATTATTACATTGATTTGGTGATAATTTTAACAGATACTGTAGAGCCGGGATATCCAACATTTCAACTTCCGCCATTTGGATACACGTCCGGAAACACCACAGTCACGCTAACCGAAATGTTATATGAAATCCGGTCCGCCATTATTGTTATACCTCTTGTGTCTATTCTAGCCAATGTATCTATTGCTAAAGCTTATGGTAATTGTTTTTTTTTACCTTTACTTTCCTTAGATTTTTATATAATCCTTCAATTTTAACTTAATTTTTCATTATGTGTCAATGAAGTAATGTCGTCAAATTATTTATTTATAATGATATTACTATCAAACTTAAGCGCGTTTTGAAGTTCACATTAGGAAAAGCGGTTTATCCTAACATCTAATTATCCAAGTTTTTTTTTTGTATCCTGTATTCTTTTCTCACATTTTTTCATAAGGGTGTTGAACTCACGTAATCAATCTTTTAATCCTGTCCACTATTATTCGACCAATTAATAAGTTAGCGTCCACAAAAATCTTTCAAGTCTATTGTGTTTAGTAACACTACAAATAGAAAATTATGAAGTTCCGTTTATGAATCATCCATTACTAAGTTTTTTAAATTGGCTATCGTTGAACGCATTTATGAGCTCAGTTGTTATTGTAAATGTATATATTGTGATTGTTCCATTTTCCGTTATTTGGTTTTTATTAGTTCACCTCTACTGCTCACCCTGGAAAATTTATTGTATAGTTATGATTATTCTAGGAGTTTCTAATTCATTGATTGAACGTCATGAATCGTTTTAAATATAAATACTATAACTGGTATCTCTTTTAGAAAAATACTGAATTACATCTTTTAAATTGCTTATTAAAACTCAACATATAATAACACTATCATATTGTAAACTAATATATTAAAGGATTGAACGTGCTTTAATCCTATACAGTTAACCATTATTATTGTGATATCTTTAACAACGACTGTGGCTCGTGTATTTTTATTTTTACAAATTAAATTATTTATAATTTTCGTACTATGCTAATATTAATAGCATTTTAAGTACAGTCGAACTTATGGGACAGTTTTTTCTCATTGTTTAGAATACGGGATTGAAAAGGTTTGTAAATTTGATTTCTGTTACCTTTGAAAAAAATACAAATGCCAAAAACATTTTAACTCGAAAAACAATTTAAATAGTTCTTATTTTTATAGCTGTAAAGATCTGTTTTAGACGCAAGAAAATTCTTGACAATTTTTTTTCTAAAATTCTAGAATTTTGACTAAAATATGCCTACCATTTTCATTCTTAATTTTTGTGATCTTCATTATTGTTGTAATTTATTTCGGAAGAACTAGTACACGCGAATGATATCAATGAATATCAATAGTTTTATTATTATTATAAAAGTATATACACATTGTTGCACACATTATTATTCATACGTCAATATCTAATGACGAGTAATTAATTATTGCATAAATAATATAATGGTTTTAATAATTGCATTTTAGCAAATGGAGGCACAATCAATGCAACTCAAGAAATGTTAGCGTTGGCGACATGTAACATTTTTGGATCTTTTATTAGATCAATGCCTGTATGCGGTGCGTTTACACGAAGTGCCGTCAGCCAAGCAAGTGGAGTTCAAACGCCCATGTCAGGCATATATTCTACCGTGTTAATGAACTTAGCAATATTATACCTGACACCTCATTTCCATCTAATACCCAGGGCTGTGCTTTCAGCAGTGCTCATTGCTGCTGTTATATTTTTAGTTGATTATCAAATTGTAAAACCTCTTTGGAAAACAAATCGTGAGTTCATAAAACAATCACATATTAAATTAAAAATAATTGTACTATTTCAAAAGAAAATGTTTGAAATAAACATGGTGATTAATAAATTACTGATAAACGAGATATAAAAGTCAACTCTACGAACCATCAAGTATTTCATTTATTACTGATTTAAATTTTCAAAGTATTGATAAGTAGGCACTTTGCTTAGAATTAAATAAAATAACACGCATACTTGTTTCAGTTACAAACATAATATTCTATTAATTACGTTAACTTTGAAGGTATTGAATTATTTGTGGCATCTGTGACGCTATTGACTAGTCTATTTTTCACCGTGGAAATTGGTTTGTTAGTTGGCGTGTGCGCTAACATACTTCATTTAGCATTATTGTGGTCACGACCGAAGCTTATTATTGAAATATCTAAGGTTTAAATTAATTAAAAATACGTCTATATTGAATTTTTTATATGAATGTTTTATATTTATATAGGTATTGACTACTGAGTTCGTATTAGTCACGCCTAATAGTGGACTGTATTTTCCTTCAACTGATTATTTGTACAAGGAAATTATGCGCATTAGAAAACATGAAGTATATGAGAAAAAACCTATTGTGTTGAACTGCGTGCATTTCAAAGGATTAGACTATACAGCTGCTAGAGGACTTTGTCTTATATCAGAGAAAATTCGGGCAACGGGTCACATGTTTATTCTTCTAAATGTTTCGGATAAAATGAAGTATATAATTAGGAAAACTGGCTGCAATGATTTGGTTTATTGTAATTCGATAGAATCGGTACCCGTGGTGATTAATGGTAAGTAATTCGTTTTTTGACAGATCATTTTTTCTGACACTAAAATACATCGTGTAAAACGTTTATTTAGACGACTGTTCAAAAAAAGTTCCATTGTTCAAACCGAGTGATAAAGACGTTAAAATTGCGTTAGCTGAGCTTACACCTCTGTTACAAAACCAGTCGACAGAAACAACAGACGAAAATAATGGAACGGGAAACACTAAATCAGTCACTAACATAGTCTAATATTATTTGGTTTAAGTAAATAGTTTTGTTTTTGTTAAAAATTATTAATATTTCAGCCACAATGAAATTATATTCTTGATAAAAATTTAATTACAAACAAAATATTTACTTGAATATATTATGTAAATAAAACTGTTATACTTGTATAAAATATTTCTGTTAATTGGATTCATTGTAAATATTTTGTACAGAATATTACGATAAATAATTTTCAATATTGCACCATGTGTTGATGTACTAAATACTTCAATTTTTTTTGGAGTTAAATATATTTTATTGTTATTTTTTTCCTTTCTTCTGACTTTTATTACAAGAAACATGCATTCTTAAAGATCAGTACAGGCAATTTATTAACTATGATTTATACAATAACTTAAGAAATATGAAACATAATATAATTTTTTCTTTTTAAAAGTTAATATTGGCCTACGTTTTATAGTTTTCAAAAAAAAAGAAAAATTGATTCTAATTCTCTCCTACCCCTTTATGTTTTTGTTAACTTGTTTTTTTAATGGAAATATATACGTTTGACCAGCCAAACAAGTAAATGATCTAACTCAGAAGTATAATGATTGATAACAACTTTTGAACCAGTATTTTAGAAATTGTTAATACTTTAACATAAAGACTAGAAGTGAAACGCAATTCTGTTTATTCTTATGTCTAAGTATTTATGAACTCCTTCAATCTGGTATAAAAATGTTAATATTTAACAGAAAACTGTTACAAAAGTTGTTATCGATCGAATATTTTCTTAGATTATTTTTTTGTTTAGCTGGTAAAATATATATTTCTATTTAAAAAGTGATAAAATTTTATGTGTTAGGAGTGGGGTTAGATCGATTATTTTTTTGAAATTTAAAAAACGTAGGATACTATTAATTTTTAAAAAGAAAAAACTGTATTATGTTTTATACTTTTTAAGTAATTGCTTGAATCATAGTAAACAATCGCCCTTGAATATCGTTTAACGTGTTAAAAAAACGAACAGTAATACAAAGTAGAAGTGCAATAATTTTGATAATTACAAAACATGACATAAACAATAATTTAAATTGCAGTTCAATACATTGATTCTACAATTTCCGCTTTCAAATACAACGTTGATCGTTTCAAACAAATGACAACCGGATTCTGTGTTTATTATTTTCTATCTATAGTCATTTATTATGTAATTGAATAGCTGACATATTTATTACCTACCTATATCTATTTTTTCCATAAAAAAAAGTACATTGTGTTTAATCGCACTGTTTTATAGTTAAATGAAATAATATAATAAAAATGATTTATGTATATACTAGATGAAATTTTGAATGATTATCTAGTTGATATCATATTTTATTTTCCAACTCTAATTTTTTTAAAAATATTTTCTCAATTGAGTCTGTATTTTATTATGAATAGCGATTGAAAAACTTTATTTCTTAACTTCAACAAAACTGAACTATTAACACAATTTTTTAAACGCGAAAAACTAAAAAATGATCATGCTTCCTTTGTTATAGACCTTCTAGTTCACGGCTGAGTTCAACACAAGTTTAAATAATAGTGATTACAAATTCCCAGATTGGCGTTTGGAGAATTTATTACTTACAGTTTTAGTTTTAAGTTAAGAAGTTTAAAGTAAATAGATTTTCTGATTTACGATGGAAAATGTAATATATTCATAAAACTAGTGTCAAATATGGCTATGTTCAAATTTCCCTTGCAATAAGTTTAAAGATTAGATTTCCTAAAAAAAAGTATATCTAACGAAAGCCAAATATTTAATATATTATTGACAAACATTTCATTTTGATAGATTCACTTTACAAGAAGTTAGAGATTTTTAAAGTTGAAATAAAAATATTAAAAACAACCGTTTTAAAAAGTGAAATATTTTTTATTTGGATATAGGAGGATAATTCCTCTTGACGAGTTATTATTATTTATCATTTAAATTATATTATTTAAAATAGATATTATTTAAAAATATGACGTAGACTATATCATTAAATACAATTGGTGATCATTTGACGTATCATTAAATACTAATGATCCAGATGAAGTGGAATATTCTTGTGTATAGATACAAAAAACAAAGAACACATTATTTTAAAACTGATAATTTCTTAACTTAGTATCAACATACTATCACAATACTATGACATAAGTAAAATTTATTGGAAAATTTTTTTTTTTTTTGAGGAAAATGTATTATATTTTTTCTTGGATTTCAATGATAAGTATAATTATAAATCGTGTTGAGTTATGAATACGAGGAAAACATGAATGACCCCGGGAACAACATATTGTTTTAATTGTAAATGTAGGAGGGTATGAAATATGTCAACGAGGTAATCAGCTTGCGTTTGATCTTCAACAATCTATAAAAGATCTGACTTTGATCAGATTAATTTAAGTTAAACTTTTGACGGGAGTGACGATTGACTAGGAAAAATGAAATCTTCATTTGCTGTAAGTTTAAGAATATTTGAACATTAAGATAAATCATAAAATTCGTTTTTTAATCAGTTTACAGTTTTGGCCACTATAGTAGTTGTCGCATCATGTTTTCCTTGGACGAAAACTGCTGGCAAAGGTATTGATGGTACAAAAGGTAAAATTAGTGACAATGACGAAAGATTTCATCTTCAATCACCCGATGGTCAGTATGTATTTGGCCACACAGAAAATAACCAGGTGATACTTGATAATATAAAAAAATAATCAATCTTTTAAATCTTATTAAAAGGGATAACAGTTAAATAGTATTAAATTTTTTTTAGATTAACTTATATAAATTTTTATACTAATAATTATTATTATTTCATTAGGGAAGAGTTGAAATGCGATCTGTAGACGGCACAGTAACTGGTTATTACAGTTATATAGGTACTAATGGCAAATTAGAATACGTTAATTACATAGCTGATAAAAATGGATACAGGATTTTGTCAAGTAATGTTGCACCATCAACATCAGTGAAAATTGAAGAGAGTAAAAAAAGCGCTAACGCTGAAAAGGACTTTAGTAGTATATTCTCAGAATTCATACAACATATAAAGGTAAATAAAAATTTTAAATATATCTTATATTTTAACTCATATATTATTACTTGTCTAAACTTGTAATTAGATATTACGTTTTTTTAAAGAATAAAATAGCTCAAAAATCAGGACAGCAGCCCATAGATCCTGTTAACAATGGTCAACAAACTATAATTTTGGATCCATATAACCCCGCAGGAAAAGTAACTGTTTTTTATATTATCTTTAAAGTGTTTTTCAAAAAAAAAATCTTTTTAGGACATTCCTTCTAGTAATAATGGCCAAAGACCAAGCCAATTTCCGGATTGGAAAGAATTAAAAACTTCATCTACTCAAAATCCCTGGGTTTGTAACTTTTTTATTGATTTATCTGATAATTATTACCCTTAAAAAGCATTTAACAAATTTCCATATTAACATAGGACGGAAAAAATAAAAATGAAGGACAACAACAACAAAACATAGTAATTCCTAACGTGGATGACGTACCACCAAACAAGTGTGACGTGAGTTATTGATTTACGACATATTTTTGAAAAATAATTTGTACAATTACTTTTTGTTAAAAGTTTTATCAATATTTATAAATTAAAATCTTAAACAATTTAATTTTTAATTCTTAAAAAATTATTATGTAACGTATATTTTTGTTTTATTATTTTTAAAATTAAAAAAAAAAATAATTTTTAGTCCAAAGGACACAGTCAAAATAGTGAACGAAAAGAGAACTGTTATAATATCTCAAAAACTGTAAGTTTTCTAATCCATAAAACATTTTTTATAAAAATTACTTGTGGTATGGCTAATATCCTGAGCCACAAGTATTTTATAATTGCAATATTTTATCAAAAATATTCGTTTATAAAATGTTTAAAATTATGCAATGCTTTTTTAAATATTTTATAGGTTCCTACCAAAGGAAGAATAAACGATAATTATGAAGATGTAAGTTTATATTATTATACAGAATGATCAATTAGGGATATGAAACTCATTTTCTTAAAATTTAAAAGGAAAAAATTTTTATTTTTGTAACGGAAAATTTTTTATAAAAACTACAACAATATGTATTTAAATCTTTTTCCACATTTTTAGAGTTAAAAACCTAAACCAAAACTCCTTTAATGGTACCGTTATTTTTAGTTTAATGATACGTGAGAATAATATTTTCAAAAAGTTTTGTCCTAATAATATTTTGATTTAATCGATTTCTATTATTACTGTTAAATTTTAACTATTTTTGACCAATTTTTTATTGATAACTACTATGTGGCTTATAGTAGTTGTCATTTCTTCACGATGTCACATAATCAAGTTTTTATTAACAATTCTTATTATCTTATCTGTCACTTACCATAGAAATTATAAATACTGATAACAATTTATGGTCCATTGAAATAAATTATTTTCGGCTCCGGTATTATAAAAACCACATTAAAAAAAATTTTTTATTTTAAACCCAAATCTTGAAACAATTTTAAAGCGTAAATGGTACATTGGATAAAAAAAATTAAAAGAACAAAATTTTTTGACACATTTTGTTCTATCATAAATTATAAATTAAACGAAAAATTGAAGTTTTTATTCAATAAAATAAATGTTTAGGTTTTTTATAATTGAAGGAATAAAAAAAAAATTTTAATACTACATATTATTGTTGAGTTTTTTTAATCAAACAATATTTTTTTTATAAAGATGGGAAATATTCAATATTTTCTGAGAAACCGAGTATGTTATCGATCACTCTGTATTTATATTAATCACTGTAAGTTATTTATTATATTTTAGTTAATTGTTTGAAATAATATGTTTTTAGGTTACTGCACCAAAAGATTTCATCAATAATAAAATCATCAGTACAACTGTTGCAGTTCCAAACAATGATGTCGAATCCACAAAATCGGTCACAGGAGAAGTAATTTACAGAAAAATAATTCTAATATCTCTTAGGTAATATGCAAATTAATTGTAGACGCGTTTTATGGATAATGAACCAACTGCGGTGCCAATTGAGGAACCAACTCGAGAAACTACTGTGTCACATTCAGAACCGATCTATTTTACTTCTTCAAGCAGTGAAACACTCACATCTACAATCGCATATGAAGAGCGAAAACAAACATCTGTTCCATACATTGAACCTGCCCAAAAAACTACCGAAATATCTAACAACCGTGGAGATATCCAGGTGACAGTGTAGCTCATGAATTATTATGCTTATATTCTCATTAAATTCAAAACATGAATAGTAAGCATGCCATTTAGTACAAGGGAAATTTAATTGTAGTTGTTATGTAGTACATTTTTCAATTTTATTAAGTATGGACTGTCAAAAATTAATTAAATGTATTTCGCATAAAGGCAAACTCTGTGTATCGTTGTTAGTGTGTCGTTTGTTTATTTCTACTATTCATTGTATTTAAAAAAATAATAAGTATGGTGAAATAAAATCTAAATTAAAGTATATCCTTATAATAATTTTGCAGTTGTAATAGTTAAGAACATTTCACGTTAAAAAATATCTGTTTATTAAAAAAAAAAAAAAATTCCTTTCCATTTTATACTTAAAATTTATATTAATTCTATGATTTTATAAAGCAGGAAACGACTGAAAGTATAGATTTTAGTACATCAATACGTTCGATCAACATTAATGAGGATGTTGAGTTAGTAGATCCAACTACTATTGATCCTAACGTCGAAGTAGATCAAGTTCGTCATTATTAAATCAAAATATTTCTTACCTTATAAACAAATACCTGATAAATGTGTTTATTTATTATTAGGTGACTGTAAGAATTTCTTCCGAGACACCAAACCAGGAAGTAGCAACACTTGAGGTAAATTTGTATATATAAAGAGTATACTACTTTTCTAAACATCAAGTTATAACATTATTAATTTGTGTAAAATTTATGGTTTTAAGCCTGAAAGCGAATATAATGAAATGGCGACTACAATTGGTATTCAGTATGCGACCGAAGAAAACGCTGAAGATCGAGCAGAGTTCAGAGTAGGCATTGATAACATAAAATAATTTTACTATGAAAATATTCAATTATTTAATGACTTTGATAAGACAAATTAATATTTTTTAATGTAGACACTCGAACCAAATAGTAGAATTGGAACGACCGATAGTCCTGCAGCTACTAATGAAATGAGCGCACAGACTGAAGTAAGAGTAATTCAATAAATAATTATTTATAAAATACATGCGACAAATTGAGTTAATTGCCAACAAATGAGAAAGTTTTCTAGAAAAACCATTATTCATTTTACAATTGTTTTTAACTATAATTAATATTAATAAAAATAATTACCTATTTTTTCAGTCTGAAATAATATGGCCCGACATACCCCAACAAGTGCAACCGATTCCACAAGTTTTGGTAATTATTTAATCAATTTATTCATTACACTTATTATAACATATTTATATTTGTCATAGTAAATTAATTTCACACAGGTACCTTTAGAGTATGCTGAAGATGAAGAGTGGCGAAAAAACACAGGTGCCATTAAATCGCAAAACACGAGACGGGTAAGGTAATGCAATTATAATTTATAGATAATTTTTAACTAGCAGAATAAATTTGTTTATCAGAATTATTACTATACAATAAAAGTTTATTTTTTCTTTAGACGAGACATTTCTTTGAACTAAAAAATATCAAAAAGGTAAAAAACAATACTGAAGAAACAATTCAATCCACAACAGTTGTTCCGGAATTCGCCACTCTTTTAGATTTTCCAAGATTTTTTTTAATTGGCTAAATTAGAATCAACTAAACAAATTGTCATACTATTTAAGATACCCAAAAAGTATAAAAGTAATATTTTTTTAATAATTATAATTATTAAAAAATTATATAATTATGTAAAAATTATACATATTAATAATCAAAATATTATCTATAATATAATTTTCTATTTTTATTTCGTTTTACTAACGTATCAGACTATTAAAATAAAATAATAAAATTAATGGTGCTTACTCAGATAAAAGTAAAAAATTAACTGTAATTGCAGTGTAAACAAGACAGGGAAAGCGTTAAAATGTCACGTTTTTAAAACTATTAGTGCAATGACCAACACTGCGTGTATTTTTATCTCAATTAATTAAGTTACATTTAACTACACTGATCTTATATTATGTTAATACTCATACAAACAATAAAATAGTAGTTTATAGTGACGTTAAAAACTCAGTATTGTAAATACACACAACATAATTTCCTCAGTTTTAAAGTACTATACTCGGCATATCAATCTATACAAATATTTAATTCACAAAAATTCACTTAATGAAAAAAAAAAAGATGGAAAATAGTTATTTGGAAAAAATTGCGTTTTAAGGTTATATTAAATAAAAATATAATGAAAAAAAATGTTGTTTGATTATTTTATAGGCTAACGAAATAATTACATTCATTTTTGAGTAAAAAACGTATAAAAGTGTTATTTGATTATCAGGGCCGTAGCAAGAGGGGGGGCAGTGGTGCCTACGTCCCGGGCGCAATACCTTGGAGGGCGTAAAATCAAATTTATTATCATAATTCAAAACAGGCGCATTTTAAAATTTTGCCCTGGCCGCAATAATTAGTTTGTACGGTCCTGTTGATTATAAAAGTACTAATTGAACACAACAAAATTTTCGAGGATAACAAATTTGTTAAGTTATACTAAATTATCCTGACATAAAATATTCTTAAATATTTATTTTTAAATCTTTTGGAGGGTTGCAACAAAGCTACTCTATTGAACTTTTAAGTATTCAAACCTCATACTGACATCGTGTTACTAATTATAGAAAAAATAGAACTAAAGATATAAATGAAAAAATCATGAACATTTGTGATGGTTCCTCGACAATTATTGCAATATTTAATTGTACGGTATTTTATAATTACTACCAGTTAAATGTCTCTTCTTACCTTTTCTCGTCGCGATTAATTAACTCAATGGTACAAGTAAAAACATGTCAAGTATGATAATCTACAAGAATTTTTATGTCTATTTTTACGAAGGCAATCGAATTTGAATCAATGTTCTTTTGTTTCTTAGAAATGTTTTGATTTTCAATTTCATAGTTCACAATATGAACTACGAAATTATTGGATGTATTACATACTGTAAGGAAAATTATACTTTAAAAATGACTTAATTATACCACCTGGTGTGATTGAATGTTTGTGGTATTTGACATCGGTCATTATTCAATTACACTCAGTCTAGTGGACAGGTGTCTATGATGGTTTTTTTAACGTGCCTATATCGTTTTTAGAATCGTAAAGTCATTTGTCACACTGGAACGGCGAAAAACAAAAGCGCGTTCGTCTGGCGTGTTTAGCCAGCGCGACACGCGTTGCGCGAGGAGGGATTGCAATAGTCGCGTTACTCCAGGTTAAATAATATTAGGGGGGAAACAGACGTTTGTAACACTCCAGTGAACACCACGTAGAAAACAGTCATCACATAGCAACGGGTGTCGATACACGTGTGGTAGTTTGCATGTATTCATATAGGTAACTAATAAAAGTTAGAGAACGAAGCGCGAGTCGTGTGTGTAAGTGATACTGTTCATGGTTAACCGGCGACAGGAGTTCTGCTCTTAGACTTGCTTTACATGCAGGCCACGGATAATCGCTGTTCCTGAGACAATCAGGTTGGCACAAACTGTACGTAACAATATTATTTCATAATGTACTGGCTAAACTTTACTATACAACTTTTTAATAGTGTTGTCTACCTAACAGTGTTTTTAAATTTTAATATTCAGCACGATTAAATTTTAAAAATATACAAAATCTTAAATTATTTAAAAAATCATATCAAAAAAAATTCCTGAGTTCTTATTTATAAATACTCTAATCAATGTATATTTCGTAAGACAAACAAAGTTTGAATTTTAAAAACTCACCTTTGCTAACCATATTGGCAAATATTTTCTTTGATATAACTAGTGTTGAAATTATAAGAAAGTTTTTGGTAGATGAATTTATATTTGCCAGGGTAGAAGTAAGATAAGTTCAAAAAACGTTAGATTGAGAGTATAACAGTAATATTTGTTTTTTAATGGTAAAGCGATCAACATAGAAAAATTTCATTATTTTAAGGTGTACAAATAAAGCTTTAAGTATTGTAATAAGCAACTAAATAATGGCTTTTTTAAAAAATTTGTACAAGAATAAACGTGATTTGCGTTTGTTATAAGCCTGTAAAAGAAAATTGAGAAAAAACAACGAGGAAATGAACACGGTATACGTTCATTTCCTCGTTCAAAGGAAAATTTAATTTGAAAAATACATTTTGTATATGTTTTAGAAATTAAAATTCCAGGCTTATTGCTTGATAATTCGAGTAATGGCAAATAAAACAATAAGAGATAAGTAAGAGTTACATTTTGGAATATTGATATACAATTTGGTTCAAGGTAGCTAATATTATTTTCACGGTCAGTTAGAAAATTGTAAATAGTAAAATACGTAGATGTCAGCTGATGTAAAATTTTTAGGAAGTACGGTAAATAGAACAAACGGATGAATATAAACTAGACATTTGTTGAGTTTGTATTCATCCATTTCCAATATTAAAACACTTCATATAAATACAAGTGTCTACTAAAGAAAACCGATATGTTGATCAAGACATGTGTCTTTCATTTCTCGTGGGACACGTACAGTGCCGTCGTCATATTCATCTTACTTGAGAACTATTTCATGGCATATTTAAATAGCTTTGCACGTTTTTATTAGTTTGGACATGAGCGATTTTTTGCGTCAATAACAGAAGTTATCTTTCTGTGTACGTGAGCTCTAGAAATACATATAATAACATTGGCCGAAACTAATTGAATTATAATTTAAAAATAAAAAAATAATAGCACTTTTTATTATGTTGACTTAAAGGATCTCATTTGATGTATTATTAATGTTACAGAACATTGGGAGATCCATCATCTGGAAGCAGTTATAGTGAAAACATCATGAGTACGAGATTTCACAAGTGAGTACTAATAATCATGCTTATTAAACCTATTGGTAATTTCCATGACGGTTATTTTTTTTAATCAATTGTAAAAACGTTTAACTATGAGAATATTCTATTTGTTAAGTAAATAACGTTTAACAACTTTTGTATTTCTTCTTAAAAACGTCTAATAGCATATTTCGAGCGTTTCTTTTATTTAATATAAAATATTTATAGGTTACCACTTTCATTGTATTATAGAAATAGTGTTTATTATCTGATCAAACGTGATGTCAGTGGGCAGAAGATATTAGACAAAAATGATTAATCGTTTAATATAGTTCACACATTTTCATTGAATAAATCATAACAATGAGTGTATATTGCATCAGTATAATATTCAACGTTTTACATATTTTGGACTCGAATGAGTTAAAAATTTTTATTGAAATACATTTGATAACAATCGTCAGATAAGCATTTCAAAAAAATTTTTTGGTTCGATTACATCATAGTTTTAAATAAAACACCTAATAAATACGTGGGAGGCTACTTAATTATGTTCCTTTTAGTCGTCATTCTTTATTTAAATACTAGTGAAACCAAAACGACATTCATACATTCATACTTTATACTTTAAAAAGTTATTGTTTTTCGATGTAGGTGGCTCTTTTGGTGAGTCTGAGATTTCTAATTCATTTTTCAAAATATATATACGTATTGCAATTACTTAACTAAACAATAAATTGGTGGGCTATACAATTTATTATTTAAATGTATTGATAGACTTTAAAAATAAATAAATATTTAGTTTTTTATTTTATTTTATTAAAAAATATATCATTATTATAATACATTTTTAATAGGACGTTATTGATTAACTTCTAATTATGTTTGAAATTTAATGTAATAATATTATATGTACAAGTACATTTTTTTTGGGAAAAAAATATATCACAAAAATAAGTTTTTTCAATAAGCTCATTAATAACCGTATTACTTATTTTGTGAAGCAAACCTTCAGTTATTATAAAATTTAAGTAATGAATACTTTATACATTTTCTTAGACTTAATAATATGCAAATATATTTTTTAGTTTGTTAAATCTTATATGAGCTTTGGTTTATAAATAAATTAAAAAATTGAATTGCATTTGTATATAATTTAATATGTGATATAAAATAAAGACTAATTCGTGCTATGTAATCTTCAATGTTCTAAAAATTTTTTATTAAAGCATTTAATAAATGTGACTAAATGTGATAAATGTAAATATATTGTTCAATAATTAGAATTTAAATTTAATAAATCTGTTTCATTTTTTTCCTTGAGACTTTGTATCACTTAAGATATATATTATTTATAGATAATTGAACAACAAACTATGTATATATCAAGCAAATTTATTTTTATAGTTAGCCAACATTTAAATTTACTTTAAAATATTTTTGGTTTTTGCTTATAAATAAACATTTCCTGTTTTTAGACAAAGGGTAATATAATTAAAATATTAAAAAAATTAACTATTCTAATAGTTAAAATTTTTATAATACCGATGGATATTTATGTGGTATGTTTACTGTTTTTAAGAGATTTAACTTCCAATTATTCTATCGGTTCAATTAGAATGTAAATGCTCACTTAGAATTTTAACATCATAAAGAGAGTTTTACTAAATTATTTTATAGTATACAATTCAATTAAATACATCACTATTGAATATAAATATATTTAGCTTTGTCCTTATTACATACACTATGCTCGACATGTCAATGTTATACAATTTGCGCCAACTAAACAGTACATTGCCCTATCCGGCTCGATGGTTTCATTCATATGAATGTATCTGTACATTACCATAAAATAGTTATTACTCGTAGTATACTGTAGAATTTGTACAAATGAATTACTCAAATCAGGAAATATCTATTTTTTTTTTTATAAGTCTCAACTTAATATTGTAAAAACATAATATATTTCTATATATATATATATATATATATATATATATATCTTTATAAAATTCTTTTAGAGCTTCATCCAAGAATTTATATTTTATTGATAGGAGAATTAAGTTTAACAAATCTAATTCGGATTTATCGTTGCAAAAAAACACTTATAAACTCAATACTTCCGCGTTGAAGATAATCTTTCTATCTTAAAGTACACAATACTTTGTCCATTTATAGACCAGATGTTGGTACATTAAAAGACATATGTTACGAAATTGCTTTCTAATAGCTTCGAGATTAAGGACATATTTGCAACAATTTCAACTTGTAAAACGCGTGTACACCATTCCTTGTCCTTTCACCAAAATAGAAGATAATTCATTTCTAATATTGTTGTGGTACTGAATTTTTATTACAACAGTTTATATTATAAGGACTGAACATAAAAACTAAAAAAATTTAGACAAATATATCAATATTGTAGGGGCCCATTACATTATCTAAAATTTCGGGAGATTTTTGAGGCTAAAGAAGTTTTAGTATCATAAAAATATAAATTATACAAATTTGAGAGGAAAGTAAATTACCATAATAATTATGATAAATTATGTATCTATTTGTACGTCAATTTTTCAAAAAAGTTTACATATGAAGTTTTTAATTTAAACCTAAATAATTTATCAATACTAACCATTTATTTTTTTATTTTTTAGGGCCGCTCAAGATGGTTTTATTAATATATTAAAAGAGGCGACAAAAAGAGATTGCAATGCAAAAGATGACGAAGGAATGACACCAACATTATGGGCTGCGTTCAAGGGGCACTTGGAAGCATTAAGAGTACTAGTTGGAAGAGGGTACTGTTATTTCTAATTGTGCATGAATAAATATCATTGAGTTTTTTATCAGTGGCGGCTGGTGGCTTGGACGATGGGACGATCGCACCCCCTACTAAAATGAATTAAAAGAAGAAAATCAATTGTTTATTGTTAATTCTACATTTTTATTAAAAATGCAAAAATTTTTAAATAGTAAAATAGTTATAATACATTTGTCAGTAAGACCATTAAAGTTGTTTCCCTCATTATATGTGAGTGCGCATGTACACACGAGCAGTGTTTGGACGACCGACAGCGTCTTCAGAACAATATTTTGAAATGTTATTTTATAAACGAGGTGCCGCCGATTCGTTAAGTTGCAATCTTATGTACAGGTTTTAGATGAATGGCAGCATCGTCCATAGAGTAAAATATTAGTATATTACTATATTGAATAATTTATTTTGAAAATTAACTTCATGTACGCCGTTGTTATCGGTTGCTATAATAGTATAATCGCTATTATTAATATTTTCATTTCTACTTTCTACTGCGACCTTTGAAATAATAATATGTGTTTTATTTTATTATATTTAATATGACAATTTTTTATACTTATAACTAGCGGTATTATATTTAAAGTCGCATCCCCACCACCAGCACCCACGAGCCGCCAATGTTATTTATTAATTATTGTTTGATTCTTTTATTACTTCTTATTAAGGGCCATATGTAAATAAGTTATATTCATTGAAATGTAGTTTTATAAAATCGTATTAAATACGATTTTTTACAACATTTAATAATTTAATTTTAAAGATCTATATTGATTTGCTATAAAAATCCTAATTTTTAATGGTTATCTGAGAGCTATTTTAAGTATTTTGATCAAACTAAAATATTATGATGAAATTTTATTAGATTTTATTGGCTATTATTCCGCGAATGCATTAAGTGTATTACAAACAAACCTTTTAAAAACTTTACTTTTCATTAAAGAGGAGATCCAGAAAAGTGTAACTATCATTTGGGACAAAACGCTTTACACTTAGCTGCATCACGAGGTCATTTGGGATGCGTTACATTTCTGATTGGATTTGATGTAAACTTATGGGCATTGGACTTGGATTTTCTAACAGCAATGCAATTAGCAGCTATACATGGCAAATCTCAAGTTTTGCAATATTTAGACAAAGCAGCCGCAGCACAAACAATTGAAAACAAGTAAATTACTGTATGAACATGATTTAGTAAAATTATTAATTAAAGGAATGATTTTAGTAAGAAAGTGGACGCTAGAAAAGAAAAAGCCCAAAAAGACGCTGAAAGGAATCAAAAAAAATACGAAGAAAGAATGAAAAAAGAAAGAGAAAAAGAAAAGAAACAAATTAAAAAAGTGGAAAAGGAATATTTGGGCGGCAATAAAATTGACTCTGACACCGCTATACCTACAGTTAGAGTTGTACCTGCATCGTAAGTATTTTAATTAAATACATTTTTCATACTCAATATGTCATTTAAAAATATTAGTTTATAGTTGTATAAATGAAATTACAAAATTATGTTTTTATTAATTGTGTTTAATGATACTTCTTTTAACACAATATAATTTTAATTTTAATGGAGTCCGACTTGCAGAATTCAAAATTTAGCAACGCTTACGTTATAGTGATAATTTATTATTAATCATCAATACGTCATCAGAGACCTATTGTTGTAATTCAAATATTATCGATAGAATTAATTATCAAAATTAATTTTGTTTTCATGAAGTAAAATGTCGATCTATATAATGCTTAATTAAATAAACTTAACAAAAAATTGTACAATTTCAACACAACGATTTACTTTTACGAACAGTTACTTTCTTATGATGCAAGATATTAATAATATATTCAAAATTAAAATTCTTAAATTTAAATAAATAACGTAATTAATATTTCTAAAAATGTTGATATAGGTTAAATTTAATTGATTACATGATTAACAATTATAATTAATAAATATTATTGTAAATAATTTTAGCTTACGTAAATCATCATCTGATTTATCTTGTAAATCATTCACTCAAATTGTTGGAACTGGTACCGTAAAAAAGCCTCTGGTTAGTACAGGTGGAGTGAAAAAAATATTGGATAGGAAAATGAGATTGTCTGAAGGAAACGGAATAAAAACCAATAATAAGTCAACGTCCCGTTTTTTGAAAGATGTGAGTATTATTTTTATTCTTAAAAAAATATTAAACATCAAACAAACAAAATATGTATTAGTATAATATTAGAATTATAATTTACCACTCAGCCTTGTAGATAGTTAATACTTCTTAATTTAAAACCAGCACTATAATTACATACAAAATAATTTTCTTCTTCAAAATAATATTAAGTTTCGTATTTTCAAAAAGTGATATTAACGTATTTTTAATATTACACATAAATTGTAAAATTGTAAACTCATAATGAGTCTTTGAATTTAATAATGTTATATAAAAAAAATTTAGACGGAAGACAATACTAGCATACGAACTATGAAATCCAATGGAGATTCTCAAATCATTTATGTTAATTCATATGAAAATGAAAATGGAGGTAACTATACAGAATTAATCTTTTTTTAATTCAATATAATATTTTTTTTATTTTTACAAATATTTATTTAAAGAAAAAAATTAATTTTTATGATATTTATTTTTAATAAGCTCAACATTTATTTAAAAAATAATTGATGCATAATAAATCATTAGGAAATTATTTTTAAAAGTGTTGAATTTTACGTAATTGTTGAATTTTAACTATTTTAAATATTTGAAAAAGTTGCAATACATTGTGTTTAATACAAAGTAACTTCATATTTATGTATCAATTTGGTAACTTTAACTTTTTTAAATACTCTTTACAACTATGAAAATACTTCATGATTTCACAGGAAAAAGAGGTAGAATATCAGATATATTTGAGCTACATAGAACAATTTCTCAACCAAATTTTTTGATTAGCAATCAGAACAACGAGTTAAATAATATTTATCATCACAACCAAGGAAGTATTTTTGATAGACCAGGTTTTGGCAGTGTTGCCTTTAGAAAAAAGTGAGCTATAAATTTAGTTTCTATTTATTTTATTAGGTGAAATAACTAACTTTCAGGTAAATATTTTTGATAATTTAATCATATAGGAAGATCTAAGAGAACAATAATAAAAATGAACAGTCACTGATATTTAAATTTGTATTGATAAAAAAAAATAATTTGGTTAAAATTAATTTTTGAGAAGGATAGTGATTTAAAAATGATTTGAAATAGTGTAAGTTTAGAATACTATCAGAAGTGATCAAAAATAAAAATTGTTAGAATGAAAAAAAAACGTCTTATGGCGAAGCGAGGATATTTTCAATCAACTTTTTCTATACAAGAAAACTAGTATGAAATAATATCAAAAATAGATAATAAGCGTTTATTAAAGTAAAGTAAATTAATTAATGTTTTATAAATTCTGAAACGAGAAAACGAGATTTATGGATTCAATTACATCATTCCTTGGTAAATTTTAAGTTTGACTTCAAAGAGTATTTTTTAAGTTCCGAAAGCTTTAGTTTATTTATTAAGTCTTAAAGTTAATTTAAAAATAAAATTCTATTTAAAATATTGAAATATCATTTATTAAGAATCAAACACGAATGTTGAAAACTAGTACATGTGCCAGTGACTGGTGCCGTTATTCTAATTATAAAAACAAAAAAAAAATTACAAAGCATTTTTATAGATAACAAGAAAAAATGAAGGTCGTTGCGTTATATATATCGATATTTTTATTCCAACGGTACCTTGGATTAATAGTGCTAAATAAAATAGTTTGCGGTTTTTACAGATTAAAAATCTTTATTTTTTCAGCATAACTACTATACCAGTTCCTGATGTATCTAAAATCGAAGATGAAGAATGCAGTATAGGAAGTGCGGGTAGTCTAATGAAGCGAAACCAGCCGAGCAATATCATGTCATGGGACGAATTTCAGAATAGTGACGGTAATAGTACTTAGTGGTAAATTTTAGAGTAATTTTTAATAGAGACACAATCACTTGTTTATGGTATGTTAAATTCAAAAAATGTTTTCAGTACATTTTTATTAATTTCAAATTTATCAAATTTAGCTATTTAGTAAGAATAAACTTCATTCTTTGTACCTTAAATATTTTCAAGATAAATTAACTTCAAAATTTTTAATTAATTAATTATAATTGATTTTGAATTATTGTTATAAACAAAATCTGTTTGTATCTCAATAGAAAAATATAACATCTGTCTTATATACAAAGTGTACTATAAGTATATAACATCTGTCTCGTATACAGGGTGTACTATAAGTATATAACATCTGTCTCATACACAGGGTGTACGATAAGTATATAACATATGTCTCGTATACAGGGTGTACTATAAGTATATAACATACAATTTCATATACAGAGTGTACATAAATATATAAATATATATGTCTATATCTAGTCTCATACTCTGTGTATGACACTAGATGTGATATATTTCTGAAAAATGTATATAAATTAATTAAATTTTGTCATTTAACTGTTCTATTTATATTTTAGAAGAAAACATTGCATTAAATGGACGCTGTGCAAAATGGTCTAAAGTACATACATTTCTGGCATTAGCTGGAGTTAGTGAATATGTTAATAAATTTATTGAACAGCAAGTGGATATAGATGCATTATTCATGCTAAACGACCAAGATCTAATTACTCTTGGTTTACCTCTTGGTCCAAGAAGAAAACTTCTAAAAGTTATATGTGATCGAGGCAAAGATAGATACGAAGAAGAAATGGAAAATAAATCAGATCGTATCAGTCAATAATTATTTTTTCCTTTTCTTTTTTTTTTTACTTTTAATATTCTTTTCTTCTACTACATATTTGTAAAACAGTATAAATCTATGATTCCTCTTTATCAGATTTATTCAATGTAACATAATGTATAGCAATAAGATTTTCTAAATTAAACCTAAATTTCTTTAAATATTCATAATAAAATGTTCTTTAATAATGCGTGAAAATTAACTTATTATTTTTTTACTATATTTTTGTTTTAATTAACTACATTATTAAAAAAAATTTTTTTTTGTATAAAGCTTTAGATATATTTTTATTTGTAACGAAATATAAGTGTCAATTTTAAATTCAATAAAGTTAAAGAAGTTTAAAAAAAAAACAAGTATAGTAAATATTCTAATATAGAAGAGTTACTCTAATGTTGAAAGTGTATTTATTAATAATTCAATACTGAGATAAAAATTTATAAAATTCGAGAATTTTATACTTCAGATTATTGGTACTTAGTAACTTTGTCCATTTATAAAAATTAAAAATTATGCCCGTAAAAATAGTAAGTAAATCTCGCTAGACAGACATTAAATTGTTAGATCCGGGAACATCTCAAAATTTGTATTCCGATGCAAAACAAATCGATATTTTCAGTATAGACTTTTAGTATAACTTTTGGGAAATTTGTTCTGTATAGTAAGTTACTATGAGAATATAAAATAAGTAAATAACAAACTTCATTCTGACTTCATAATATACGCAAATAAAATTTACGTAGAAGAACGTACTCAGAAATATGTAATAAATAAAAATATGAAAATATAATAAAATATCAAAGAAATTAACAGATTTTAAATAATCTAAAAAATATTATACATAAAATTATGGTTTCACCATAGTATATTGCTAATAATATTGTCAAAATATTATTGTATTTCAACTACTTTTTACAAATATTTTTGTATTAATGACAAAAAATTATTATAATTTATTTTTTTAATTTTTGTTTCTAAAATATAATTTGGTTATATTTTTTTATAGTTTCTTTATATTTTTAATATTAAATTAATGAATTTAGTTCAATTAAATCTAATTCAAATACGTATACGTTTATGACATTATTTTTAATGTTTAAATATTAAAAATTATAAATAATACATTATGTAATAATTTATTAGTGACTAATATAATTGAATTAGTTATATCAGCTTATACTTTAAATTATAAGCTACAAGAAACTTAAAACGATATTAATAATCAAATTAATTATGACAATTAGTCCTATAAAAGAAAAAATATTTTTTTTTTTAGTATTTCTTATAATTTTTTTTTTTTTATAAATTTGTTGCTTTAAATTTAAACATTCTATAATAAAAATAATAATTTGTTAATTAACTTTTGAAAAACAAAAGTTTTGGGACTAGAAAAAAATACAATTGTATTTTGGTTTTATTAACGTAGAACATACTAAATTAGACTAATAGAAAATGCTACGAGGTAACCACTCTCTTAACATTTTTGAAATAAATGGCGTCTTCGTTAATAACATCATAATACGAAAATTTATGAATAAATATAAATGGCTTTAGGGCAACCAAATTAATTAGTTCTCCCGGTAATACTTTTTATAAACACAGGCCTGTTTATAGCGTCTTGTGATTTTCATTTTTTTATCGTTTTATGAAAATATTATTAGTTATTAAGAGATACTGGAAAAAATATGATGAGAAATAATAAAGGTATTCAAAATTTTTAGGACTTTTGTATCCTCACCATTTTTTTTTTAATGAAGTGTTTGAAGAAAAATAAAGATTTTTTTATGATAACTTTAGAGATAAGATTCTTTTACGATACTAAAAATTAATTTTAAATAATTTCCACCTATAGTAGTTTTATTTGATAATCGCTCAACCATATAAATTAAAAATATTTAATAAAATAAAATAGAAGTTTTCACAATCATTTCAGTATTAAGTATTGTTAATCTCTTAAAAAAATTATTTAAGACATTTAAACGAACGGCACTGGTTATTATCTATTTTAAACTAGAGTTATTTTAAATTATTTAGAATAAATTTACACTAATTATTAAAAAGTCTTATAGAGAAGAACAAAAAAAAAATTGTATTATATTCTTAATTAAAATTTATTTAGTGTTATTATTTTTGATGTGAGTAACATGAAATTGTAATATTTTTTAATATAAAAATAGGATGATCTAACACAATTTTTAAAGTAATTGTTGAAACGTTAAAATATATTACTGAATTATACAATTCAATAAAATCAACAGTGACCAATCATATATTAATACATTAATAATTATATTATATAGTTTAATACAACAATAATCTCCACAACTACTAAGAGAAATTTATATTTAAAAAATAAATTAGTATTTTGTTAAAATAATCTAAGAAATTAAACATTTAAAAAATTTTATCAACTTTTTACTTTGTATAACACTTGGAAAAACTAAAAGAAGGTTTGAGTTTAGTCCTAATTCGTGGCGAAGACCATCTAGCATTTAGACTATTGGTAAATACCATATCTTTTGGAAATACTCCCTCATCAATTTCATCTTCTTCAGTTTTAATTTCCATTTTCTAAATAAAATTTAACAATAGATTGAAAGTATTAATCTAGACTAATAGTGTGTATTTGAAATAATTTACTTGGATAATCAATCTCAAGAAGGTTTGTTGAGTCTCTAAAGAACTAGTTATTACCTTCAAACGATCCTTAACTTTATCTATTTCATCCGTTAAATCATTTTCGTTGTTTTCCAAAACCATCTCAATAGCTAATTATTAAAAAAATGGTATTAATCATAATAAAAGAAACTCCTAAGTTAAGTAATTGTATCATAAAAAGTACTTCCTCAGTTAAATCAAAAGCAATACCTTTAAAAATAAGTAACATATTATATAAAATAAAGTGAGATAATTGTGTCTGCTGGATATTTGAACGAGATAAAATTTATTATTTTTAATTAGAATAAATTTTATCGAAGTATTTTATTATACTCTTCAACTGCTTAAGCTTTTATACTTTTAATAGTAAAATATAGTTATTAATATCACATAAAGTTTTTAATAAAATTTTTTTAACAATTGATATTATCTAGAAGATTAACTACACTTACTATATTTTAACGTTTTAACAACAATTTATTTTTATAAAATTTTACACTTGCTCCAGTACATTTATGTATTTGTAAAAAATTGAGTGGAACTAGGATTTGAATATTTTATTATAAATTTAGGTAATCTAATTGTTAATATGTCATAAATAATTATTTAACAGAAAAAATACACAAATCATTTTATAACTCTTGATATAAACTTCATTTAAGAGTCCAATTTTTTTCAATTTTCATACGTTTCTGGAACACACTCAAGAAAACCTTTGTAATGAATGAGAGTATTCGTACATATCAAAGGTTAAGGAAACCTTTAATATACAAAATAATGGTTGAAATTAATTTATTACAAACTTAATATAAAATATCTTATTTAGATTATATGAGTCAGTTTAATATTTCATAAGAAAATCTCAATTTTCATAGCTCAAATTATTATTTTAGTTATTAAATATTTCCGAAGAAAGTTACTTTCTAATTTGTAACAGTTTTCTAGATAAAGGAATGTGTATGTGTCTACCATCAAAAATCACGTAAAAAATAATTTTTTTAAACGGTTATTAAATAAATTAAAAAACAATATTTCTGCAGGTTCCTCTAAATATACACTTGTATAGGTGAGTAATAATTTGACATAACAAGACCAATATTTAAGTTATAATAAAAAGGTAAGAGATGTAAGAATAAAAGTAAAAATAAAGTAAGAGGGTAAAATGCATTTTTTTATTTTAAGGAAATAGAATATTTTAATTTTTTAAAAAGAAAAAATAATAAGCATTTAGTTTTTTTAATTAATTAATAACTCTGTATAATTTAATATACGTAAGGCTCAATCATTTGACTATAATTTTAATTATTAAAGCCTCTAACTTTAAATCTCAAAAATCTTGAGTCAATATAATTTTACTCTTACCATCGTCAGAAAAAGGGTTACAAAACCATTTTCGTAAAATAAAGTCCAGAAACCCCATTTTAGTTTTTCTTTCATTGGGATATTCAATCTGTTCTGTTTTATCAATTTTCTCCAAAAGTACTTGAGGTAACTTCCTTTCAAGTTCAGTGTGCAAAATGACCTTAATAAAAAAAGCGTGTTATTTTTTTTTTTTAAGATGTATTCTCCTAAATTAAATACCAATTGACACAAAAATTAACTCTATTTATATATATATAGAATTTATAAAATTTCAAAGTAATCAACTGAATTTTTACAAGTATGCCTTTTTATTTTTGAATATTGATGGGTCTTTTAAATGTTAATAGTAATATGAAATAAAAATAATTTAAAATTAATATGAACTTATGCCCTTTACACACGCATTGGCTAGTTAAAATTATAATTTAAAAAACGTAGTACTAATTAGTTAAAATACAAAATTGAACATAAGCTTTGAATTTAACTACAATTAGAATAAAAGCTTTTAAAAACGCTTATTTTATTAAAACAAACCTGCATTGCTAATCTTTTCAGTTGAGCGTTTCTCCGAACTGACTCAATATCACCCACGGCTAAACCAATGAGTAAATTCATCAATAAAATGGGCATTAAAACCATGAAAACGCCGAGCATTAAAAATACAGGAACTGGATAAGGTATACTCTTGACATCACCACTACCTTCTTCGTAACTACTGTACAACGGCTGTATGTAAGTGCCAAGAAGATCTATTTCCCCTAACATCATGGCAAAAGTTCTCAATAATGACATTGGTACTGTACTAAACGATAAATGATTGCCCTAAAATAAATATAATGAAATCAACTTAAACAAATAAATTAAAAAAAAAATAAAATTGAACAGCTGAAGCAAAGTTTTAACCATTCCATCTTTCATATAACCGCATGTTTTTTCACGATTTCTCATCGACAACTTACATCGGGCATGGCAAAAAAAAAATCCCGATAGAATTATTTTTAAAATAATTGTTATAATCAAAAATATTATTTTTCTAATTCATTTCGTTTAAAAGAAGTTTTATTTAAACAAAAAAAATTAAAACATAAAACGAATAAATGTTATTCATTAATATTATTTACAAACATTAATTGTAATCAAATGTCAACAAAACCCAAATTTCAATAGAAATTGATTCACTGTCATTTTTGAACTATGACTAAACAAACTATTAACAGAATTTTGATTTAAACGTACATTTCTTCTTTTTCTTTTTTTTTCCTTATCTTAATCCCAACTACACTAAATTTTTTAATTTATATATATATATATATATAATTCAATTCAAATTTTATTGAGCAGATTAATATGAGAAAATGATTAATCCAACAAATGTAGAATAATAAATTTGAAGTCTTGTTCGTTATTTATTTTTAGGTAAATTACCTTTTTGAATTTACCAGGTACAACTTTAAAATAATTTCAATATATGAAATAGGCATAATAAGAAAAAGACATATATATATAATAGTTTAATAACATCTTGACATAGTACTACAAATAAAAAAGCTTAATAAAAAGCACCACTCATGGCAAAATTATTTCATCGAAACTGTTTTACGATAAAGTAAGGATTTATGTAGTATTTTAGTATAGTAAGAGTTAATATAGTGAACTCTAAATTATGAAATTTGATATATTAAATAAATTGTCTATTAATATACAGCTAATAGCTAATAAAATAGAAATTCATTTTCGATAAAATTTTTTAATTATTATTATTTATAATAATTAATCCTTTGACACCATTATATTAACGTTTCGATTACATTATTTAATAAAAACTACTTAAATTACTTGTAAAATACTCACCCTTGATAAAAGAATATAGAACGCTAATCCAAAAGCAGCAATAAGTATTGAGAACAAAAGCAATACTTTTATTAATGTTTGCAATATTTCAAGGAACATCACAACGTAAATTCCTACTTGATCAAATCTATTTCAAATCAAAAAAGCGTTAATATTATTTTAATACTTTCACTATTAGAAATAAATGATACTTAAAAATAATAAACAAGTGTAACTATATTATATTACTGATTTCTTAAAATTAATGCAAGCTAAATGCATTTTATGTTGACATTAGAGTGATTTTAAAAATACAAATTTTCGACATTTTTTCATCGCCCTTACCCCTTAAATTGTTTAAATACGTGTAAAAATAAGCTGTATAAAATTCACGAATAATATAAAAGGGTTGATATGTGCCTTAAGAACATTGAAGCTGGGTAATATCATTATTTAAAATGATGTGCAATTTTTTTTTTACAACTCAATTATTATACCAGTTTCAAAATTTACACAGATCATTTGTACATTTAATTCAATAATTTAGGAGAGCAATAAAATCAAATATCAACATTTTTTGTTTTGAGCACCATTCTAGTAAACATACTTTCTCGTATTTTGAAGTCACGCGAATGGAGGTAAGACATCCTCTTAAAATATTTTAAAATATTCATTTTCTATAATTAATTTAGAGAGTAATTTTTCTTTCCATTTCATATGGAATTAAATTCAATATGACTCGCAAAAAATGTAATAATTTAAACGATTACCAAATATTTCCATAACTCCGTTTCTTTTAGATAAAAAATAAAAATTTTAATTAGATATTTTTATAACATAGCTAAATTATTTAAAAATGCTTTGATTAAATTTAGATCAATTTAAATATTTAAGCTATAAACTTAAAAACTTTTTTTTAGAAATTTTTAACATTATAATTATAATTATTGAGTCTAGATATATATGTATTGATTAATTTCGTTAAGTTATTCCAAACACATTATCAGCCAGAAATAATTTGTATTGTTAGGCTTCAAAACTTGGTAATTTGTTTTAACTGGTGTTATAATATGGAAGGATTAATGGTATTTATTCACTTCTAAAACGAAAATATTTCTTTGCTACTGTACACGGTGATTTTTTTTATCATAACCCACTTAATTACTCACAGAATAAAATTAATTTGAAATTTTTTCTTTATTACTTTTAGTTACATATTTTTCTCGAATTATAGGCTAGATGATACTTTTTAAGTCCATCCCTTATGATTTGAATTGATAGTCAACATTTTTTTCAAATGGGAACAAATATTTCGATTTTAATACAATGTTTGACGTTTTATTTTAACAGAAAATGGCGTATGAATTTTTAACATATAACTAATCCATTTATTAGATATAAAACTTAAAAGTTTCGAATTTAAGTTTTTATATATGTTTCTATTCACAATTACACGTCGTTTGTCTTTTATTATGACTATCAACAGGTCTATTGAATGTTTGGTAGTAAACAATAAATTATAAATACATATAAATCCGGATTCTAGTTTTAATAAAAAATCGCCTCATAGATTTACGTTAAAATACTATAATTAAAATCACAGTTTAAGCTAGAGAGCCCAATTATCTCTTATACTTAAACATTAATATTTTTAACTACCTTTGCAAATTCAATAAAAGAGTAAACCAACTGAGAAATACAGTTATGCTGGCAAAAGCTATTTGATATTCAGCAAAATACCCAGTTAAAGCTGGCGTAATCATTGCTACAGCTGAAAAATACAGAAGTATCGCCACTGCGTTAGTTGGATCTAATAAGTAAGGCCATCTTTGCTGATAAAATTGAATTGCTTCTCTTACACTATTTATAAAAACGTAGACCATAATCAAAAAAGCAATAGTCTTCAATGTAGTATGACTAGTATTCGTCTAAAATGTGCAAAATTTTTTTACAATATTACAAATTAACAAAGTCATTGTTTAACTATGATACATGCGATATCTTTAAATGTATAAAACAAAATATTTTTTTCTTCACAGAACTAAATAAAATTTTACGTTCTACAATTATCAAAAAAACTTTGGCCCCACTTTTCCCTCTTAAAATTGTAACAACTTTTTTTGTTTAAATAGAAACATATATCGTCATTTAAGATGCAACACCAGATATCTCACTTTTCTCAACATTTCAGGAGAATAATAAAACATTTATTTTTCACGACTAATCCTTACACAGTAATGTTTTTATTTTCATTCTATCTAAGAAGCTGTTATATATATATATTTGTTTTCAACTCACCAAATGATTAGGGAAAATTTTAATAACAACCTGTTATTAACTAAATTTGACCAAAAGATATGATATTGGTTGTTGCATCATAAGCGACAATATGTTCAAACAGCTTACAAATAAGATAATAATATAATTAATAAAATGATCGGTTGATAACAACTTTTTTATCAGTACTTCAAAATACAATTGAATTTTTATACCAGCGTTAGAGTAGTGCTTTTTATGAATATCTAGAAATGAAAATAAACACATTTAACCTCGAATATTTTTATTAAAGTATTAATAACTTCCAAAATACTGCTTTATAAGCTGTTAACGACCTGTCATTTTCTTATTTTTAATTTGGTTAAATATATATTTAAATTTAAAAATTTAAGTAAATAAAATTTTAAGAAGGGAAGAGATAAAACAATATTTCTTTTTAAAATTTGTAGAACATAGGATACCATTACTTCAGAAAAGAAAAAATTATAATATATATACGATTTTTAAAGATCATGCATTATTTATACTTAATAATCGTTCTGTATGTCACATATATATTATTAAAATGTATTATTAATGTATAATATATAATGTATACAAATGTATTATTGTATTTAATAACTTTCGTTAATACCATATCAGAAGCTTTCAAGTCATTTATGATTTCATAGGTATTGTTTCTTAGTATTTTTGTTTTGTGTACCATCAGTTGAGAAGAAAATAAAGTAACGAATATCAGGAATATTGTGAAGAATAATAAATGTGCTAAGTGAAAATACTTCCCATATGTATTCCATTTCATTTGTAAATATTTCTGACTTAATGGATGCGCCAAAAGTTCAACTCGATCATGACTTACCATAGCCTGAGAGTTAAAAATTAATTGTTATTAAATGACATGTAAAAGTTTGGGCGATTATAAATTATTCCCATAATTTGACTACATGAAATAAAATAGTAAATCACGCGTAAAATATTAAATTTTATGAGTAATAAATTGCGTTGAAAAAATATTAAAAAATGTTTTCTTTTTAATAAAAATTGTGATTAAAATCTATGTAAATTATGAAACTAATATGAAAAGTAGTCGGAGTTAGTAACATAAGAACACGTTTGGTATAATGTTTGTGGACCTAGAATACATTAAAGTAAAATAACTTGGGGGTTGGCATACATATAATAAAAATGAAAATAAAACTACGATTAAAGGGGTAATGAAATTATGGAGGAGGTGCTTAATCCCCAAGTCTCCCCAATGTCTACCTATAGATGATAAACTAATTCTTAAACCACTTTTCCACATTAACAATATAATATTTTATCAGATATGTTACATTAATTAGTAAGGTTTGAGAACATTTGATTAACTTAATAGTAAGCTAATCATCTAGCCTTTCTATTTTTCGTTGAAAGTTTCTAAGTTGAGATAGGGTCTAATGTAAGCTTAAAACCAAGGATATTTATGGTGAGCGTATCAAAGTAAAGATGCCGAGCGATCATAATGAAATTATTATTATAATTATTATAATTTAATTTATTATTAATGATTATTACGAAATCATAAAATTTCGAGTTAAAAATCTACTTCCAATAAAATTTTTAAATCGACGTAGTGTACTAATTTAGGGACTAATCGGTGCAATTTACTACCGCCTAAAATAGCTTTTCTTAATAATACTTTTATAGACTTACATTCAAAGCAGGTAAAGGAGTTGGTTTCAAAGATCCAGCTACTCCATTTTTTTCATATGCTGGACATTGAAGACAAGAAAATGAATATTTAATCTAATAAAAATATATTTTACTAAATTTATTACTAAAAAACACATAATATATATTTTTGAGTAAAAACTTGCATAAAACTGCTTAGAATCTTTTTTACAATTGGCTTTAGTAATGCATTTATCTTGGACTGACTCAAAAACACGAGGCATCGAAGCTATCAAAGCTAGTGTTACGCAAGGATGTCTGTCAGATTTTAACGCCATTATTTCTTCAGCTCTACATTAACAAAATTTTAAAGAAATAAAAAATAGTAAAATTGTATATTGAATAAGTAAAATAATAAATTATCGACTACCTAGAATCATGAGTGACCATTGACAAAGCTGCTTCAGGAAATTTATAATAAATGGCGTAATCAATTGCGCTTAAATCTAATGAATTGAAGAGAAGTTTACAATTCATGTACAGTAACAATGTAATAGCATTAGGTTTATTTTCCATTGTAGCTAAATGTAAAGCAGTGTTTTTATCTTTATCGCATTGATCGAGCAAATGCGAATGAACTGAATGTAACAATTCAATAGTTTGAGTATGACCACTCATAGCCGCTAAATGTAATGGATTTCGACCTTTGTGGTCTCGATGTAATAAAGCTCCTCTGTTTAAGAATAACTGCACTATTTTAGTATGACCTGTAAACATAAATAAAATAATGTCTAGTATTATATATATGTATAGTTAAAAATTACCTTGTTGAGATGCGATATGAAGAGGGGTAAGTCCATCTCCATCCGACTCATTTATAATAAACGCTCCTTTTTCTGAATCCAGTAATCGTTTTACAGTATTAAACCTTCCGTATCGTGCACCAAAATGCAAAGGACTTTCTCCATTATGATTTTTTATATTAACACAAGCACCTAATCGTATCAAACTCTCCAAACTTCTGATATGACCTCCTCTACTAGCATAATGTAACGGCGAACAACCTGAATTATCTCTTTCATTAAGAAGCATTTCTAAAGCTTTTTGATCATTTTCCTGATAATCATAATGTTTAATATGAATTTTTTAAATTCAATGTAATTTAATAAATAATTTTAAAGTCGCAAATTAAAAGTAAATAAAAAATTGTTGTTGTGTACTTATTTATTAATCACAAGAAGCGAATAACAAAATTTACAAGCGTAAGAGGAATATTGTAAATTTATTTTTCTGAAAAATTTTTTTAAATCAAATATTCAAATAGGAATAAAGTAATAAATAAACTGTAATAATTTAAATAAAAAAACAATTAAATAATAACGTCATAATACATGGTTGCAAATTTAAAAAAAACTCATTTAGTTTTATTTAAAATATATTTATTTTAAAAGAATTACCATAATAATTTCATGAGCAAACTCATCTAGACGTCCACCATACATTACAATAAGGTGTAATACGTTTCTTTTACTAGAGTCTTTGACTTGAACATCAGCACCCAATCTTATCAAACTAATTACAGTCCTCCATCCTGACCTACTTGCTGCTAAAAGTAAAGGAGATCTACTTTCTTTGTCCAAAGCGTTTATATCAGCCCCCTAAAATCATAAATAAGAAACATATATGGTTATTTCTAATAAATAAACTTTATTTTTTATCACTTCTTCAATGAGATATTGAACAATTTCTGAACGATCGAACATCGCAGCACAATGTAATGGTGTCATTTTTTGAACATCGCAAGAACATAGACACTGAGTTTTTTCTGCTGGTTGCAAACCAAACATTAGTCGAACTATATCAATAGCTCCTTGAGCACAAGCTAAATGAATTGGGGTAGAAAGATCATACTGTTGTGTAGATATTTTTGCACCAGATTTTAAACAAAGCTCTACGGCCTAAAAATAACCTCAGTAATATATTTAACCTTATATAATTTCAAATTTAATACACTTTAAATTCAAAAACATTTTAATACAACAAAACTATATTTTAAAAGGTTTTAAAAAATTTTTTAGTCATCAAAAAAAAATTTTTAAATTATTTTTTGGTTACGGTAAAATAAAACTAGGGTTTAGAAACAATGAAGTATACCTAAACTTCACAAACTTAGTAAACTTGTAAAATGAAGTTTTCATAAAAATGTAGGAAGGTTTTACAAAAATAAATAAACCAAACCCTGCAATTTTTAGTGTCAACACTACGTTATAGTATAAAATATCGACACCTAAGTTATATCATCTAAAAAAAAGTAAGGAATTAATTTTTTAAAATGCAATAACCGGAAGAGCATTGTCATAATTATATGATACAAATTTTTCAAACTACTTTCTAAGGAAAAAACAGATTTATGTTTATAGCAAAAAGCTCACGGCTACGTTAATATTAACATTTAAATTTAAATTTAACTTTACTTTTTACTCACATAATAGAATTTGAATACAATATAAAATGTGATCAGAAAATAAGAAACTCTGTATTGTTATTTCCTGAAGTAAAACTTGAATTATTTCAAGTAGAATAAAATCACTTTAAAAAATAAAATCTCATCTATCTAGTAACAGAGTGATTTTTTTTTTTTGTTTTACCTTTTGGGGATTTTTTTTTATGATTCATTTACCTTAAAATCACCACTGTGTACCGCAGAGTGAAGAGGTACATTGCCTTCAGCGTCGAAAAACGATATCATTTGGTGTCTAGAATTGCCTTTGCTCTCTGCCCACTGTAACAGTACTTCCATAGTCCGGGACGCTGCATTTTTTGCTGCCTCGTGTATAGGATAATAACCATTATGACACGGTTGTCTATTATCAACACCAAGATCTCGCATCTAAAATAATTTGTTCATCAGTTTGATGTCCATCAAAATTCAGTAAAAATAAATTCTTAAACAAGAGCATTTAGACATGGTATAATAAGAAAATTGTTTTTAATGTTACATTACTTTACTTCCAGTAGTATATAACTACATATAATTTTACAGTGTTTATAGCTAGAGATTATATTGTAACACATAAAGTATAATATTGCTACAATTTTGTTGTGTATTATATGATTTCAATGAATAATATTACTATTTAATTGAAACGGTGAATTAATTGAACAAATTATATTAATTTATTGATTTTTATGAATCACATTATGGAAAAAAAAATTTATTTAATTATACACGTACGCCCTGTATTAAAACTACAGTTATCTAACACTTCCTTTTATGTATGAATAAGATTTTTTTTTCATTCGAAAACTTTCATCATTTTTCTAAACCAAATGATCAACAATTACCGAATTAAACTTAATTATTCAACAGACTTTTATTCGTACCAATGTGTTATAAGAAAAATAATAATAACAATATTAAAAATATCACACATTATTTATGATTACTTTTCTGTTTCACTATTTAATTTTCAATAATATTTAATATCAAGAAAAATTCTATGTTCAAAAAACCAAGTACAATTTTTATTTAATAAATTTTGAACTTTTTATAATTTAATATGACCCTTTATACCATTTTTACAATACAAAAAATGTTTTTACATTCAGTTTCAAACAAAACAAATTAAAAATGTAAAATATAAAGAATTATAATATTTGGAATAAATGTTTGGATAAATTTTTTGAATTTATTTATTTTTAAATTATTTATTTGAATAAATAATTTGGTATAAAAATGTGAAAGATAAAGAATTATAATATTTGAAATAAAAGCTTAAAAATCTTTTTTGGAGTGTAATTGAATGATTTTTTAAACGTACAAAAATGTTTCTATTATATGTATAATTATCAAATAAAGTAAATTAAAATGAATTTCAAAAAAATTATTTTTTTTAAATGTTCTAGTAAATTATTTCCAAAAATTTATAATAATAAATATAATATAATTTTGAATTCAAATAAAATTTTCATTATAAATCCCCCCCTGTGGGCAGGTTAAGTGTCAGATTTACAAAAAAAATATACCAAATGATAGGTAAAGACATCAAGCATCTATATAAAAAAAAATTATATTGATATGTTCATTTTTGAAAAAGTTACGGCAGTTTTTAGTAAAAAAAATTGAAAAAATTTCGAAAATTAGCGATTTTTAAATTTGTAATTTTTTTGGAGGTTTCCCCCATTTACGGGGAACGAGGGAAATTTTTTCAATTTTGAAGGGTAATGTCTTCGACTAGATACGATTTGTGATCTTTTGACGTATCGTTGAAAGAAATCCGTTCGGTGAGAGCTGAGAAAAAGTGGTAACAGACACAAAAAAAAAAAAAAAAAAAAAAAAACACATCTTAGTAAAACCAATCTCAGCTTCGCATCGAAGCTAAAATATATTTAAAAACGTATTTAGCTATAGACGATATTGTTGTAATTAGTAATTTGTAAAACAAATATTATACACGAAAAAAATGTTGCAAAAATTATATACATTTACAAATAACAAATTACTAAAATATTTGTTATACGTTTAATGTACACTTTTTAAGTTCTTTTTATTTAATAAACGATAAATGAAAATAAAGATTGTCAATTAAGGCGAGTCTCGTATAAAGTATATATATTCATTATTTGTAAAATAAAAATAATGTTGATTATTTTTTATGGGTTTCTTTTAATTCCAATTTTTTTTCAACCAATCAATTTTACAAATAGATTATTTAATGAACAAGCTAATCAATTGTGTATGTTACTATTAAAAAAAATAGCGGTTAACTTTCCTTATCCACTTTGGTATTCTCCTACAGCTTCTTCAGCGCATCTCTCTAATATTTTTAATATTATTAATGATAGGACCTTGTATCCTATATTTAATAGCGTTATTGCCCTGTAGTATTTTACTTTTCCTCTGTCTCCTTTTTGAATATTGGTCAGATAAGTGTTTCATTTCAACTCTCCGAAAGCCATTCTTCTTCCCATATTTGTAGAATTACCGAATGTAGTTCCTTTTCTACTTCTTGACATTCTAACATCCACAATTCTGAGTTAATCCTGTCTTTATATGATGCCTTATTATTTTTCAGGGTGTGTATTGTCGCTTTTGTTTCAATCCGACTAAGGACAAGTACATCCTGGTCTACTGTATAATAAGCTCCGATTTCTTGGTCATTACTGTCATTTAGTAATTCACTGAAATACTCTTTGAACTCGTTAACTATCATTTCTGGGCCAGATATCCGGGCACCATTTTCATCTACTAAGGATAATATCTGCGGGATAAAGCCAGATTAACTTACTAATCATTATTAATAGTTCTTTCATTTATAAGTATAATATATGAACAAATACTTATTATAGTAGTTAAATTTAGTATGAAATTGATATTCAATAATTTATTATTGTAACTTTTACGGATAAAGTATAAAAAATAATAAAGTTTTTGTATATTACGTTATTTCTATGACAAACCTGTATAAAAATTATTGGACTTGATGCAATAGTTTTCAAAAAAATTCTTTTGTTATTTATGTATAAATACACTAGTCTACAAAAAATTTTTTTTTTTGAGTTTTCTTAACTCATTTTTCGCGAATTTTTAATTTGCAGTTAGATTTTTTCTATAATCTCTTTTTTGAAATTATTACTAATTAATAAAAAACGAGTATTTACGTATAAGAAAATGGTGACTTTTTATACCAAAATAATATATTTTTTATTACATATAAAAGAAAAGTCATCAGAACAAAAATGTTTGTTTTTTTGACTTATAGTACGTAATATAAGCTTTAGTTTAACATATTTATAAAGGACGCAGTATTTCTAGAATATTTTCAAAATTTTAAAAGGTTAACTTTTCATGAAAAAATAGCAATTTTGTATTCTTCCCTGTGGGAGATTATCAAGATTAAAATAAGATTATCAAAAAATAAATATCTAAAGTACGGGATTAACCTAAGTTTATGAAAAAAATTATTTTATGTCGTTCATTTTTAAAAAGATGTACTGCAGTTTTAAAAAATTTTTTTTAAATTTACCGATTTTAAAAATCATAATTTTTTGGAAATTTCCACTATTTATGGGGAACGAAGGAAAATTTTTCAAATTTTGAATGTAATGTCTTCAACTAGATACGATTTGTGATCTTTAAACGTATTGTTAAAATAAATTGGTCCAGCGAGAGCTGAGTAATAGTAGTGACAGACACAAAAAAAAAATAATCACATCATGGTAAAATTATTACTTTCTCAGCTTCGCATCGAAGCTAACATAAAGATAAATTGAGAAAACATGGAACTAAAAGAAAACAATAAAAAAATATCAATATTATTTTTCAATTAATAATTTATTATTTAATGAACTAATTAATTATTAAGTAGTCAAACACATTAAAAATGTGAGACCCACCAAAATTTAACCCGTACTTGCCAGTAAATACGGCACTGACTTTCTTTTAGTCTTTGTTACTCACTAAAATTAGAGCGCATTGATCATGGTCATGAATAGCAGCCAAATGAAGTGCAGTTCTTCCGTGCTTTCCACCTTGACAAGTATCAATTTTATCTTTATATTTGCACATTACTTGAAGTACGGCTACTCGATTTAATTCGACCGCCAAGTGTAACGGGGCTTGTTTTTTGTCATTTAGAGCACTGGGATCAGCACCACTGTAAAAAAAAAGTTCTATTTTCAAGATTAACTGAGTTATAAGATAGTACACGAATAATTTAAATAATAACTACTACTGATATGAGATTTCACTCGGAATTTTAAATTCAGTGTTCTGTACATTCCATACTTTTACAGGAAAAATAAAAATGTTATAAAGCAATTCTTTAAAAATTGAAAATTTAGAAATAATCTTTTGTCATCCATTAGTTCATAATATCAATTTTCTAAGGCTAAATTTTAGAAAAACATCATTTAAATATACTTTTTTAGCTTTAAATTTTTCTGAACATTTTATTTCTTAGACCTCAGATCTTTTTACAAGCACTGTTCAAAAGTTAGGTGTGTACCCAGGTTACTGTTCTACGTAGCTTATTATCATCTCCTTGGCTTTATCTACTGTACTCCGATTAGTTGTATTTGGCACTATTGGCAACTTTATATTACATGTGTGGAGTTGTGTTGTGATGTATTGTAGGATCAGCTCACTCGTTGCCAGTGAACTAGCATAGTTTTCTTTTAGGTTTTCTCGAAGTGTTCAAACGAAAAAGCAACAATCTATTGCATTGAATATTCATCTCATATATGGTGATGGTATTCCAAAGATCTACACACCGATGGTATTTTTCAATCAGTTAGTGCGGACTGTTATCTATGAAGTAATCATGACACACGTAATTATTTATTTTTCACACGTAATTATTAGTGAACGAAAAGTGGTCGCGATTTACGAAATCTTTTGAGGAGGATTTATTGTAAATTATTCTACGAGCTTACAACAACACGCAGCGGTGCAAGTAACTGGTTGTTAGGTGATGTTATTTCTTTCTTGTTAATGCATTATTATATTCAGTTGCTTAATTGATACATAAATATATATATACTTTATATCTGACAGTTGATTTTAAAAGTTTACTGTTAATATTTATTTTTGTATACTTGAAATATAATTAAGAAATAGAAAACGTTATAAAACCAAATAATTAAAACATTATCAAAATAAAACAAATAGTAAATAGAAGAATTTTCTTCTTTTTCTTATTTTCGCTTTAATCCCAGAAATTTGAAGTGGACCATGCAAATAGAAGAATAAACATAATAAAAAATTAAATACGATTTTCGAATGTTAAAAACATACTAGTACATCTTTTAGATAATCTAATTTAATAAACAAATTATATACTTAAATGAAACAATAAATTGTAAAAATAGTATCCTAAATTTTTTTTAAAAATGTCATTTTATAAAATAAGAAAATACGAACAGTTTTAACGTTTATCCACTACTAATATCATTTATTCATTTTTCATCGTAGACATCAAAATGTAAATTAAAATTGTTTCTTTTGATATTATAAAACATAACACAACATAATACAAAACATTAAACTGTACCATATGACAATTGAAATAATTTTTGCAACAACGGGAAATCTCTTTATTAATTTATTGAACACCTTGTATATATTATGAATACAATATTACTCTTTTCTGATATTGAATGCAGTTCAAACTAATTAGAAAAACAATAAAATAGTTTAATATTATTTTAAGACGTTATCTCATTGAAATATTGACGTAGAAGATTAGTAGAAGATAATTTGCTATCTACTTCCATAACACCAAAATTCCCACGTCCATATATTTCCTTCCGTTTACCCCTTTCCTATGTATTTTAATTTATGAGAGATTTATCGTTTATTACTTAGCCTCATTTTTATTTATCATTGCTTTATGACAAGAAAATTAATACTGTTTGATATAATTCTATTTTCATATAATTCTAAAAAAATTTTTAAAAATTAAAAAGTCATGTTTTATTACTAAAATTTTAATTAGTTACTTTCATAAAAAAACTATCATTTTATCAGTGTATTGTTTAATTATAGACGTAGATTGAAATAAAAACTATATAGACCCATTGAAAATATTTTACTTCTTATTTTTGTTTATGCATAAATTATAGAGTTCAATTTTATAAGGAAAATTGATAACTGAAAAAAGATACTTTAGATATTGAAACAAAGTGGAAAAATGAAAATTGTTAAATTTATTCATTGAGTTAGTTAATAATATCATATTATTTGCAAAACAAAAAATTATGTCAATGAAAATTATTATCTTCAATTTATAAAGTAATTCGTTGTTATATCTAATAACAAATCAACATAAAATTTATTGTAACGTAATAATATTATGTCAACCCTGCTCATATTTTATAATATTTCGATTCGATGTTGTGAATACATCAACAGTTTTTCCCTTAAATTTGTTATTAAAAAGACACGCGAAATCACCCTTGAATTTAAACAGTTTTGACATAATTTTTATGAGTAAGGTTTTCTGAAAATAGAACAATGAAAAATAGCTATGAAGGAATAACAATACTAAAAGTTTTTGTCATTTTATAAAGTTAAAATAAATTTTTATTTTTAAGGATTCGATGTAGACTAAAATATCAAAAAAACTTTTGAGGATAAAGCGTTATAATTTAACAATCACTCTGTATAAAAATCTAATATAATGGCATACAAGCAAATAACTTAAAACAATATTTATAGGAATTATATTATAATTCCTGCATCTATCGATTTATGAAACGTATTGATTATAAATAAACCCATAAACTTACAAAATTTTATTACTTTAAAAATTGGTTTTACACATTTTCCAACATAAGTCTTTTGTTCATCAATAACTATAAATATAATTTCTGAATACATATAAAAGATTTTTCTATATACAATAAAATTTAACTATAAAAAGTTATTATATCAATTTTTCATTTTATGTTATTTTATTAACCATTAATACTGTTTTAATCCTAATATCTATGTAGTTGAGAATAATTATAATTTACTACTTAATCTATTTTTTAATAGTAATACTATCAATCATTTTGATTTTTCCTTATAAATATTGCAATCTTTGAAGTGGTTATAAAAACTAATTAAAAATCATTTTTTAGAAACGAGTATACAATTATTATGTATTATTTAAAAACCAGACCCAAATACACAACTCTAATTATTTACTAAAATGTAACATCTATAAAAAATTATACATAACGTAGCACATAAAGTTATGACAAATTCAATAACTATTGATCCAATTAATATTTGACGTTAATTTCTTTTTAAATTAAGGACTTAACAAACAACATAACATACCATATGTTTTTAAATTATTTAATAAAGTAAAATATTTAAAAATTTACGAAAAATGCAAATAAAAAATTCAAGATAGTAATTTGTAGAGTAGATTATAACAAACATTTTGGTAAAAAATAACTTATTAATGTTTAGTAATAAATTAACTGTAGAATTTTAAGGTTTATGAAAATTTTAATTTTTGTGTTTAATTTTACGACGTCAATATTACATCAATATAACATTACAATGTGAATTGAGAAAAGGACAGAAGAAAACGAAATTTTTCACGCTCAATATTAGTTATAAATGTGTAACTTTTTTCATAAAAAATTGTCTACGTTTGAATACCTATTTTATAAGATCTCATTGGTATTATTTATTATAAGTAAATGGTAATTTAAATTTGGGAATGTTAAATTATATAAACATAACTGAGTCTTGTTGAATAAATATTTATAACATCTAATGAATTAGAACTCATTGTGTGATTGTTTAAATATAATGATAATAGGATTTTATTTTTATATTGTTTTTAGTAATAAATTATTCTTTGTTAAAATATCTTAAATTCTTCAATTATGCCAGTTTTTAAGTAAATACTATTTATAATGACAAATTATTATGTTATGAATAAAAATGGTCCTTTAAAATAAAAATAGGTTACTTTATCGAAACCCCATACCACACTTTAGGTTTTACCCCTTTCTAGAAAAACTGTATAACCCATGATAAATTTTTATTGATTTTCTTGTATCAACAGATATTCAAGCCAATTTTATAAATGCATTAAGTCCCGAAACCTGCCTTAACTTTTGATAAAATTAACATTTCGCTGTAATTATATATATCTATATATACAGGGTGATTTTTTTTATCATAACCAACTCAATTACTTACAGAATAATAATAATTTAAACATTTTTTTTTATTATTATCTTTAGTTACACATTATTCTTGAATTATTAACTATGTAATACTTTTTAAGTTCATCCCTTATGCCTGGTAAGGGTGTCAACTTTGTTTTTTCAAATGGAAACACGTATTTTTAATTTAATAAAATGTTTGAGTTTTTAATTTAATAGTAAATGGCATTTGAATTTTTAATATAACTATATTTGTTCATTAGATATAAACATTTAAAGTTTCAAATTTTTGAGTTAATATATAGGTATAATACACAAGAGATTACAAATACAGGTAGCTAATGGATTTTTTATGACATCGATATTAGCAGGTACACAGCATTGTTATTATCAATGATAGTAAGTTACATTGTTGTGAGTTTATAAATACACTAACTTACAATACAAAAAGTATATCTATTGATAATCATAATTGATAATAAACAATCCGTAACTGTGATAGCAATATCATAAAAAACCAATTAGCTACCTGTATATGTAATCCCTTGTGTATTATACCTATATATTAACTCAAAAATTTGAAACTTTAAATGTTTATATCTAATAAACAAATTAAGTTTNTACCTATATATTAACTCAAAAATTTGAAACTTTAAATGTTTATATCTAATAAACAATTTAAATTTTATTAAAAATTCAAATGCCATTTACTATTGAATTAAAAACTCAAACATTTTATTAAATTAAAAATATGTGTTACCATTTAAAAAAACAAAGTTGACACCCTTACCAGGCATAAGGGATGAACTTATAAAGTATTACATAGTTAATAATTCAAGAATAATGTGTAACTAAAGATAATAATAAAAAAAAATGTTTAAATTATTATTATTCTGTAAGTAATTGAGTGGGTTATGATAAAAAAATCACCCTGTATATCATATATGCATTTATAAAAAAATCTACAAGTAATAAAAATATGACTTTAATTTAGAGTCTAAGAATGCATAAATTTTTTTGGAAAAAATCATAGTGAAATGTTAATTGTTAAAAATGTTAATTAATTTCTCAAAGTTGATTCCCGATTATACTGTGTAAAATGTAATGTAAAATTATTAAGAGAATATTAAAGTTTTTTAAAAAGTGTATGAGCATTTTCAAAGAATGTTTTTTTTTTTTAATATTTTGTTAGTGGAATTAAATAATACTAGCAAAATATAATACAGTTTCAATAATAAAATTACTTACTTTTGTAAAAGATATTCAACTGCATCTAATGAATCGTGTTCAATTGCTATGTGCAACGGAGTATTGCCATATGTATCCCGTATATTTAAATCTATAAAAAATTAAAACAATAAAATAAAATGGTACACTGAAATTAATACCTATGTTTCATACACTGGAATTATCCAATTAGAAAATTGTATATATATATATATATATATACAAAAAATGAACAATTAATATAGTGATAACTCTAATAAAAACAGTTGGAATATCTACTTAAATGGTTTAGTTAACTGAATATTCAGTTATTCGAACTATCTTTATATGAAGTTATCACTATATTTTAACCGTATAAAGTATTTCTAACTGGTTGGGTATAACATAACTCAATCGAGCAACTGTATTGACAAACTTGTATATTTTGACGCATACTTCAAAAATAAAAAAACATTATTATCCATTCTTATTTTGACAATAGTCAAAATAGATAAGTTCGAAGAACTTTTACCTTATTTTAATAAAATTAGACTCCATTAACAATTTTAGATTAAATATATTATTTGATAATTAGATCCAAACTTAAAAATTCAACTGAAATTAATTTTGTTAACATTTTTATCTTGAATTTCTACAACATTAATTAATTTTTTCTCATTTGACGAAACTAACAAGAAATTATTGACCTTATAATTCCAAAAAATAGTTACCTCCACCATGATTTCTTATAAACTGCAATATATTAAGTTTATTTCGAGCAGCAGCTTGATGTACAGCAGCTCTACCCTTAGAATCTCTAACTTCAAGACGGGCTGGCTCTGCTATGAAAAGACGATTAAAATCATCTAAATTACCGCTTTCAGCAGCCTAAAATTTAATAAGTTATTAAATTTATTATTCTAAAACACTTTGTAATAAAAAATTTCAATAATTATTATTTATAATTACATACTTAACCATATTTTTTATTATATTTATTACTTAATTTGTTATTACTTTATAGATATGTATCCGCAAACTTAAAACTCGAGTCTTCTTATTATGAATTATCATAAACTTTAGAATATTTAAGTTATTAAGATACATCCATACTATATAATTAATAGAGATTTTAACTCAAAATAGTTAATATTTTAACTAAGAATATCTATCAATTAATAACACAAAATCGATGCGACGGAGAAACGATTCTCGCTTGCACATAACTTAAAAGTTATATTTAATTATATAATTAGGTGCAAGGAAGATTTAAATTTTAATAGGTAGATTACAGATAATATTTACATTGGAACCCTTGAAAAAATTTTTTCCCTGAACATATTTCAGAGATGAAATATAAATCAATGTACCCAGATTCTATATTATCAATAATATGAGGACACCTTCCCAACCATATCTCAGAAACCAGTTATTAAGTTACTTTCTGAAGGTTACTAATAGAATAAACTATTCTATCACACGATTGTTGTATTTTGAGAAATCGACCGTCAAAGTTAAAAAACTACGCAATTTTTCTAAATTTCTAATAAAATTACTAAAATTACTAAGTAATTATTACTTTATTTTAATTTTTTAAATATTTCAGAACATCTATAGTCTTCAAACTTATATAAAATTAAAGATTTTTAGGGCTCTATTTTCAATTAGGCTAATAATTTAACAGATATTTATACTCGAAAAAATTTTAAACATAAAAATTGTATAATTACAAATATACAAATTATTATGAAATTTAACAGACTTGCATTGAAGTGAATTTAAAATAATGATTAACATTATTATCACTTATACTTCTTATTTTTTATTTTTATATTTAAATTACCATTCAGTAGTTAGTGTTTATTGATTAGGTAAATCATTTTTTTAAGATTCTCCCAATACACTACTAATACTGACTACATAATTGAAAAAAAATTTAGCTAAAAAAGACGTTAAATTACACATTGACATGCAATAGAAAACATTTTGAGATCATCATTTACTAGACGGTTTTAAATATTATTTTTATTATTTCGCTAAACATGATTGCAATAGTAACTCAAAGTGACAAGTAATCATATAATAATCACATTATACAACTATCCTAACTTTATATTTGCATGCACATCATAAATACATGTTTTCTGTCAAATAATAAACTTCTTTTCTAATTCAATTTTTTAATTTTAAAATTCAATTATATAATGTCACTATTTATTATATTTTTATTTTATTACTGAAAACTTATCGATAATACCACAACAAAACTTTTTTTAAGTTAATAAAGACGAAATACTGTTGAATTATCGTTAATTACGTTGGATATTTGTCTAGAAAAATTTTAAAATAATAAAATATTAAGGGTTTTACAAAAAACCTTTTTTGAAACTTGTGTAAAGTTTTAATACTAAGAATTTCGTCTTATATTATTAAAATTAAATATTATAATTTTTAAAAATCAATAATGAAACAAAAATTAACGCATTTAAAATATCTTACCAGCTTTATTAATTTTTAAAGTAAAATAAATAATGCAATTGTAGTGAGATAATTGAAATCGCTAATGTAATTAGTGGGAGTAAGATAAGGGTATACATATTTCATTTAAAGATAAAAATAACATTTTAAGATCCGGTAGAATTTAAAATGTTTTTATAGACATATTCCATTGGACAGATTAAAATAATTCTATCATTGGATAATAGAAAATATATATAATAATATATTGTATTGCATCATAAAAAAATTAATTAACTTTCCTTCAATATCACACTAACAAAACAAAATTTACACAGTTTACAGTAGTTAACAAAATTAACAGTTTACTAGTTAATGTAAATAATGTTAAAAAATGTATAGTATTAGTGATAAATACATCGAAAAACCAATAAGTCGTTTGTTTAAAATATTTTCTATTTTAATAAAAAATTTTTAAAAAGTTTTTAAAAAATCTATATTTTACTACCTACAATTCTGAATTATATTAGACACAATAATTGTGTAAAATTATTTTACTTTCTTATAAGAATTAATTTACATTATTTATCATGTAAGTAAAATAAAATAGAACCTTATATTAAGCTATGATGTTTATATTGCTAATTATTTTAAGTAACAATAAACCTAAAATACAACATAAAAATTCAATTGAACCTACATAACTGTTTGGAATATGATGATCAGTGTAAATAAACAAAAATGCATTAAATAGTATTAAGTTTGTGTGATATTTCATGTCAATTATGTATTATATTTTTATGTAGTTTCAATGAGTATTATTAAAAATTATAAAAATGTATTACAAGAAGCAATTTTTTTTCTCTTGAGAAATAATTTGATAATAAGTTAATAAATAAATACATAACTATAAAAATATTAAATTAGAGAACAAAAGTAAAATAACCATTACTCACAATGAAATCAGAATAACTAATAGTGTTAATTTTAGTGTTCGATACATCTAATCCAGTTTCAGTAGTTATGGAATTAGTTTTCTTTAAACACTTTTTAAAAAAATAAACCATATTGAAATTTAGTTTTCTTTTTTTGTTATTCATTTCAATATTGATAAATAAAAAAACTCAATTTTAATAATACTACATGATAAATTATTCGTACACATAATTTTAAAGGCACTCTAAAGAGTCATATAGTGAAACTCGAACAAGATTTTAATTAATAGAACATAAATTGTCGAATAAATAGTTAATTAACATTTTTTGAAATATAAGATAATTCAAAGTAGTATTTTATAATGAATATAGTATTGAGTATATCAACATTTAATGTTGATATACTCAAATTGTATAGTTTTTATATATATATATACCTAATGCTAATACTCAAAACAGGTATTGCATGTGATTCCTCGGAAAAACTTTAGGGCGCGCTTTTTTATGATTTAGTCACGAATGTCCAAAAAACATAACATATTATTATAGTACATTATTTGAAATTTCAACATATATTAAAGTATCGACATATCATGGAAAAAAATATTTTTACTTATTCTTTTACACTATTTTTACGATATCTACAAATAATAATAATATCCAAGTGAAGTTATGTATACATTACAGTATTCAAGTAAACAGTTTTTTAATTTGAATAATAATTTATAACGTATGATTCTTAAGATCTAAAATAAAATCTCTCTGTATAAACCAAATCTATTATATTTGCTAGTAAACCTTTTTTTTAATTTTAAATAAATATGGTATTTGCATATTTCACAGCATAAAAAATTATTATTAAATAAAAAAAAAAATAGCACAGTGAGGTCGCGGCATAGTGGAGACATTGCATAGTAGGGTCCAGTATAGATTTAATCTGACAGTGATTAAAATCACTATCATAAGAAACGCTTCGATGCAAATCTGTAGATAGTGTTTAATTTTAAAAAATTGATGGATAATTGCAAAAGCAACATCAACTTCTATTAAAATAAAATACAAAACCCATAATTATCATACAAAAATAGTATATTTTTCAATATGGTAGCCATTTGCGTATAGAAGATAGATCGTCGGGACAAATTTTTTTTTTTCATTTTGTAGTACATAAAATAAGCTTTAATTTTATATATGTTTAAAGGACGCAGTATTTCCGGAACATTTTCAAAAATTAAGTTGAAAAAGTTATTTTTTGTAAAAAAGTTACTATTTTAAATCCTCCCAGTGAGCAGAATAAGTGTTAGATTTTCAAAAAAAATTATATCAAATGAAAGGGAAATATCTAAGGTTTCAATACAAAAAAATATTATTTTTATTTGTTCATTTTTGAAAAAGTTATGGCAGTTTTAAGTACAAAAAACATCCCGATAAAATGTAATTTTTATCGCAAACATTACATTTTTTTTTAAATTTTCGACAGCCATTTGCACATAGAAGATAAGATGTCGGGACAAATTTTTTTTTTTCATTTGATAGTATATAACATAACCTTTGATTTGATATATGTTTAAAGGACGCAGTATTTCCGGAACATTTTCAAAAGTTCAGTTGAAAAAGATCTATGTTTTTTACAATATTTTAAGTTTTGAACGCCCCCTATATAAGGGGAAATTGTCCAATTTTAATAAAAAGTATGTCAAATGAAAGATGTACTTATAATGTATTTAGAAAAAAAAAATTTGTGCTGATATATACATTTTTCAAAAAGTTATAGCATTTTTAAGTTGAAAATTTAAAATCGAAAATCGAAAATTTTAACACAAAAATAGTGTTTTTTTAACTACGGCAGCCGTTTAAATGTAGAAAAAAAAGTGTCGGGACAAATTTTTTTTTTTCATTTTGTAGTACATAAAATAAGCTTTAATTTGATATATGTTTAAAGGACGCAGTCTTTCCGGAACATTTTCAAAAATTAAGTTGAAAAAATTAATTTTTGTAAAAAAGTTGCCATTTTAAATCCCCCCCAATGAGCAGGTTAAGTGATAGATTTTCAAAAAAATGATATCAAATGAAAGGTAAATATCTAAGGTTTTAGTATAAAAAAAAATTATGTTGATTTGTTGATTTTTCAAAAAGTTATGGAAGTTTTAAGAAAAAAAAGTGAAAAAATTTCGAAAATTAGCGATTTTTAAATTTGTAATTTTTTTGGATATTTCCCCCATTTGCGGGGAACGAGGGAATTTTTTTCAATTTTTAAGGGTAATGTCTTCAACTAGATACGATTTGTGATCTTTTGACGTATTTTTGAAAGAAATCGGTCCAGTGAGAGCTGAGAAAAAGTGGCAACAGACATTAAAAAAAAAAAAAACACATAATAGTAAAATTAATACCTTCTCCGCTTCGCATCGAAGCTAAAATTATTTCTAAAATTAAAAATTTCTAAATAATTTCTGTTACTAAACATTTGAATAAAAACTCGATAAACAAAGGGCCAGGGTTTTCTATTATACAGGGTGTTCAGTAAGTCAGGAAACGGGTTTCTATTGTTCTCATTGTTACAAACAATGGGAACAATATAAACCCGTTTCCTGACTTACTGAACACCCTGTATAACATATTATTATAAACGTGCATAATGATGATATTTGATTAGAGTTTCTTTGTTCAGAGGAAGTAAGGTTATTTTGAACAGGCAAAGAGTCTTTAAAATACACGGTAAAATTAAAAATAAAAACTATTTGATATGATATATTTCTATTACTCAAATGCACTTTTACTTACTAATTATTGGAATTTCAAGTAAAGTATGCAATATATTTATTAGATTATCAATAAAAATTAGTTATAATTTAAACATTTATCAAAAAGTCATTGCGCATTAAATATTTCAATACAAAGTAATTTAAAAATTCACAACATTTTAATATTTTCCTTATTGTCAAAAATTAAAAGAGTTTTAAACTTGATTTAATATTATATATTAATATTATTAAATATTGAATAATATCGGTTCAGTAGAAATTAAATATTAACTGCTGATTTTGAATTTGAAAGAAAAATGTTCAAAATTCATCTTTCTAATATCTTACAATAATTTCAATAAAACACATGAAAGGTAACAATCGTCACCTTTCATGTCCTCCATTTACGATCTTTAATTTTTATTATTGAAATAACAACAATTGAATGTATATAATATTAATTGAATTTATAAAAAAATAGTCTATATATATATAATTTTGACTTCCTACATTAACACTAATTATATTTCACGTGTTTATTTTAACAATTAAATTAATTTTTTTTTTCAAAAAAACACTTTACTTATTTTATACTAAAACATCAATATTATAATATTATTAAATATTAACTATTACAGATGCTATTTTCATGTTAATAGTCATTATTTTAATTTGAAAATTTCCTAACTATTTTTTTTACTTTAATACACTACAATTATGCATTATATTATTTTATTTTGCATTAATGTAATAATAAAAAATATACAGCTATTAAAGAGAATAAGTATTACCTTAACAAGCTCATCTGAAGATAGAATATTTACCACCTGAAATCCACGTACCAACTTTCGCCAAGCTCTGATTATTTTTAACGGAGATAAAGTCATCATAACAAAACTCGAGTTAGTATATTTGGAGTATAAAGCTAACACTAATCCGAAAATTACACGAGAACAACACATATGACAAAACAATGAATTAAATTATTTTATGACGATAATTTTATTAATCTATTGATTATTATTATTTTTTTAATTAATAATAATAAATAATAATATCTTAAATTTTAGGATGTACACTATATAAATATAACTTTGAAAAACTATATGCAAGTATTATACTAGTCAAATTTAAAGGGAATTAGAATACTAAGACACCTATGAGGTAAAATACAACTTCAGCGATAAAGAAAGGATTATCACATTACAATTGTGAAGCTATAAAAAAGTAGTTTAATAACGAAGTTCATAAAACAAAAAAATTAGTAAGTTATCTGCTAAAATTCTATTAAATTATTGTTTCTATAGGCTGGATTTTAAAATCAACTAAGACTCGACAAGACTAATCTTACACAGGTTGGTGAAACAACTGAATAAGAAGAAGGTATACAAAAAGTGTACGCAAGTAAGTTGCAGTAACGACGTCTAGATTCATATTTGTGAAAATGTTGAATCGAATAAATTGAATTGTGTAGCTTTTAAAAACATTAGAAAAATAACTTAATTTCTAAGTAATGAATAATTTTATTATTATCCTCACTTAACTTTAATTTATTTAACTTAAATTTTTTCGGTATTTTTTTTTTTTTTAATAAAAAAATAATTTGTTTTTTATTATACAATTATTTGATATTATTTTCAAAAAATTAACATTTTTATGTCTAATTACTCGAAATAATCTCGTAACTAAAACGCTACTATAAACATATATATATATATAAACTAAATTTAAAATTACAGTTGAAATATTAGGTAAATTATCTTTTAATTACATTTTTTGTATACTACAGAAGTTCGATTAAACTTAAATTCTCATTGAGTGTTCACAATCGACTGATTGTCTTTAACGAATGTAGTATATAAAATAAAATTTTAATTTACCATGAAGTACTTACGAAAATAAATGTTATTACTGCATTTAAAAGCAAATAATTTTGTTTGAGGTAAAAAGATCAATTTAAATATCTATTCGAAAGAATTGGAATATTAGGATGTCATAGTTGCTTATAAAAATATAGTAAAAAACTTTTTTTAATTCAATAAATTTCTTGTGCAGCTTGATTTAATCGGAATTCCCAATGGATTTTCAAAAAGTAATCAAAATCTAGAAAAAGATTGACGCAGTTCGAAAACATAATAATACTATAATACAAAATTCTATAATTCAATGAGCAATCAAGAACTAGTTTTTATTTGAAGAAAGTTTTATAATCATTATTTTTTAAATAACTGCGCACTTACGGAAAAACTAAAAATACGAAGAACACCAAACTTTTTATAAAATCAGCGAATGATTAAACAACATTTAAAGAAGTACTACAAATATTTCATTTAGATCCTATAATAGAATTTACAAAATATATATTTGTAGGGTGATCCTTATTTGACCAACTTTAAAAAATCGAATGAGAGAACGTCATATTTTGTTCTATGTGGTAAATAAATATTTATCGTAAATTTTGAGTATTCTAAGTCAACCCCTTCTTGTGCCTCAAAGGGGTTGAAAATTAACAAAAATGGGTAGAAATATAGTATTTTGCATGTATGTTTTTAAAAATTAACATGACGAAAAAAAAAAAAAAAAAATTATGTAGGAAAACATATTAGCAAAATAAAAGGTCCTTAAATGACATTGTAAGCAAAAAGTCATACAAAATAAACACGAAAAAAAACTAATACATAAATATAATTTTAAAATACTAAATGCAAAGATTATAATCAAGTGTACACAGTATAAAAATATTATAAAACTCACTCTTAATATTCTATACGGACTGTCGGTTAGTAAACAAACATCTCCATCTACAGTCGAACTTTGACGAAAGATATGTGGCATCAAAGAAAGCTTTTCACTCGAAGTTAAAATGCGGGTAGGTCCACCTAATTTACTTTCGTGTATTCTTCTTAGTTGAATTAACTGCCATAAGCGATTTTTCTGTAAACAAAAATAATTTCTCAAATTAAATAAGAGTTCATAATTTTATAAAACGGCAAATAATTTAAATTGACTATTTAATGAAATTTGCTGTTTTTCTTATTTTAGGGTTATATGAAAACCTTTCTCATTATTTGTAGTCACGCAATAAACATTTTTTTGTGTAATCTCTTAAGTAATTTTCATACTTCATTTCCATGAAAAACAAGAGGGTTAAAACCCCCTTGGTTGCACCTCTGTGCTATACAGATTGCAATACGCATTAATGTAAAATCTCAATAGAATTATTAGTGGTATAAATGATTTGATTAAAATAAGTTTAATACTTGAATATCAAATGAAACTTCATTACTTGTTATAGTAAGCAGTATTTAAGTAGTTTAATTTCTAATCTTATAATGATTATTATTTCATATATAAATAATTAATTTAATTTAAGTATACAAGTGGAAATTGTTTTATCACTAGAATAACATCATTGAAAAATGATTAACAAATACATAAATAAATTATAACATTTGAAAGTCATTCGAGTTTGTAACAAAAGAATTCAGTATTAAATTTATATTTTTAGTGTACATTACCCCAGCAACAGGTTCGTCATTTAGTTGAACATTTTTACTTCCACTTAGCACCCAGGACATCCATCTCATACCACCTGATGTTGGTTCTTCCTTCATATTGAAGCTACGGTCATTAAAAGATAACTGATGCGTTTCAAGTCATGGCCTATAGTAAGATAAACCAAAGTTCAAACAGAAAAATAAAATAATCAGAAGAAACTTTTCTTATTTTATGATGTATACTTGCTAGCACGTAACTAATGTGCTTTTGATGGATCGAAGAGTGTTCGATACTGCTGTGTGTCCGTCATATTACCTGTAAAACACATGGATACAGATTGGCCAAAGACTAAGAAATAACTATGCTGAAGCACTATAAAAGCGTATGTCATTGTTAATTGCTTTACACCCCCGGCTTCGGGACATTGCTACAGTTGTTTTACAATCAATGCATTTTTAAGCATTCTTTGTTTTTGGTAAGATAATTATACAAATATTATCACTCAATAAATAAATTAACCAACTGGTACGTTTATTCAGAGAAATGAAGTTCATATGGCTAATCGAAGAACTTAATGAAATATACACTTGTTTTGAAACGTTTATTTGATAATAATTTAAATTTTAGAGTAAAAATATTTAAAAATATTAAGCTTATATTACACAAATTACAATGATCTATCATTATCTAAATTTTGACAAATATTACTACAGTTTATAAAATGAAAAATTTATTTTTACAAAAGTTATTTTACATCAATTTAATAATAGAACAGGGTAAAATTCTAGGCTATCATAAAAACAAATATTATACTAAAGAGAAGGTGATTGATTATTTATGCTTTTGCAATATCTTCAAATTATAAAAATATTATACATTTCTTTTTTCAGAAGTGAATAGTATGAATAAAAAGAATTTTAACTTTTATATATACCTTGAATTAAAGCTTATGTATTATACTTTATTATGGAAAAAAAAAATTTCGGACTTTATTTTGTCTTCACGGTGAAAATGTTTACCTATGCTATTTTTGTGTTAAAATTCTCGATCTTATATTTTACATTTTTAACTATAAAATGTTATAACTTTTTGAAAAATGTATGAATCAATACAATTTTTTGATGAGAAATAATATTTATATCCCTATTTCATTCAACTTATTTTTTTTTTAAATCGAACCATTTCCCTTAATAATTCAAATATTAAAAATGCATATAGAAAGTAGAACTTTTTCAACTTAATTTTTGAAAGTGTTCCGGAAATACTGACACTTTTATATATAACTTAAATTAAAGCTAATGTAATATACTTTATTATGAAAAAAAAAATTTTCATGGTAAAAACAGACATCAAAGTTAATAAAAAAAAACCCAGCACAGGGGGGTCGCGGCACAGTGGTGACGTGGCATTGTTGGATCAAGTATAATGATATCTGACAGTGATTAAAATCACTATAAAAAAAAAAACGCTTCGATGCAAATCTTTAGATAGTGTTTAATTTTAAAAAATTGGTGGATTATTCCAAAAGCTTCATAAACTGCTAGTTCCTTATTAATATCCTGATTAAGATAAAGTATGTCAAATGAAAAAAGGAATATTAAAAAATAGTATTTCCCATAAAAAAATTATATTGATCAATACATTTTTCAATAAGTTATAGCATAATAAAGTTAAAAATGTAAAATACAAAATCGAAAATTTTTACACAAAAATAGCATTTGGTAGCCATTTTCACCCTGAAGATAAAATAAAGTCCGAAATTTTTTTTTTACATAATAAAGTAGATTACATTAGCTTTAATTTAAGATATATATAAAAGTGTCAAACTTTCCGGAACACTTTCAAAATTTAAGCTGAAAAAGTAATTTTTTTGTGAAAAAATTGTCATTTTAAATCCCCCCCCGTGGACAGGTAAAAAGTCCGATTTATAAAAAAAATATACCAAATGATAGGTAATGACATCATACATCTATAAAAAAAAGAATTATATTGCTATGTTCATTTCTAAAAAAGTTACGGCAGTTTTTAGTAAAAAAAATTGAAACAATTTCGAAAATTAGCGATTTTTAAATTTGTAATTTTTTTGGAGGTTTCCCCCATTTACGGGGAACGAGGGAAATTTTTTCAATTTT